ACCTTTGGTCCAGCTTGATTCGTCAACCGTTTTGGCTATCCAATCTCGAGCCAGCAATCTACGTACGCTTACACGCCTATTTATTTATGCCGGCCCTAGTCTAGCCAGCTATTCGATGGTTTACGTCCCCGCTCATTTGAGATTAGACGCCTACAAAGACTCCCTAGCTCAAAACGAGGAAATAAAAATACAAAATCAAGATCAGATATTTATTTATCTATATTATTATATTAATTGGCCCAAAGATACGTGTATATATATATATATATGTATATATAAATAAACATATGTATATAAATATGTATATTGATATTTCTTCAGTTATGATTACTCATCTATAATATGGGAACCTGAAAAAGAAACCTGGGCCCTTTATTGGGATTCCTGATATGAATCCTACTATTCTGGCTTCTCCGTCTGCCCAAAGGTTATCGAGGTCGTTTCAAAGGATTACCCCCTCCACTATTTTGGGGTTATAGGCCCAGGGTTTCTTAATCAGGTTCCTACATTACACATATCTCTCTCTCTCACGGACTCATATATATATATATATATATATATGTATATATATATATATATACATACCTGAGAGGGGGCGGATGCTCTACTCCGTATTTCGAAACCTCAGCGGCGCATGGTCTCGCAACGCTTCGGTCTTTGCTTGGGTACCGATCATTCGAGAAACCGACAGCAGATCCAAATCTGCAAATCTGTACATTCACGATCGGACTGCTTACGCACGCGTGCTACAGCTAAAACGCAGCCACAGGCTGGAGGGTTGATCTCGACAATCCATTTCGTTTGGTAGACAACGCCTGTTTTAGCATGATATGTGTCTGCTGCTGTGCACGGTTGCAAAAAACACGAACAAGAATTGAAAAGTGTCGCAGGAGCCATTGAAAGCTCAACTGCGACCTGGTGGATCGGTCTACGTTACACACCATCCCTAGCATGTCTTCGCAAGCACATCCTCACACCGCGAAGGGCCTTCGAAGCCCATGCGTGGCTCAGTCTACAGCGACCCATCAGCCCTCCCTAAGTCTCTAAGTGCTTCCCCGCTCCCTAACCCCGCCTCGCCACTGCGAAGATAGCTCGTCCTTTACGAAAGTCAAGAGGAGCGGCCAGCCGCACTGCATCATGCTGCAGCTTCATCAGCGCCTAGCATGGTCCAAGCCGGCTGAAGCACCAAAGGCGAAGCCCGTCTCACGAGCCTGTGACCGCTCTGGAGGGGCTTATGGCGTCCTGGAAGGCATGGATGGGTGGAAAGCACCGCCATCCTATAGCCAGCTTCACGAAGAGCAAGATTTTTGGATTCTGGTCGGGAGTCGGGGCTCGCTGCGGCTCGCTTTGCAAGCAGCCTCTTTTGGGCTCTCGCCGGTGCTCCATCAAAAGGGCACTACCGGACCTGCCTCAGCCTCGGAGGACGACTTCTTGTGAAATACTGTACAGCAAATCTTCCGCGCACAGGCGGTGGGGAGGGTCATGGCGTCGCTAGCCAAGTGGACGAGGCCTGCTTCTTCCTGGCCAAGCTCGCGGCAGCATCGGACTGAAGTGGCAGTTGAGTAAAGCACTGGGACTTCGCACCACTGCCCAACTCTATTGCGGAGCTGTGCTCCTCCTCCCGTACGGGATTGGGCGACGCAGAAGGCGCTTGGCCTCGAAAGCCCACTGTCAAGCATGCTCGTTAAGTTCACTTGCGAGCTGCCAAAGCTTCATTCTGAGGCACTGGCACTTATTCTTGTCTCCATGAGGTAGGTTGCCACGAACGCGCGGCGGCGAAGCAAATAGCTCCTAAGGCATGAGACGCAGACGGGTTCCCTCCACTATCTAGCACAGCAGTTTGCTGCTTTTCCCTCGGTGTGACGCTTGCCGCGACCGGGTAACGGCAAAATCCTTGCATTTGCTCCAATCCGCCAGTGGAAGCACCCGGCAGAGTGGTTGCAAAATACGTACTTGCTGCAAGCGTTTTGGGTCCGTCTCCCAAGTAAACGCCGTCGCCAAAGTGGACATAGCACAGGCAAGCGATTTGTCCGTTCTACAAGTAGACGCCGCCAAATCAATTTGGTCCCACAAACTGCATGTACTGCAGGCATTGACGCTCTGTTCGTGAAGATGGCTCTTGGTCATCCCGAAAGGCAAACCGGAAAGCAGGATCAAACTCTTCAGCTGTGGTCTTCCGCTCGTTCAACTGTGCAGAAGCTTGCGCGTGCAGTCCCAAATGCAACACCAATCTGCACTAAACCTTCTCAAGCTGTCAATGCTCGGAGCGAAGGTAGACAACCTATGAAGGCCGCTTGAACTGGTGTCGGCATCTGCTCTGCTTGTTGTGCATGCGATGCGCAAAAAGGGAGCGCGTAGCAATTCGGCAATTCGACATTGCATATGATCAGTTGCCAGATGAGATTGAAACGCCAAACGACCTGATTTTCCTTGACGAGGACGTGGTGACAAGCTCTGAAATCCTCGTCTTGCCCTTTTTTGCCACTCGGCTTGGGGCTAGCCAGATCCTTGCATCGCGGCCTTGTCTTGCCCTACAAGTGATACCCGGGTCGGCTGCAAAGTTGCACCGGCAAAAATCCAAGCACTGACTTTCAACAGCCATAAGAAAGCTGTTCACAACTAAGCTTGGTGCGGAGTGAAGGTCCGGAACTGGGCGTGCGAATCCAGTGTCAGGCAAGTCACTGCCTCAGCAGAGGCTGAAAAGCTAGACCCCCTAAGCAAACAATCCCTGCAGAGGCATCTGAGTATGAAATAGGATTGTGGCATAGCCCAAGTCCTCTCCCACACGCTGGATTTCTTTGCGGAGCCTCACCAAAGCACTTGCCACGGTGTCGCGCGACTTTTCCCAGGTGAACCTGCCTAGTGATGTCCACGGCCGTGGTATCAAAGCGGATTCGAACGCGATTCTCAGCCTTGGAAAATCAAACCGGTGGCCAATGGAAATGGGCAGCAAAGACTTGGCGTATTTCGGCCGTCGCAGACATTTGTGAAGCTTGGGCTTGGTGCAGCACCAACGGGCCGCCTGTGGGGCACGGGACGAAATCGCACTTCCCACTGTCAGCACCTTTCAGGACTGCTGCTTCCGATTCGGAACGCGGCCAGCCGTTGACAAGAGTCTCTGAGCCATGTGCTGCCACTCTGGACGTGCAGATTAGACCTCAAGTTATGTGTCAGTCAAGAACGAGCAGGCCATCAGAGATACACGTGATGGCCCATGCTGTCGCGTTTTCATATGCAACCACCTCCTTGAGCTACCGGCACGCTGACCCCAAATTGAGTCAGGATTTCCTCAGTTGACCGTGTATTGTCAAGGAGTGTGTTTGTCATGTTCTTTCCATTGCTGTGTGCAGCGCAGCAGCTGTAATTTTGGCCAGTTGCCCAGACCTGTCGACGCCGAACCTGACATCAGGGATTGCCTACCGACACACCATGGTTGGCACACAAAGGGTTCATTCTGAGCACCGGGCAGATGCAATGTGCCGTTCTGCTGATGGCTGCCGAGCTCCGTCAGGCAACGTTCTGCGAATGCCAAAAAGGATACACGGATACACTCTTCTTCCAAACCTCGTCCAAAGATTTGAACTTTGACAAGGCTAGGAAGAATTCCCAATGCAACGATATCTGCCATGCTCTGGCATCAAGTCCACCACGCTTCCCAATCTTCCGAAAAGCCCGGAGCCGCCGGCGATGCCCAGCCTAGCGATGATCTTTTCGGTTCCGCAGAGCTTAAGCTGGCCTCGGCCAACACATTTGCCACTGCACAGCTGACTTAATGATGCTATGAGTCATAGAGTCATGGAGGCATGCCCTGGAGGGATGGTGGGTAGGGAGGTTCGGAAGTCGCACATTGATCAGGTCGGGACACCCATCGCTGCAAACGCCGACTCTTTCTTCACCCGCGGCAGCATGTCAGCAGCTACAGTATACTATGTCTAGGCCCCTAGGCGAGGGAGTCCAAGATGGTCGGCTGGGGGAGCCTGGCAACGGGCTGTGGTACCCCCCCTCCACATGACGGGATTTCTTTACCATTTCTGTATGTGTACCATTTCTGTATGTGTGCGATCGTGTGCATCTAGTGTAAGTTCGTCGCAGGTCGACAGTGTGTGCGGGCGTGGTGCTTGTGGAAAGATTTGCGCACCCCCGGGACATAATTTTTGCGCGGCTGTAGTCATGTGAATTACACTCGAGCTTCGAAGTCGTACGCGGTCGACCTGGCCTGGAATCGAGGGCGGCAGGGGTGCAACAAGCTGGTTGGCTATGTGACCATGGGAATGGAGGCCCTTTGTGGAGCCAGTCCAAAAGCTGCGAGAACAAACACAGCGAGAGAGACCCGGCTTTGGCCAGGGCTCCGGCCGTGTAAACTTGAGCAGGGCTCTCAGTCTGCAACAGCTTCATCAATGTCTGCACTCGGTCCGCTGGAAGGATTGCCTGAGCGTTTCCAATCTCTACGGCCAAGCCTGCAACTTCATGCACGAGCTCCAGCACGGCAAGCAGACTTGTCGGCTTTGTGCCTTGACGAACATGGTGCAGCCCAGGTGGGTGTCATCTGTGGTCTCCTCCTGTCAAGATGCTGGTGCGTACAAGGACTCTTTGACTGGGACGGTCGAGGCCCAAGCAGTGAAGACCGCGGGAGAAATGCAGGCTCCGAACGCACTGACCTTCCATCAAAGTGAAGTATACCGCAAGGTGTGTTGGGAGGCCAGCAGGCTCTCGAACGGCCACCGAGGAGCAAACTGAGAAGCTTTGTACCTGCCGTGCAGAAGCTACCCGCTTCACTTTGCTTCGCTCGGGCGTCTTGAAATGCTTTGATCTATCTTCCTGAGTTCGGTTGTGTTGGATGCATAGACATTTACGCTTAGTGTAGACGGCAGCACATCGTTCTCGACAAGAATAGAAGCATTCTGGATGTTTGCATCGCCACATCTCTGCCGGTAGCTTCGAGGCCAACTGACGAGGACATGGGACCCTTGGCAATATCAGGTAAGCCCTTACCGGCCTGCTCGGCATCAGGGTCTCCATCATTCTGCATCTGCACGAAAGTGCCTCCGCAGGTCTCGATGTTGGCCCCGGCGATGCTCATGACCTGAGCTATCTCTTGCTCTTCAATCCCATCGTCCCCAAAAGACGCAGTGATGGAAGAATAGGGCAGAATCTGGTTGAGCCAGCGGCTTTCGCCAGGCGGTTCCAAAGCTCACTGCCGTCCAATGCCAGGACCTCTTGCGAGCCAACTGTATGCCGATAGCCAGTGCCGATAACCAAGGCTAGGAGAAAATCACGACGCGATTGACAGACTAACTATCCCACACTTGCAAAGAAGAAACCAGATTCTCAGAACCACAGTTGGCTTCGCTGACACAGTCTGCTGTGCAACAAGGCCGTCACCTTGCCCGAGAAAGTAAGAATAACTCTCTTCTTCTCCTGGCCACGAAGAGCTCGAGCCCTTCGAAGAAGCGCCCCAGTCCCACAGCACCACAGCAGACCTGCACCTCTGCGACGGCTGCGGGGCCTTTGGACGCTTGGGAAGCGTAACCTGGAAGAGGAACTGCAAAGCATAACAGCAGCACATTCACAACATTTCTTAGGGAGCTTGCACGCCGGGACCGAGAAACATGCATCATGCCACAACAATCCCAAACAGCACCCTCTACTGCCGTTCTGTAGCAACAAATGTTCAAAGCAGAGGCCCGTGCATTGCCCAAGAACCCGAAGGTGAGGCCGCAAGGCGAAAGCCGAGAGGCAGCACCGCCGTGGAAACCACATCAACGCTCAGTTTGCCATGGCCATGATTGGATGAAGAAACTGCTCACAGCTAGCGGCAGCTATGAGCAGCTCTGAGTATTGCTGCATGATGTGCTCGCAATGTTCAAAAGCTGGTACCCAACCGACCGCTCGAATCATTCGACCATCATCTTGCTCCAGCTTGCCGGCTGTTTCCGCCAAATGCTGATGCTCGCACCCCTTGTGGTTCCCACGTGCACAGGCTGACACAGTGCCCAAGGCCGTTCACGGACCTGCTAATGATCCAACATCTGCTGTGCCCTATGACACTTTTCTCATCATGCTGTCAGCTGCAGTTTGAGCCTGGACACGGGATGAGGCAGTGCATACTGGTGCCACACTTCTATTTTCTTCTGTGTCGAGTTCATGTGCCATGCGTGACATGGCAACCAGCCTGTGTGACAGCGGCAGCGGCTTCGCGCAAAGCAGTTTCCCTGGACGCTGGAAGCTGTGGACATGTTGTGCAAACCAAGAAAGGTCAACAACCGCGCCTGGAACGTCAACTCTGTTCTTCAACAAATGCCCGTGACACTGGCAGAAACACTCAGGGTTGCAGCCGATTCCTCCGTACTGATACGAAGAATGACGGCTCCTTGAGGTTAGATGGCCTCTGTGGCTGCTTACTATGGCTACTAGCTTGCCCTGCGTTGTAGGAGGCTGTCTAGAATATGCACATAGGCTCCCTGGGGTGTTCCGCAAAGTCAATCTGCTAATCGCCACGTAAGGTCGCAGCTCTGCAGAGCTGAGGACGCGAGAGTTCTGGCTCTCCTGGAAGTGCGTCTCTTCAAAACTGACTGAGGACTCTACAGCTCTGTCAAATGATAATCATGCGCGACCGAAGGCTGTTGGGAAGCCAGGCTCCGAAACAACACACATGGCCTAACGTCATCCTCATGCCATATGATGCAAAGCCACCTCATTCCCCTCGGGATCTCGCTCCACAGGCCTCGTTTATCGTCCGGCAATTGCTACAACACTGCACGACCGAAAAGCATGCCGACTGCAGTTTGCTAAACTGCTGAGCTCTGGGCTTTCCAAGCCATGACCTTGCAGTCAGTGTGGTGGCTCTCTGCTTTGGGGTGAAAGCCCTCCGCCAACCCGCGCCGGCAGCGCAGCCATTACCAACAACTCAACATGATTGTGCTGTGCGTGTGTGACTCGCTTCGCTCTGCTCTCGTTCCAGCGCACTGGGGACTTCAAGCTGCACATTCTCTCATGACCTATGCATCCTATGCCTTCGCGTCAATAACACCGTCGCTCTCTCCGTGTCTTGCTCCACGGCGTGGAAGCCGCTGGCTTCAACATTCCGGGATTCCTTGCATGAGGCTCCGGCACACGTGTCTCCGGGAAATATCCGTGGCGTTCCGGAGATCCGACAACGCGACCTTTTCGAAAAGGACTGGGTAAGGAAGGACTTTAGATGAAGTCCTGGCATCCTGGCCCATGTGCTGAAGATGTACCATGCTTGTGTCGTTTACACTTGTGAGGCTTCGGCCATACACCCAGCCACCGCCACTTGCCGCCACCTGATTCGTGGCATCCATCAGAGTTCCGAAGGCCCGCAATGCCACAGTGCGGCATGAATATCCCAGCCTCCACCACATCGCCCTGCCAGGCTGCAGCTGTTCACAGCATTGAACACTTTCTGGCCGTGCCGATTTCAGAGGGATTCTTGACGTGCCTCTGCTAGCGCAAGGCAACTTTCAGCGAATGCCACCTCCGAGCTCCATGGTCAATGGCATATAGCTTCACGCACCGTGACTATTTCATTGCCACTGGGCTGCTCGGCAAACCTGCCACGGCCCTGCCCTGCTTTAGAGTACAGCTTCGGATCAACGAGCCCAAGTCGTTTCGCTTTCTCAACCTACGATGCAAAGTTGGCGATGCTGCGTGAAGGAGCGACTTCGACCTGAACGATCTTGTCATGTGCAGCGACACGAGCGACAGGTGGAACCGCCAGAATTGGCGATCGTCAAATTGTTAGGAAGTGGGCCTCTTCCTCCTTGTCGCCAGGACCTGCTTACAAAAAGGGGCTTCTATTCCGAGCTATGGCCGCTATAGCCGTTTCTGTTACCGTCCGGCTGGGCTTGGAGCTGCCCGGCGAGTAGTTCTCCACGACCTTCACGAGCCTCAGTTAGCGCCCCGCAAGCAACGAAGTGCACATCCACTTGCCCTGGCACATATCTGAGATCCAGACACACCACGGTCAGTCCTGAGAGAGTAGAGAGCATATGGCTGGACTGCCAGAATGACATCATAGGTTTCGGATGCGGACGGATTGCCATACTGCAATAGCACATTATACAACACGCCAGTGCAAGCCAGCTTCTTGGCCGCTTCGCCATTCTCTTCGCAAGTTCCTTATCACACGTCATGATGCTGGCGTTACGTGGGTGCCTGACTATGCTTTCCGCAACTCAGACATGACGAATGATGGATGCTGCTTTCCGCGACTGGCTTTGATGCCTCTGCCATCGCCCTGGCGGTCTGCTCAACGTGCTGAGGAGCGCACCAAGCCAAGTTGCTCGGTTCTCTGGAAAGTAGCCTGCTCGCTCTGGGTGCCCTGCCACCTGCTTGAGATTCCGGCACAGCTGGACAGGGAAGAAAGTTGAAGTTTCCAATGTGAGCAAGCCCTATGGTACGAGTCGGCAGGGCCAGGGCTTTGTGTTTACAACCCGCTTTCAGTGCTGAAGGGAGCAGCCTGGCCGTAGAGCCAGCCGGAGCCGCCGGCCAAGACCTGCTGCATCTTGCAATGCTTACAACCTATGCAGACAGTCCTTTGCAGCAGCGGCTCCACAGCTGCGACAACAAAAGCAGACTACGACACCTCAGGCTTCAAAGCGCCGCACGTTCTCTCTCGGATCCCCGCCTCTACCATTTCACCTGCTTCGAGGTGCAGGCCTGAAGCGCTATTTGTGCAGTAGCCGGTGAAAGGGAGTGAGCCCCAAAAACAAAACACGACACATGCCACCGCCATGTAATGTGCAAGCTTGGTCCATTCCTGAGGTAGAGCCATCTATTCAGATATTGATGTGTCTGACTCTTCTGTGCATTTGTCGGTCTTTGTCTCACTCCCCCATGCACCCGTGTCTACTCCCAAGCCTGACTGGGCACCGTTTTGCACTGCCGCAGTGCTGAGGTACACAGCAGAAGGCAGCAATGAGTTGCCGGCAGTTCTCCCGCAAGTTCTCGCACTCAGCGACGTCTTCCGGGGTGAACCTTACAAGAGAAACTTGGACGGTTCTGGTCATGACGCCCGTTCGACATCGGTCTAATAAACGGTAGCCAACATTCCTCACTGCGCTCTTGCACAGAACTCTGCAGTCTGGACTTCGTATCAGGTATCTGGGAAGTGGAGTTTAATGGAGCCCCCGTCATCTATGAACACTACCGCACTACGGTCCATCCATTCTGAACAAGAGCCACAAGCCCCAGGCCCATGATCCACGAAGACCAAAGCATGCTGGTCTGCGCAAGCGACCTGCCCAAGTTGCAGGCAAACCCGAGAAATTGGGTATGCTGTTGTGGATTTGGTAGCTTTTTTCCAGGGGATGTTACTACTCAAGCCTCCGCGCGAGGAATCTTGCCAATCCATGACCTCGAGAGCTGAGTCCAGAGATGGCAAAGCTGCCAAGTTGGCACCAAGCAAAGGCAACAGGCCAATTGCCCTGAGCAGTCTTTTCGCAGTGTTTCGCAGGTTTCTCAGCGCATGCCGGGCGGGTATCCCTCAGCATGTCAGTCTGCAGCAAGCTCGGGCCAGAAACAAGATAGCTGCTCTGCAGTCATATTGACATTTGCGACATGCTCATTCTCAGCTTATTGTCAATATTATTTTCGTGGCTGCTGGGCTTGTGGCGCCGGCCGGCGTCCCAATAGAGACGCTTCCTGCAACAACTACGAAACGGCTCATCCTCTTCTTGGAGCTTGTTGCTCCGGTCAATGCCCAAGACAAGAACAGACGTCTCAAATCATCGGCGGCTCTCAGGCTGCAAAGCCCGCGAGCCGCACGCAAATCTTTCAAACCACGTCCCATAGAGACGAGCGACTGAACCAGCAGTATCATTATATCATTATGTGTGAAAACTTAGCAAGCCCCGCTGGTGTTGTACATGCTGGAAATCATGCTCAAGATACTTTCACCTTGAGTTGCTGGAGCATCGCACAGGCATTGAACATCCTTTTGGAGACATGACCCGGATTGTGATTGGCCCGGATGGCCAAGTCAAAGTCTGTACGTAGCAACTTTGCAGCCTACCGCCGGGGGGTTGTCCGCTCTGGCTTAACAGAGCTGGGATCCCCAAGCGGCCTGTGGTGAGGACGACACCTTGACGGTCTTCGGGCTGAGGATATCACTCTGCTCTTGGATTCTGTGGCACATCGACACCCCCGAATGACAGGTAGCATCGGAATCAAATCACAGGCCGATGTCAGCATGAAGTGCTGAAGGGCAATCTGTGGCTAAGCACTTCAAAAAATCACAGAGGTTCCTGGGTGTTGACTCCTTCGACTGCGCTAACCGCTAGCTTGCATGGGAGTTGGCGCTCGAATCATCCTGTGGGTCACGTGGAAGACCGGAGCAGCGTGTCGGGGCGACTCTGCGCACCCGTGGCCGCGGCTCCAGGAGCCTCTCGGTTCACATTTCTCTGGACCGGGAACACTCGAAAGATTTGGCTGGGAACCCGTCTGTTGGTAAGCATCCGCGCCGAGCCATCGGAGTGCACCAACATGTAGACAAGTTGAGTTACAATTCCCAGCGGACAGCATATCCTGTTCCCGGAAAGCTCATGCAAGTCTTGCATCTGCGTCCTGGGTGCTCCAAGAAGCCAAGAAACCTGGAATACTACACACCCACAGGACCTGAATCTGTTGACTTCTGGACTTCCACCAATCACGGTTGCACCCTGCACAGTTGAAAGTCGAATTATACAATCGAGACACTTCCGGCGAGGAAGGGCCTCAGTGATGAAGCATAGCCGGCACTGCCGTCTTTTGAAAGCTCGTCTCTAGCCGTTGCAAGCATCATGATGATCACCCCCTCTTCTTCACTGGAGCCCTTCTGTACATGTCAGCTTTGCACGGCCTTCTAGCCAAAGATTGATGGACAAAGCATGCGTGGTGCACGCTCTCCACCGACAGTCACTTTCCAAGGATGAGCTTGGAGACATCCTGCAAAGGAAAGTATATTTGGTGTGATAAATGGAGCTTCTTCTTGACCCTGATTGCTTCGCATGACTCCGCCTGTAAACAAGGCATCTGTGTGCTTCCTTGCGCAGATTTGATGCCACCCCGAGCCCCTCTCCCATGCTGAGCTGAGGCCTGGATGATCTTGGAAGGGCGCCTGGTACGGTCAATTTGTGCGCCGCAGCATCAAGGTGCTCGAGCCCTTGCTTGCTCTCGCAGAATCGGGGTGGTCAGCTGCACATGCTAGCCAGCTTTGTTTGTTCTACACAACCATGACTCAAGGGACCAAGAGGGCCGAAACAGCATGCACGGCAGGGTTTCCTAGAGTCCAAGAGCGGATGCTAGCGGATGTTTCAGGAGTGTAGCTAGGAGCAGCATCTGCGTGCGCTGAACGTGTGACCGTCAGCAGAACTGCTTTCGAAATAAGCTGTTCCATTTTGCAACCGTGGCCGCGGAAAGACCCCGGTGTAGAAATGCCAGTGTCCCTTTCGGTAGCCCTGCTTCTGCTCTTATGCTCGGCGATGCTGCGGTGCCTTCCCAATGAGTTACGGCGCCTCTTGTCCTCAAGTTCGTCCACAACGGCCTGCGTCGGCTTCTGAAAACTGGGAGAACTTGATGCTCTCAACCTACACAGTATCGTGCCGAGGCACAGTTTCGATCTTGGAAGGTCGCCGTCTCCATCCGCGAGAGTCCGATTCTTCCTTTTCAGAGATTTGTGGCATGTCGCCGCATGCACCAAGGCAATGCATGTAACAGGGCCTCTTGCCACGGGTACCACATCCTATTCGACAGGTCTAGACGAAGTGTGGCCTGGGTGTCAACATCTGGAGCGATGGCCTCGCGCCAATGCCCTGGCAATTGCAGCTTCTGTCCCAGGTTTCTTCATACAGCTTCCTTGCAATGCGGTTTATCAGCCGCAGCAAGACGGCGGCGCCAAATGCTGATAAACAAGAAGATCTTGGCACAACCCTGCATGCACCTGCAGCAGGTTCTTTCTTCGGGTCGTAGTTCATCATGTCAAAAGGGAGGGCATCGCGGTAGTTCACTCCGAGTAGAGTGCCTGGCATGCTCGCTGCTGCCGGGACAGCAAAATCAGGCTGAACAAGGTGTTGTGTCGTCCACTGCTCCGGCCACTGCGGCAACCACTTCTGTCTGGAAGTTGCTCTAGGCTGCAACCATGTCACCGGCAACCATGGCTGAGAGGAAACGTTCCAAGCCACGCGGACTTGGCAGAGCCGTGATCACTCAAGGGCTCGAGCCGAATCACAAATTTGCGCCAATCCAAGGCCCAGCACACCTCGCAGTTGCCTCGCCTGCATGTCCATGTCAGCCTGAATCTTCGAGACTTGCTGAGGAACTGGCACTCGGTTTTCAGGGAAGTAGCCCATGCGAGTGATGTCTCCACTGCCTCGCACATTGCAAGCAGTTGCTTGCTGTTCTATGCCTCGGCATCGGCAGAGGTTGCTGATAGTCTAGATGGCCAGCCTGAAATGACACGCCCATAGAACCATCCACCGCCGCCTTGCAAAAGGCGCAAGCATGGGCTATTGAAAAGCCTGCTTGCTTCAGGAACGAACGAGGGCCTTAGGCGACAAATCAGTGTCAAAGTCGAGCGTCGCGAAGCACCCGTTCCCAATGACAGGACCACCCAGAAGAGCTCATAATATGCCCTGCCTGCAATAACTTCTACGATGTCTCCTTCGGAGAGATCGATGCAGCTTTCTCGGAAAACCTTTCAGGACAGGGCAGGCGTTGCAGACCCGGCTTATGTGAGTCTGAAGTTAGGGGACGCCTTCTTTCTCGCACTTGAATTCTGTTCTGCCTTCGCTGCAGGAGATGTCACTGGGCCGGGGTGGGCAGCTAGCTATGGGAAGCAGGAACACAGCAGGTCCTGTTGGGGCAAAGTTGTGTGGACACGCTTGGAGTGCAGAAAGATATATGTACACAGGTGTGCGAGCAGTAGAATCGACTGTCGTGAACTTGTTCTCATATGCTCTACCTCTCGACTGTCCACTAATCCGCGAATCTCCCTCTCGCTGGCAGGCTGCACATGTGCGTTCATATTGAAAAGTAGACATGCCTTGTCGTCTTCCACGTCCGAAGGTGCGAAAGCACACGCCACATGCGCTAGAACCTTGTTGGCTTCACGGGAGCGCGAGAGAGAGAGAGAGAGAGAGTCTGTCAGCTTGACGGCTCTCTGTGGACAGACTGTGCTGAGAGCAGAGAACATCAACACGTGCAGATGCAGAGTATTACCCTGTTGGACCGCGGCAAGCTGACGGAGCATCCAAGCTGAAGCGAGCAATGCAAAAGCTCAGGTACGAACCCTGTCGACATCCGGACTTTGTGCCACTTTGTGCTCTTCCTCTGAATCCGCCACAACCTGCTAGGATTCTAGCTTCACCATACTAAAGAAGGACCAGGACACCTGAGACAAATTCCAAATTCTTCAGATCCTGGATCAGAAAGAGACGCATTCGTCGCGCTACTCGCGCGCCCGAGCATAAAAAGCAAGGCATTTTCTGCCGGTACCTTGAGTCGAGCTCGGCGGGCCTTGGCCTGAGTGCTCGCGGCAGTTCTGATGCCTACTCGTGAGTCTGACAATTCGAAGTCCAATCCTGAAGGGAGAAGCAAAGATCCAGAAATGGTTGCAAGCTGTTGCCAACCACAATCTATAGCTTCGGCATTGACTGCGAAGAGCACGTTTTCGTGAGGAACAACCAAGGAACTCGGCGTCTATCTGCTGGCCAGTCTGGAGAGCTCGATGGCATGAGTGCGGTGCCCATGCGCTCACAGCAAGCGTCGAAGCGAGGACCAGGACAACGGCAAGGATCCTGAGCAGAGCAAGGCATATAGGGTCACCCCTCGGCCATTCGGCCAATTGAGATCGGAGCAGGAAAACAACGAACACAGACTGATCGTCTGTCTTGGGCTCGTCGACAGTTTGCCCTCAGAAAGATGCAGAATCAGGAATACTGTGGCAAGCACTCGAGTCATCGTCGTCTTGCGCACGAGAGTGGCAACACCTCACTTTCGGCCCCGCACCTCCTGTCCAAGGTCCAGGTTGTGTATCCTTAGTGGTCATGCAAGATGCAACACTCTCTTCAGCTTGCTGATGTTCGCTGCTGTGCTCCCGGCGTTGCCCGTTCCAGAACCTTGGCGACAGCTTGTGGGTTGCTCCGATTGTTCAGCTCTTCGGGTCTCGTTCCGGGATTGGACAGGCCAGCGGCCGGGTCAATGGGTGAACAGACATTAAGAGCATGCATGGCGGATTGCTTTAAGGATCAAGAACGCTCGAGCCATTACCGTTACTCTGATATCGTTGTCATACGATGACTACAGTATTTGCCTCAATAGTGCCGGTCGTGTTCATCGCACCATTGCCATAACTCATAGCCATAACTATTCATGTTGTAAAATGATGAGGATTCTGAGCAGCAGCAGCAGCAAAGCAGTACAGCAGCAGCAGCGAAGATGACAGGACTAAAAGAACAGCGAAAACGTCGCCCCACGAAGACAATAAGAGCCACAGGATTTCAGACGTGAAGTTACTCAGGCTCCGGCTTCCACTCCTCTCCGTTAGATTCACAAACTCCAAGACGGACAGCGTAGCCCCCGTTCCGGCCTGTAACATACATATGCTTACTATGGGGATGCATGCCCGGCTATTGCAAACAATTCAGCTGGACTCTGCCAGCCGCGCTATGCCCTGAGGACCACACGCCAAAGGCCCCATATGTCTGCAACTGGGCCAGATCAGGGTCCGAAGTCCGAAGGCTTTTCATTGAAGGGCAGGGCATAGCTCAAAGATCCCGGCTTTACATCTTTGCTTGGTGAAGGCTCATGAGGGCTCGACCTTTGAGACAAAGGCGAACTCAAAATCCGCAGGGTCAATGTCCACCTGTCACTATAGTTGTAGACACCCGTCCGAAGTGCAAGATTCAGAAGACAAGCAAACCAACACAGCAATCATGCTGCAGGTTCCGTTGGGACGGAGCAGAGGTCGAAGTTCATGTCAAAGATCAGCAGAGAAGTTGGGGCCTCATCCATCTTACAATCTTGCAAGACCGCAACTTGACTTGCCCCTTAGCACAAGGCAGTAAGGTCCGATAGCTGCGCCATCGCTGGGATAAGCTTGACCTCTGAGATGTTGACCTGGACATGTTTGCCGCTTCGTCACAGGCCCAGGTCCGAAGATGGTGCCAGTGTACTGTACAAAGTACAAAGCACCGGCACCGGACACGGGGCACTGCCTCCGCGACAAGCACGGCCAGGCCAGCAGCCGCGCTTAAAGCGACTAGCTGCTGCAGCTTGGCCTTGGCTCCATGCTTTTGAGGAAGCAGAGCAAAGGGTGGGCCTCAAGCTGAGAAGGGTGCAGATGCCACTCCGGCCTGCAAGTCCTGCAGACAAGGGCATGAACCCATGAGCCCATCCGCACAGAAGTTCCGCTTGCATGCGACACTGTTCACCGGCCTGCCCCCTGAGCTCAGGAGAGGCAAAAGCAGCACCGGTTATGGTGATGTTGTACGTGGCGTTGCACTGCGAGGGTGCAAGCACAAACAAGATGCGCATGGTGCGCACTGTCATGCTTCATTCATGCACTATCACGGAGATGCCACATTTTTGTGCCAGTCTTACGAACTTTTCACGCTTGCAGGGACGGCAGGAACTGTATGCAACAAGAACCAGAGGCTCTTTTTTAGCTTCAAAGCAGAAAGAGCACGAGGAAGTATCCACATGCCTGGCAGGTCAGTTCATGTGCAAAAGTTTGGCCGAGTTGTGAGACTGGCTACACACAGAATGCTGCACAGTTCTTTTGGCGGTTGAGGGACCTTCTGCCAGTCAAGACGCCGACCTGCTACCAAACCCAGCCCCCGGGCAACATGGGCTGGGGCACGTGGATGGAAAGCCGCGTGCCCTTTCCGGTCTCCGGTCTCTCGGGCATCCTTGAGGCCAGGCCTAAGCCGTGGCTGTCAGATCTTGTCAGCTTTGATCATACTGCTGCAGTGTTGCAGTGTGCGATCCTTTTTGGTGCCGCATGGTGCTTTGGCTCATGTGGCAAAATGCTCCAGGTTCGGCATGCGTACTGGGAAGATGTGGCCACGAGAAACCATTCTGTGAGCAGTGTCCTTAGGTTTCTGCCAGGAATGAGCTCTGAGTAGAGCGGCCGTTCCCAGGGCCACGTAAAGCAGCAATCATAATTACTCGCACACGGTTCCCAAGAGTAATGGCCAAGGATCGTCACCCACTTCACAAACGCACGAAAGTTGCTCTCCGCTCAGAGGAGCTGGTCTTAACCAATCTAGCAAGACGAAGTCAGGGCTGTTGCGCGGAATGCTCTTCACGACCTGACTGACTGCGATTGCGATGGGTGGCATGAGGCATTGCGCCTACATAGACATAACCTTTTGAGGCTGAATGTGCACTAGCTGCATGCGAATCCACACCAGCCACGATTATTCGGATGCGAAGCTCGCAGCATAATCTTTTAATCGATAGCTTCAAATACCCAGGCAAAAAGAACCGATTCTCGTGCTTATCCACTGCAGAACAGGCTCCGCATCGTAGGTCGCACCATCACCGGCCTTGTATGTTTCACAGCTCACCCACAAGTCATTTAGAGAGAGAGAGAGAGAGAGAGTCTCGGAGTTTGAGAGAGAAGCACTGCCCAGTGTGACCAGGCCAGAGGAAGAAGCTTCGCGAACATTCGGCAAGGTAACATTGAGTCGGAGAGAAGAGCAACACATGCAAACCAATAACACGAGAGAAGCGGCCCGGGCAGGCACATTTCAACAGATTCAGTTGATGCCTATTGAACAACTCATCTCGAAATTCTCGAAGAAAGGAACAAACTGTGTGCACACGACTAAAGGAAGAAAGCGCTATCTGTTCTGTCTGAAAGCTTGTAAGACAGAAACATTACAGCTTCAATGTGGCATCTCAGTTTCAGCCAGCTGGCCCAAACTGCTCGCACTCGCATGCCGGGCAAGAGCCGCAGGGCACGCTCGCCGGGTGACGAGAGATTCAGAGCAACTGGCTCCGAAATCCCCATGCCATTCCTTGCACGAACCTTGCAGAACCCAGACACATGGGGGATGCCGGCGCGACGGAGAGAACAAGACGGTGCGAAGGCCTCGAGGTTCAGCTCTTCTCCACTTGGTAGTCCATTCACCCATAGTGGCTCGCCAGGCTGCGCGAAAGCCAAGGGCTCGCTGGTCGATGCACCCTGACACAACCCGGTCTCAGCGGGAAAAACAGGCTGACATGAAGCCTGGCCTGCATGAGCACCACGAACTCTTCCTTATGACCACTGCAGCAGCAAGAGCATCCCGGAAAGTCCGGCTTTTCTACAACTAATGAGCAGTCTTGCTGCTGCTGTGTGTCCACGGGTTTGAAGTTTTCAATCGTGCCACTGAATGGGCTGGACCCTGCATCAAGTCGAAGGATACATGGTAAGTTGTAGCATCACACGTCGGATGCGGCGGCCTGGCTCTCTTGGAGAGAAGGCATCACAGCTAACGGCCAGCTCGACATCCACCGTGCCAGGACCTGGTTCTTCCATTCTCCACCTTGCAAGGCAACTCTAGTGGAGCACGACAAGAAACATAATATGGAGTCATACAGCGCGACGGCAAAATTGGGGTCACACAGACTTGGGCATAGAAAATGCAGTGCAGCGGGAGCCCAGTTAACAAACAACCCCGCGACGTAGTGGCAGAACCATGCAGGTACTCGTACCCAAGTACCACACCGCCTTGCAACCCAGCTGCCGGGAAAGCTTAAACCTGTCGGGATTGCGAGGTTTAGTAATCAGACTACAGTTGACTCCACAGCAAAGCTCAGGATTCCCACACCTTAGGAATTAGGACTCCGCATTCACCTGTCCCTCTGTCAACCACGTCGGACCATCCACGTTTGCCGGAAAACCCCTTTCTGCTCCCGTCTCCAGTGGTTTTTGTGCCCTCGTTACAGCAGCTGAAGGCTGAGCCCCAATGCCAAAAACTCAACATCCTCCCGGTCAGTGTGGCCACCTTGCCACGTCAACCGAACCGACTGGATCGGGCGGCTCCACGCCCAGCAGAGCCTGCCGGGATTGCAGCGACATTCCCCAAACGCAGGGCGAGTTCCATGCAGATCTCAGGTCTCCTGAAGAGTGGCATTACCAGTCAGATCGTCGCGTGCCACGAGGCTGGAAAAGTACCTTGGAAACCCGCAGGGAGTTGACTACCAGAATATTGAACTGCCGCATCTATCGTGCAGCTTAGCAGCGTCTGGAAGGCTGCCACTCGCCTTGTGGCACACTTCATCCATTTGCCAGTGACTTGCCCAGTAACTCACATCGACGTCACGGTCAAAACCGAATGGAAGAGATGCAGCCGTGCTAATTTCTGGCAAAAATCTGGACTGGAACATCTTCGCCCCAAATCCAGCTCAAGCCATTCAGTGCTTTGGGCGGAAACTCCGGCAGGCTGCCGTGTGTGCCTGGGTTGTACGCATTATAACTTGCCTACCAAAGTGAGGAACACAATGAAGTTGCGGGTCATGCAGGCCTGCGGCCAGTTGCTCATGAAAGGCAAGAATCTCACGGTATCGGCGATGCACCTGCAACTTGCGAGTCTGAGTCTGCCCCAAAGACAGCCCACACGCAAACTAGATAGAGCTCCAAACCCCTAAGCTGCGCAACTTCATTGTCAACAAATGCTCTGTGCTTGGAACACGAGACAGCGCAAGTCCACTTGTGACACTAGTGGCGACCGCGATACACTCGGGGCACTACGTATGTCGCTACGTATGTCGCGATGCCACAGCAGCATCATGAATCATGTGTGTCATGTGCCCTGTGCAGAGGGACGTTCTCCTGCCTTCCACGAGCAGCCGCTGGGAACGTGCACCACCTGAAAGGCATACCTCACGTGGCCTTAGCCAAGATCGATGCGTAAAAGGACTTGTCCGGCGCTCCTCACACTGACGTAGCCTCGAAGCCCTCGACACATAACACAAACATGTGCAGGCATGCGGCCCTCAGTCTCATCATAGCCGGTGCAGAAGACGGAGAAGTGCTTGTTCTCCATTCATAGGCGACATTGCTGCTGCCCGGTGTTCCTGATCCTTCTTATGACGCTGCAGTCCAGTTTATGTGCCTCATTTCCAGCAATCAGGTCCCCGATGTGGGTCACTGTAGATCGTGAGTCATGTAATGCCGATTGTCGCATGCATGCGTGTACAGGTGGCATAGCACCAGTTCTGCTTGTTGCATTCTTCGCGCAGCATGCACGGATCCTAGACCGCTGCGCAGTCGCTTGATGTGATCTACTGCTTTCTCCGAACCGAACGGTCTCGCACAAAGAAACCCAGCAATACCGCGCAGCTTCCAGGGAACGGACAATGAATCAAGCAAGCCACGACTGCTGCTCGCTGTGAAGCTCGCTGCGAATCTTTCACGAAAGGAGCCAGACTCTTGCTTCTGGGATCCTGGCTGAATCCAGCCGCCGGAAACCTTGATAATGAGTGTGCCTGTTTGCCTGTCTCCGTGTCGTTTGTGCCGTGATGTAATGATTGAATATAGTTTAGGCACTTCGGCGGATCTATGCAGGCACACGCGCCCTAAGCGTCTGGCAGTACGATATGCTACAATGGCTACATATACTCTTCGGACTGGGCCAAGCAGCGTGGCCAAAGCTCGCGATGACTCCGCCGAGCAGGGCTCAGCTGCACCTCTGCCCAGCAGCAGAACAGTCTATAGAGTCTACAGTCTACAGCTGTCCAGGCTTTCGGCCGCGGACGGGTGTCTCATGCGTTATTTCCAAACAGCCTGCATGAACCAACAGATGCAGTCTGAGGAGGGAACGGCCTTCCGAGCACAAGGTCAGTTGCCACACGTTGAATGCCTGATCTGATCAGTGATGTCGGGATTGTGAGTTTCAGTCTTTGGGCGAAGGATTCCTCCAACTCAGATCACTGACTCCGCTTATCTCCGCTTGGTCGTTCTCATATCGAGTGACTGAGAGCTCCTCTGGCACGGTGATGGGAATGCGGAAATCCTTGTTGGGATGCCAGACATTCAGCTCACAGAGACATGGCCCTGTACTGGCTGCTTGCGGCTGCGCAGCATATTCACCCGGAGGCAGAGGCCGCGCCAGGTCTATGTGAATGAGTATGCGGTCTTCCTCAAGAACTCAATCGATTGCATCAATGAATTGCATCCTGCATTGGTTTCGAACGTCAAAAATACTGATTGCCACAAGCTCTTTCCGCAGCAATTAGGCTTCGAACCTTTCGGACGTCTGCCCAAGAAGTCGCGCCGTGGCTGCGTGACAGTGGAAAACTTGGGTTCAGTATTTCGATGCCGCGTGGCGTCTCTAACCTTGGTCACGACACGAGCAACGGCTAGCAAAACGTGTGCTAGCATGCAGCTTTCGTCGCTCAGAGTCAAGCGAATGCTCAAAATTTTCAGCCAGTGTAAGAAGAACCTCCATGCCACAGCGATTCAAGGATGATGCGCTGCCAGAGTCTGAGGGCTCGGGCCGACTCAACCAAACCGCGCTTCACTTGTTGCCGCACCTCAAAGCCTCTCGCACGATGCTTGTTTCCGTAATGGGGTACTCGCGACTCCAAGCCAAGCTCGAGGCCCATGACAACACTGCTCGCTTGCCCAGCTTCGGCCGCCTGGAGCTAGTCTTTCCTGTGACTCTTGTGGTCTGAAAAGCCTCACAAGACTCTCCCGCCCTCGAGCTGCAAACAACTCTCTGTCTCTCGCGTTCCCGAAGTCTGCAGCAGCTACGTCTACGTACGTTCGAGCTAACAGGGAGTAGGTATGTTGAGTAGGTATGTTGCCTGTTGCCTTCGCCCTTGCCACTAACTCGAACACTAGCCGTCTAGATTGGAAACACTACTGTACCCTGGCTGGACAAGGAAACTCCGCTCTGGGACATGCTGGGAAACCTCTAGATTTCAGAGTCTTTGTTTCCTGACATGTCCGACGTCTGTTCCTTGAGATGATCTCAGGCGTCGTGGCAAAGATGAGCAGAACAGGTGCTTCAAACTAGTTGCAACTACAGTCAGTCCAGTTCACGGCCAGAAACTCGAGCCGGGCTCCCGGCGGTCCACTTCAAGGGACGAGGGCCCACGTGCAGCTCGCTTTGTAGCTGCTGGCCTTAGCACATGCATCACCTGTTTAGCAGCTAGCCGCTGGCCATCTCGCCCTACAAGTATATGTGTAGATCTCAGCCCTTGGACCCTTCACCACGGTGGTCGCATCCTGCACAAGGCCACTGGGACCTTACGTTAACACGCAGGGTTGCATCATCCGCCATCCATTGCAGGATAAGCCAGAGACCAAACACCAGCAGCGAAAACATGTTTGTCTTCGGAGCGGCCGGGGGCCTTGGATGGTTCGGCTCTTGTTAGGATGGTTCAGATGCCTGCGAGCGACCTTCGACCCTTCTGAGCCAACGACACCTGCGCCCCAACACCCTTGCGAAGCTATGTTTACAGCTTCAGCGCGGCTTCTGCAAGGCTGGCGAGAAAGGCTATGGCTGTGGCGAATGCGTATGTGCCCGGTACCAGCCCAGAAGACAACCGCCTCAGAGCGGGTCTTACACACACCAGCTTCGACTTCCGAATGGCTCGGGTCCGCACAACACCAGAGATCCTGCCTCCGCTGTACAGCCTGCTTGGTTTCAGCAGCGCTTGCATATGTCCCTTCGTCCTGCAAATCAGGCCTTCGACAGGCAGCGAAATCTGTTGGAGCTGCGGTCCTAGCAGCATCGACTCTGCAACACCCGTTAAGGCTGAACTAGAAGGGCATTTCGTGGGTCGGCAATGGGGTCACCGGGCACACAACATGTCCTGAACAGTTGAGAACCAACTCCGGTGGATTCAGTAACCTGGCTCTCGCTCTCTGTGTCGGTATCGCGTGCGGTCTTCCCGAATCTGGCCAAGGAGAAGACTGGAGGATCCCCCCCGGTGGCAGCTCGTCGCGTAGCCGCAACCTCCAAAGGATCTGCTGGCAAATTTGGTGCGTTTGAATGTCACTGGCCTAACCACCAACTCTGATCTTGTGTCAGGAGAGGCGGCGTAAATCACAGACACCTCGTCCGCGACAAGAGCGTGAAATACACAGTAAAGCATCGTAGGTGCACGCATGTCTCTGCACGACAACTTATGATGAGGGTGGTGCGCTGCGCATCTGCACCACATCAATGCCCAACTTGTCCTTGCTTGCCAACAAGATGGCATGGCAGTCACGACGAATTAAAGGCAGGGAATGTACTGATGAGACATGTGTTTTTTACCAGGTGCTCGCACCTCGCCCCAGCCAACCACTTCGCCTGCGCTCTCTATCTGCCATAGAGCATCTGAAGTACCAAAGAGATCTCGACAGCATGCATCGCTCCAGCTGTGACTCGACCGTTATGAGACGCGGAGGTGAGGTGGGCAATTCCAGTGCAACTCTTGTTGATGTCTTGAAGTCTTGACCAGGTTGCTAATATGCTACATTGCTCTGCAGGCTGTCTCCGATCATAGCCTTGGATCCACCCGACGAGGAGCCATGTAGACGAAGATAAAGCCGCCGCAGGCGTACGAACCTGAACGGAGATGTTGCCCTGAACAGGCTTTCGTTTTCGGGTTGTCACGGTGCCTGGAGGCTAAGCTCTGGCAGGTCTGTGAAGAATGCCTTGATTGGAACCAGCTCTGCTGCCTCCTGCGAGATGCAAAGAATACAGGCTTGATGCCTCAACCCCTGTTCAGCGCGTCTAGAATAAGAGCTGGCCTGTTCATTCACCTGTGTTGGCGAGCAGCGAGCCACCACAGCCTTCAACACATTTGCAGCATGCTTGGGACGAGGGAAAGAGAAAAGCCGACAGCAGCTACAAAAGCATTCAAAGACTTGTGCACGGCTGTGAGCAAACCACGAGAGCTGGTACTGGTACTGAGCAGCTCGCACTAGGTCCGCTCAGGCAGTTTTCGGTGAAACGGAAGCCTGCCGGTGCCACCTGAGCCAAACCCAAGACATGAGCGATTGCCGCAAAGCTTGCAGTGCTGCGCTGCTGTGCAGCTAAGCTCTCCATGCGATCATTATATTCTGATCTGTATCCACATGCCCTGGCACGCAGAGTGACTAAGGCCTGGGCTAGGGTTAGCCGCGTTGGCGATGACGCACGCAATGATACGGCCAATTCGATGGCGATGACAGCAAGCGGTGGACTCCTGGCAAAAGGCAGCCACGGTAGCCAGCACTTCATGAGGCAACAGCTTGGTGAAGCTCAGGACAAGTGTGTTTGGGGTGCATCCAGTGCTGCAGTGTCTTGTGCACCAGCTTAACATTTAATGTTCACATGACTTGTACCACAACACCTCAGATTACCTGCCATGCTCTGAGCAACAGAGGCTGACCGCAAAATCAGAGTTGCAGGCCAAACTTGCATTTATGTAATAATATAGCTTATCCGGAGACTGTGTGCTCAGTCCTCACGGCAGTTACTTCAACCTCAGAAGACAGACTTGGCACAATAATTACCTAGCAAGAAATGCCAAAGCTTGCTATAGGCTGCCCGACTTCCCCGAAGCAAGGCGACAGCTTGGCCCTGCGCTTCGTAGGACGGTACGAGGTGCACCGTTCCCTGGCAAGAGCATGTGATCTCCTTTGCCAGAAAAGAAAGGCAGTCGCCTCTGCTGAGCCGAGGCTGATGGGAAGACCTGCTCCCAGGACCTGGCAAAGCAGAGACGACTGGGACTTCGACTCTGCTCTCTCAGTCGCGCCTCGAAGCCCCAAAACACACCTAGGCAACATGCCCGCAATTCGCCACAGCAGTCAGACATCGACAGCTTTCGAAATTAAGGCACCGGCGCCGTGGCAGGGTAGTGGGAGCTAGAACAGTCGCAAAGGCTCGATACCAGATGTCTCGCTGCAAGCCTGCGTGACAAAACTGAGATCCTACCACTCCCCCCAAAAGCTCAAGGGCCAACGGTACCTTGCCCGGCCAGGGTCTCGAAAGAAATTCCGTCTTCTGTCTTGCTAGAAGACATTGGAACACTCGAACCTGCAAGGCAAACACATGACCACGCAAGACGACAGGTCATTAGACTATTCGCAAATCCCTTCGCTGCTGTCCTGTGTCCACAGCGACCAGGCGGAAGTTGCCCTGCAAGCGCATGGGAACGTGCTACATCCAGCCACGGCTATGCAGATCTTCTGAAGGAGAGAGAGGAGTTGAGGAGATCCTGCCGGCCCACACCTGGAGCATGACGAAGGGCTTGCCCGAAATACGCAGCGTCTCGAATGGGTTCACGTTTTCCCGAAACCTCACCTCAATGATGCCGGAACTTCTCAGCAGGCAAGCTTGTCGGGCGCAATCGTCGGCAAACACCGTGGCAAGACAAGATGGGCAGGGGTCAGGTATGTGGCCAATATCTTGATCCCAAGCTGCCTCAATTTCCAGCGCAATGTGACCACCCAGCTGTGCCGGCCACTGTGACCTGACGACCCATTGTCAGACTGCAGATTCATGACCGATCCATCCCACAGGAAAAAGCTGCAAAACATTGCAGCCCTGGCACTGTGTCAGGTTTGGCGCATACTCGCTGCGGAGCTGCAGCGATCGGAGCTCGATGTCGCCTGTAAAGCAGCTGAGGGACCGCGGTCACGACAGCGATGGCCGGCCTTTAGCCGGTGACTTGAACATCATGCCCGGCCTGGAATCTGGCTCCCGCTGTCGATGCCGTGCTTTCTGGCCTTGGCAAGACAAACACAAGAAGGCTGAGATGTTGGCGGACCGGACCAAAAAATCCGCTTGGCTTCAGGCGATTCGGCCGCCCGTGCCTGAAAGAAGCAATGGAAGACAAATCGACGACCAGAAGCCGGGCAAAGATGGAATGTCATCAGCCAAGAAACCGTTCTGAGTCTCCAAGTCGAAGAGAACCCGCCCACCATGATTGGGTAAATGCGCATTGAATATTCGAAGACCAACACGATCGCCATCCTCCACGTCACTTTGCTGATCAGAAAAGCCACTTATATGATCCGGAGAGAGCCGAGAAACTGAGCGTGCCTTCATGTCCAAGCTCACGAGCAGGACCGAGGTAGCCTCTGACCCTGAGAACGACACGGCACTCATGGACCATCAAGCCATCTCAAGTCCGTCCAGAATGACATGTGAATGTGTATTACCTTCCCGCAAAGAGGCGAGGCTAGCGTGCAGAAACAGTCTGGGTGCTGTGACTGTTGAAAGCGGTACATGCCGTGTATTCATAAAAACGTGTTGCACCATGTTGCCTTAACTACATTGTTAGTGCGGCAAACGACCTTTGATTAGGTCGAGCATAGCGCCCTCAATGGAGGCAGGGTGCGGAGAATCTGCCCACGGCTGACGGACACCTTCGTGAAGTCGATTTGCATGGGCCAAGTCCTGATAAATACAGCTAGTCACGTCTCGTTGGAACAGAGACCGCACGACTGCTCTGAACAACATCGCATTCCTGCTCAGCCCCCAGAAAGGCTTCCTCGCTACAGTACCGGCTTCTGGCTGAGACCCCGATCTGATGATCCGAGCATCTGCATTGCAGGCTGTGGCGCGTGATGCATCGTTGTTGCAAGCTTCAGCTTCCACGACAACCGAGAGCACGACGGCTGAAGTCGTAGCACTGTTGCATCTCCCTCTGCTCTGAATAGCACCTGCGTCACACTGTGTCACAGCAGCTGCATGTGCAGCACGAGCAGGTGCTGGATTCAAAACGTGCTGCAAGTCTTCCGCAACTTGGAATCCGGCGTCGACCACACTGGAGCCTCTGGAGCAGTGCTCACTGGTTGGTTTCATTTTGTCCGAAGGAAGTGAAACAAAGGTTCTGCCGCGCGTGCAACAACGGAACGAAACTTGAGGCCGAAACGCTGGCCGACAGCTGCAGATGCCTTGAGTCGGGCGACTTGTTCCGGCTTGGCATCGGGATGTGCAGTCTGCCACCCTGCCAACGGGTCTCGGGCCAGCGTGATGACGGCATCTGACAACTGGAGGAACACCTGCCCCGGGTCTGATGCGCACTCATGGACCATCGGATCAAAACACACATCCTGCCACCCTGACGCAGCCTACGTCCTGGCCCTACAACTGATCCTATATGTCACACAGCACTCCTTTGTTGCTCGCACTTGTCCCCGCCAAGCCTCCCAAGTGCGCCAGGCTCCACTTGCTAGCACTTCTCCTCCTCGCAAATGCCCCACCTTCGGTGCCCAGGCTCTCTCGGCACCACCCTTTAAAGTCGAAAAGGTACTTGCTAGGATTACCCACGACCAGGACTTTCTGTCTGCGAATTCGGCTTGCGAGCTGGTGCCTGCCAGTACTGCTCCCCAAAGATCCTGTCGACGCAGCTCTGAGCCGGTGAGTACGGCTCGATAAACTCATGGCAGAAAATCAGATTTGTTTTTGCTGCCTACTTCGCGAGGAAATCACTTTTGGGCGTGTGGCTCTGCTAGAAGATGCTGCTACTGCAGCACTCGTCAAGACTTCCTGCCGACCTTCTTGTCTCCACGAGACCCCTTTTAAGCGATGGCACCTCCGCGGGTTCGCCGTCACCAGCCGGAAGGTTAGTCTCTCTCCTGCTGGCAGCTGCTCCTGCAAAGGCCAAAAGCCCAATTGTCGAGGCTACCGTGGTTGCGGGCTCCTCGCCGCGTATCTCAAAGACCACCGCTTCGCCAGGCTCGCCAGGTGTGCAGCTCACTTCCTCGGAAAAGGAACAACCTGACCGGATGAATTCGACACGTCTACATGCTCGGGCCCGGGCAACATGGGCGGGCATCCGTGCACTGGTCCAGTCCGGTGTGAAGCCTGCAATGTCCACCAAAATCGACAAGATGTTAAATAGGGCAACAGTTGCCTGCCAGAGGTCCTTGTAGCCACCCAGTTTCAGGGCAGTCTGTCCTTTTCACAAGGACCGAATCAATTCAATGTGGACGCATTGGACGCACTGTGTCGGCTCCGACCCCGACCTGTATCCAGGAGGCAGCTTGATCCGCAGGGTATCGCCAGGCAAGACCTTCCAGGCATCCGACTCTCGTGGCCCCCTCGCCAGGCTCCAGCACATTTCTGTTTCTGAGGCTTGTGCAGTGTGGGCAAAGGCCACGGAGAGCAGCATGTCTGGCAGAAACGATTCTGCATCCTGGCTGCTGTCACTTCGCAGGCTGCTTGGGCGCGATGCAGACAAGAAAGTGAATCACGGCATTCTTAGCTGTCGTCTGATGTCGGACCTGCCTGACTCGGCATCACAAGATCACCCGCACTGCTGGGGTCGTACCTGCAGCTAACTGCGCAATTCTTCTCGGCATAATGCGACAAGTCGCAAGCCGCTCGACGCGGGCCTCCCAATCGCCAGGTGCTCGACGGGCTCGCACAGCCGGAAGCCCTGAACCTGCGTCCAGGATCATAGCTCCGGTGCAACTGGGACATTCTGATTGATGGGCTTTCGTGACTAGGGAGTGACGAGATTAGGGCAAGCCATGTGCTGGCCACTCGCGCTCGGACCTGGTTCCGAGCCATGTGACATCTTCACTGCCCCTTGAGCTGCAGCTGGATCGTAGAGGGTGGCTGGACGGATGCTCAAGCCTGGCCAACATCCAGCTTCACCCGAGAAGCGATGTCGTCGAAGGATCTCGGTGAGATCGCAGACTCTGAGGGGTGAATGCCCAGGTGCCTATGAAGGCTTGTCAAGGAAACTCGGAAAGTCTCTAGAGTTCATACCAAGCGGCTCAAGCTTCCAGGCAGCCTCGAGCGGATCCGACCCCGAAGCGACCTCTGCGATTGGACAATGAGTGGCTCTCAGTGACTCAGAATCCTTGAGCATTCTTGAGTTCTATTGTTAGAAGGACCATTCCGATGGAGGGGGCCCAAACCGAAGGCAAGAACGAGCTTAAAAAAGAAGGCAAAACTCCACTGACGTTGGAAATCCAGAGATGTAAGTTCAAAACAAAGTGACTCGGAGTCTCCTCCCACCCGCCGGGGCAGGCGGGCGGGCTGTCGGACGAGCGTCCCTATCATTTCCTTTACAGACACGGAAAAGGTGTAAACAAAAGGTAAGCACACGTTGAAAGAAACGAAAAAGAGTGTTGAAGGTGAACACAAGGTAAGGAAGGGTCAACCAAAGGACAGGTGTGTGGGAACATCCCGGATGACCTGGCCTGCGCCTGGCCTTTGCTTGTGCTTGTTGCATTGCTTTAACTTGTTTCTGTATGTCGCCTTTTCTCTCACCTTTTAAAATAGTAAATGAAAATGATAGGGATGCTCGCCCGCCATCCCGCCCTCCTCCCCCGGCGGGTGGGCGGGGCCTGGGAGTGCAGGAATATCCGAGTCAAATGGCCTGTGCTTAGTCTTCACATGTTTTGATTGTTGTTGCTGTTGTTCGTTGTTGTCGTTGTCGTCGTCGTCGTGGTCGTGGTCGTGGTCGTGGTCGTCGTGGTTGCGGTTGCGGTTGCGGTTGCGGTTGCGGTTGCGGTTGCGGTTGCGGTTGCGGTTGCGGTTGCGGTTGCGGTTGCGGTTGCGGTTGCGGTTGCGGTTGCGGTTGCGGTTGCGGTTGCGGTTGCGGTTGCGGTTGTTGTTATTGTTATTGTTGTTGTTGTTGTTGTTGTTGTTGTTGTTGTTGTTGTTGTTGTTGTTGTTGTTGTTGTTGTTGTTGTTTTGTTGTTGTTGTTGTTGTTGTTGTTGTTGTTGTTGTTGTTGTTGTTGTTGTTGTTGTTGTTGTTGTTGTTGTTGTTGTTGTTGTTGTTGTTGTTGTTGTTGTTGTTGTTGTTGTTGTTGTTACGTTTTCGTTACCTTCTTGTTTCACCTAGTTCTAACATGTGTTTATCTTTGTTATCTCTTACCTTTTTCCATTGTCGCTATCTTGAAGCTTCACCTTCATTTTTGCTTGCGTTCATGCTGATGTCTCAATGGATCGGACCTCCTAAGCGAAGGCTTGTGGGAACAGGAGCAGGTCTGTGTGGGCTGTGCGTGAAGGACTTCCCAGACTTCAGGCAGCGTGCAGCAGGAAGTGTCAGAACTAGGATGAATATGACGGCAAGTGGCGAAGCGCAGCCCCAAACGGTACAGCTGACCACCGACGAGCTTGCTGGAGGCTTCCCGGAGCTTGATCACAAGCACGTTTGCCGCCTGTCAGCTGTTCATAGCTGAAGGCAGAAACAGAAACTGCATGCGGAAGTACAGGTGGTTGAGAAGCTTCTGTAGCCTCCAGATCGCAATCGCACCCTTTGCTCCTCGGATGCCCCACGCTGGAAGCCACAAAAAAACCAACAACTTGGCACAGCTTGCGGAAACCTGTATCCGAGCTGCGAAGGTTGTGAGCACACTTCCATGCTGCGCTCGTCAGCCTTCGTAGAGGCCGGCAAAGGCTGATAAGATGCCACGACAGTGACATGCTACCCGCATAATGGAGTTTCGTCTTCATATCATGTCGGCCTACACCTTCATACCGCAAAGTGAAGCACGGCATGGCCTGAACTTCGAAGTGAGCGAGCACAGCGCAGCTTCCGCTGCCGTTGACAAAAGCGAAGCCCGGAGGAGCATGGACAAGAAGTGCGGAAGCTTGCCCTGCGCAAGCCAGCAAAAAGCGTGGCGCGCGCTTGTATACTCATGACAAGCGGCAAGTTGCTGGAGTGATGCTCGCTAGCCCGGGAGCATAGCCCAGTGAGGTCACATGCGCCTTCAAGGGATTGGCTGGTCTCTGGCTGGAAGGACAAGTTGGCCTGAAAGCTGCACTGCAGAGCCAAATGCGGACTCTACAAGCATGCGGAAGCCTCGGAGACTTCAGATCCGAAGTGGAAATCGTCTCTGAGGGCAGGGCCACATTCGCTTGCTCGTTCGGCCAAACAAAGCCCATGGCCTTGTCGAAACTCGTGTGGAGCAGGGGAGACTCTTACGCCGCTCTCCCGCAATGACTTTGCCAGCTACTGGTGTTGGCCCCCGGCACAAATGAGAGGCTCCAGTTCCTTAGTCAACGTCTTTCGCATTATGCTAGGCCTGCGTTGTCTTTGGCGGCATCATGTGAAGCTACATGCATGCACCTTTTCTGACATAAGAGAGCACATGGTCGGTCCCTGGAACTCTGATCTAGTGAGGCTTGCCACGACACCATGGGCTGTCACAGTGTAGAGAGCCTTCTGTGCTGCACTGAAAGGCATCTTGGAAGATTCCTCAAAGCATCACCTGGCATCGTCTGGACTCACAGCCCTCTGATGCTTTGCCGAAGCCCGCACAAGGCTCGGTTCAGCCTTCCAGCTCAAGGTCGACCTCAACTATTTTCGGCGCGGCCGTGCTCGTGGAATCTTGCATCTGCTCGTCGCTGCACACTTGCAGATCTTTGTCCTCTGTCTTTTCCTCACTTTCGGCATCGCTTTCCAGCTGAAGTGGAGACATCGGCGCCGCCTGCGCTAGTGGATCCAAGGCCACAAGTGGCCTCAAGTCTGGAGTAACAGGGTTGTCAGGCTGAAAGCTCCTTCGCCGTGTGGCAAAGAGCTCCTCCCTCCTGCTCTTTCGGAGTTTTGCTCTGCGACGGTTCTCGCGAAGCAGCTGCTTCTCCTGATGTCGCAAAACCTCCAGACAGCACTGCAGGTGATACTCCACACCGAGGTGGTATTTAATCGTGCGCTCGTGCTCCTTCTTCTTCTGCTTGGCATCGGCTGATCGCCTGGCTGACCTCCCTTGTGCCATGCTTCTGAGGACTACGACTGACCTAGGACGAAAGTCCTGAGCCAACGCGCCTGATGCATGGTCATATAAAGCAGAACATCTTCATTGTGTCGCTATGCAGGACACCCTTAGGCCGCTTGAATTGGACATGCGGTCAGGTGCTAGTCCATCAGCCCAGAATCCAGAATGAGTTCTCAAGCCATGGGACGAGAAGGCGGAAGGTCTGCACGGAGAAGCCGGGAAATGGAGATGACACTTCCCCCTCCACCTGCTTGAAATGAAAAGTCTCTGTCAGAAGGGAGATTCAGAATTAATTCGGCTGCGCAAACTGGCCTCCAAAGACCATACGTTTCGGCTCGGTGTGCGGGGCGGATTGGTCAACACCTGCATCGCAGACTGTAGCAGCAGAACGGGTACAACGCCAGAACACAAGCGATTTGTACTCGTCCAGATTCACAGATAAGCCTCGTTTGTTGTCGCACCCTTCGATTCGCCTACAGTAGGGGCCTGCAAACAAAATCCCCAAACCTCGCAGTTGTGTTATCAGACATCCGATCCGCCACCTGCCGCTGAAGTCACGCCCCATGTCCAGTTTTCTAGGGCGAGGACTCAAGGAATTTATTTAGGTGCTGAGGGTGGTAGTGTTTCTCGATGATGTACAAGCAGTGCACCCCCACAGGAACCTCTGACAGGCAAGCTGACGTTGCAGATGCAGGGGTCTCACTCGCGGGTTGCCTTCACGCCAAAGGCGTATGGAATTCCGGCCTCTGCACGAAGGCGACCGTGTCAAGTGAAGATGAGCGAAGCAGGGGGAACACGTTCGGGCAGGCGTGGCCGATCCGATGCGGAATCATCCCATGGACAACTGGCCTTCAAACTCGGGGAGATCGATGTAAGCCTCGCAGAACTGAGCTCTGCCTGACACAAGCAGAGGTTCAAGCATGTCTCAGCACCAGCATTACATTGCACGATGTGCTGCTGGTCCTCGCAGCTCTGCACGGGTGCGCCTCAATGCTTGGCTAGCATAAAGGAATGCAGCTACGAGCTAGTAGGAAGCTCTGTCAGGACTTCGATGCTTTCGTAACCGTAGCCCTCGTTTGCTCATGTCGTAGGACGGATAGCACTGCCCATGGAAGACATCTGGCCGACGACTTGCCGCGACCATCGGAAGCGCAGAGACACGGCCTGGGTCCCCAGCGAACGGCCGTGGCTGCAGCGACGTCCAGAGTTTCCACGAAGCAGTCCTGCTCCGCACCCATGCACAACATGCACCTGAACGCGGCCCGAAGCAAGTACCTGCTTCAGAACGAAGCCTGCAGGTCCACGGAGGGAAATGGCCTCAGGACAAGAAGCAGGAGCCCTGTGACAACATGTCACATTCTGACCTTGGCCCTGGACCCAGGCACCTCTTGAACCTTGTGCAACTATAAGCATGGCTGTTTCAGCTTCTTTCCGTGAGCTGAATGGAACATCTGATTCACTGGCAGCGCATGCAACTCACGCATCCAGTGCGGCCTGTGGTGTTCCCATCCCGTAACAGGCGGAAAACGAAGGCGAGGCTGTTGCTTTCCAGCGGCCTCTGGCTCAGCACAACAGCAGAAGACTTGCAGTGGGCTCCTCGCCTGTCGTTGCGGCCCATCGATGGCAGCAGCCTGGCCTGCAGGTCGAAGTGGTGCCGCTCACGTGACACTCGAGCATTTGAACACTCTTCCTTTGGTGTGCAGGTACCGTACAGCTTCCCCGCCTCTGGCATGGCATCCCGCTTGTGGTATCCAGGCGAGATGCTCCGCCAGTCCAGCTCGATCTGAGTCTCTGCGTTTGCATTGGCCTCAGGCAGAGCTCATGAGCTCATGCGGTTTTGGCACATGCGCAGGCCACTCGTGGGGCTGGAGCCACACTGAGGAATGTCCAGCAATGATGGCCTCTGAAGAAACCGCACAGCCAATGTCAACGCGAGAGCACGGGTTCATTAAGCCAAGAGCTGCTGGAGCAATTGTCTTCTCTTCCTTCCGACGATCTGGCCTGGATGCAGCGCTCACACCGTCGGAACGGTGTCATAGCAGCACAAGTCCAACTTGTTCAAACTGAGGCTAGCACTACTGCATTCCTGCCAGCCACCTATGAGCACAAGCCGAGACATCATGTTGATTCTGCAAACGCCTGCCTGCCAGCTGAAACAATAACTTGAAAACACCTCTGTATCAACGGGCTTGCTGCCCTGGCCCTAGCCTTGCGGTGCAATTTTGCGCGCCTCAAAACGGTAGAGTGCGGCAGGGATACCAGCTGCCCCAGCGACAACCAGCAAGTCGATCTAAGAACCAGGATTGCATGCGACCTCTTTCTTGAAAAGGCTACCGAGAAGGAGCAAATGCACCTGCTGGTGGTTGACGTGGGATCCTGCCGCTGCAGCTGGAAATGGCCTTCACATTTGTCGTGGCAGCCAGTGCCGTCAGGTGACGAATCATGTCGCTCGCTACATGCGTGTTTTGACGAATTTGAATTACCATTGCCTACCATTGCCTGTTGATGGCTGTAATGGGGTGCTCACTCGTGGGGCGAGGTTCTTATTGCTGGGAGGTCATTGCTAGCTAGTTTCAGTGTTTCATCGATCTTGCGCGAAGTGCTTTTGCAGCGAGACATCTCCTTCAGGGTGGGCCTGCTGGGAGTCCACGGTGATTTCCGGATGCTCTCGCTCCGGAGCTTCGGACTCACCAGCTCAAATTACTGAAGCGAGGGGCTGCAGCACGAGGATGCAGCCACAAGTGGTGCACACTGCCAATGCTGCCACAACACCCATTGGGTGCAAAGGCGGTGACACATGTTCAGCACTCAGACACTGCACGCCGAACAGTAACACCAGAAAACAGACGGCCATCCACTTTACGAGTGCTAACCAAAGGCGCCGAGGTTGGTCCCTGGTGGTTGGACCAAGTGATCACGAAACTGAAACTAATAACCGGCTTCAACAAAAGCATCTGTGACTGTTTTCAAGATAGCGGCTAAACAGCACTGAACCTGAAAACTCTCGCTGCGCCTCGCCTTGTGATGCAGGACACATGGTGGGGCAGCTGCTGCGGGACAAGCGATGTCGCGGGTAGCAAGTCCAGGTCAGGAACCGCCTGAGCAGAGGTCAAGCCCCGTGATTTTGCCAGCTGCCAGGTGCGGATAACACATCCTCCAAGAAGTAGCTGCAAGCTCGCATTGCGCAGGCTCTTCCAGCGGATGGCTCGTCGAGATGCACTGACTTCGGAGATACAGCTCTGCAAGCCCTCGTCCTGCTCTTGCTGAGAACCTCTTAGGCTGCAACGTTCAACGTGCAGGGTGTTGAGAAGCCGACACCGGCAGGACTTCGAACGATGAGTGCGCCGCCTGAACGGGGTACTGGTCCATACACGTCTGCTGCGCGTTTTGCATCCCCCAGATCGAAGGCCTGGAGGTAGAGGAGTTGTGGTTTCTACCTGGCCATGACAGCAGAAGTCGATGTCAAAACAACCTCCTGAAGGTCGCATAGTTCTGGGGAACCTAACCCATTTCACCATCCTTGCAGTCTCCCATGACATGGCATGAACAGAGCGCCTGGAAGGTGACCACAGTAGTCTGGTCCGGCACTCTGGAAACTGGTTCCACCCAAGTGTTCCTACCGTGATCTTTGGCTTGCAACTGTGAGTGCAACCCCCCTAGCCTACGGTCATGTCGCATGACTTGACTAAGACACTCATAGTCAAAATTGCGTGCAGCTTGGACGACCGCAAAGGCATGTCGATAGTTGAGCTAGCCGGCGCAGAGGCCGATCCCACTGCTGCAATTGACACTGGCCAACTTCATGCAGCAACCAGCGTGACAGGAACATCCACCTGCCTGTAGTAGCGCGACACAACACGATGTGCAGACTCTCCAGCTCCTAAGCCGTATGCCGAGTCGAAAGTCCTGAGTGATGGGATTGCCGGAGCATCCACACGGCCGGCGAGTACCCGGCCGCCTCTGCGAGAGGACACACCGCATGGCTGTTTTTTTCCCACCCGCCCAGCTGACTATGTCGCACCGCAGGGAGCTCGTCCGAAAGCCTAGAAAAACGACGTGGTGACCCGTGTTTGCGCATGGCTGTTTGGGTGCAGGGGTTGAGTGACTATGGCGAGATGAAGGAACGGCTCTCAGGAAGCGGACAATCCCAGAATCGGCTCGAGTGTGACAGCATATTGCCTGGCAACGCCTGCAGACCTTTGTGCTCGTAGCCTGGCATGCGTTGCATGCATGTTATGTATCCCCGGGCGCCTGTGGACCAGGACTGGTCGTATCCAAACCTGCTCAGAAAAACTGGCGCAAACGGTCATAGCTCGAAGCAGGCTGGCCTTCAAAGCATGCACTTGCACATTGATTACATGTGCTTGTGCTCTGGCTTTGGGGCTGCGGCTCGAAAAAGAATGCCCGGTTGAACACGAGTGGGGCTGCAGGCATACGAAGCCACAAGGCAAACCTCAGCATTCAGAGGATGCAGCATCTGGACGGTGAAGAGATACCGATCTCTCGCACTCGGCGAGGTCCTCCCTGGCACCACATTGTCTGCCGGCATCCGTGGTCTGGTCGGCTTTGCATGGAAACGTGGTGTGTGCAATCTGTTTGCAAAGGGCTACATCTTGGCCGCACGACTGTGCGCAAGCTTTCGGCACTCATTCTCGCACTGTCGCTGTGACATGGCCACTGGTTTTCTGAGCCACAGCGAAGATGCCACCTGTTATGAGATGTCGCAGATACGCCAACAGCTAAGGTCGAATCCCATAAGTCTCGTTCTGCAAATACCTGGGCAGAGAAAAGCCAGCATCCCATCTGCCGGTAAAAGCTGACATCTCACCTGGCAGCCGGCCACCGCAGGACGTTGGCCGCCACAAGTGGCAGACCTAAGAACGCTTACCGCGCAACTTGCCCTGACTTGGTGAAGCTGGAACTGTGGCCTGGAAGGTCTGCTGTGGTGCCTTCGAGATGCAGCTCCTGCTTGAAGACACTGGACCAAGCAATCTAGACCATCCATAAAATGCACGATCTGTCTTGGCAAAAATGAAATCAAAGCGCCCCCTTTCCAGAGCCCGCCCTCTGCAGCAAAACGGTCGCTCTCTGTCTCTCTCCGACAGGGTGTTCACGGCAGCGCACCCCTCTGCACGAAAACGAACCCCCTCTCTCTTGCTTGCTTGCTTGCTTGCTTGCTGACGGGTATGAGGGCCGAAACCCCCTGGCCCGAAGGCTTACCCGGCACAACGGTTCGCATCTGTCAAGTCTGAGCGGCCCCTTCCGGGGTTGGGAGTGATTCCGTTCGTCTGTGCCTGTTTACCCCCTCCCCCCAACAACCAAGCCTCCTAAACCATCACCTTATAACACCTTTCAGGCTCCACCTACCTCTCTCTCTCTCTCTCTCTTTCCTTCCCCTCGCGGGAGCAGCCCGTCTGTTGAAGGGACGCACGGTATTACGTGCGATAGCCGTCTGTTCCCCTCCACGTGGAATGGTTGGGTGGTTTGGAAACGGCTGGGGTCTTGAGCTTCGGAGTTTAGTCACGCTCCCACTCCCCCCTCTTTCTTTGGAGCAAGGGCCCTCCGCACAGGCGCCTAAGGCATTGGGGGCGGAGGGAGGGGGCGGGAAAATGCCCATCGACGAACTCGTATTGTTCTGACAACTTGTTGGGACCGGCGCCCTCAGCAGGAGCTTTCAAACTGGATCACCATGCCAGCAGCAAGACGCAAGATGTCTAGTGACAAGGCTGGTAATTAGCGGCAAGGCTAGTTCTCCTCGTCGGGCACGAACCACTCGTAGCCCGAAGGTGCAGTCACCCTGCATGCATGTGTCTCTGTGGAAGCTGCTCTTCCATGCACGTGAGCTCGTGCCTGCCCTCATGCCACAAGTGTCTGTCAAATGTGGAGCTTGATGCTATGCTACCCCTCATGCCTGAAGGATGCCCAAATCTCCACCTTGGCTGTCAGCAGATTTCCCGTCCCCATCCCTAGTCGAAGCTCGGATAGGTACAACGACCGAAGGGCGACGTTTTAGCATTCCGGCCACACAAACCTTAGCCGTAGCTCGAAGGACGCATCAGCTTTTTGGCACCGGCACGGTGTCAGGCCTCGAGCCGTCGGCTGCTGACTCCATTGCAAGAGCGCATGCCTGGCGCATGCCTAGAGGCCTAGAGTGCGAGCTGATTCCATTTTGGCATTCGGGATGTCTCCTGCTGCAAGGGTGATCTTCGTGCCGCACTCTCCAAGCGATTGAAATGAAAAGAACATCTCCTAGAAAGCACCACAGCTCACGCTTCGCGTGGACCTGCTACTTTGTCTGAGCTTGCGTTTTCCAAAAATCGCTGGCTCCCATAAACCAGGAGCCGCTGGAAAACGGTCAAGATTCCGAGGAATTGCGAGCCAGTCTTCCTTCCCAAGACTTGGTCTGCAAACTCCGAAGGCTGCGCCTTCACTGCATTAACTTGTCTGTCCGACGTTTCTGGCTTGTCCACATCCATGTCTTCGGCATGGCCAGAATCTTCGGTCCTCCAGTGAACTCACACTTCCAAAGGCGAAAAATCAAAACCGCAGATCCGCAAGATGCACCGTAAATTACCGAGCCGGCTGGGTGGGTGGGTTTGCAAATAGGCTCCTTCTCGTGTGTGTCATCAAGCAGAAATGCTCTCGCTCGGCAATACGCGCTTCGGTAGAGGCGGAGGGACAAAGACGTCCTCCTTGACATCCTCCTTGGATCGCGACTGCTATGGACTTATGTGCGCAGCAGCACCTCCACGTTTCATCAGATATTCTGGCTTTGAAAGTTCTGAGCGGTGAATTCTACTGCTTGCTGGTCGTCTAGCAAACCTTGCAGCCCACCCGATGAATAGTCAGAACAGTCTTCTTCGAGATCACCTTGGACCTAGCCCGAGCGGACCGACCTCGAGCTTGTCAAGGGCGGCGGACAGCTCTTTTTCGGGCTCCAAGGCCTGCGGGTAAGTTAAAGCTCCCACCAACAGCAAGAAGGATGTGTGCCCCAGTAATACAAAGCCGCGTGCCACTATGCCTCGAATTATGTCGATAAGTCAGCTCTGACTCAGCTCAGGCCTGGGCATGCTGCTTCACCACGTCCGGCAAGCCCTGAACATGGCACCATGGTGGTACTACGACATGCTTTTAGTACTTTAGAAGCAGCTCAGATCTGCATCAAGTTGCTGGAAGTAAAGGCGTCATCGGCTTCTTCAAAGGCGTCCCAGATCCCCTTGCCAAACGCTGCATGTCCCACTGCGCCAAACGCCGAGGCCTTCAGCTGCTCAGAAACTGCTTGAAGCTTGGTAAACACTGGCGCAAAAAATCCATCGTGGCAGGCGGTACCAGAGCTTTGGGTTTCCCTTATACGGGCCAAGCAGCATTGTATGAAGGCCTTCGGGGCAGGCCTCCTTGATGTACCTCGTGAGGTCGTGTCTGTAGTCGGCATCTGCTCAAATGACCTGTATTCATAGGATCCCTGGGCTCTAACACAGCTCAGGTGCGACATCTCCCTGGAAGCTCTCCCCGGAAACGGGTTGCGAGGCATGCGAAGCGACGCATCCCAAACAAGATTCCTGTGACATCCATAACCTCAAGACAACAGCGCGAATGCACAGCTCTGTCTGACCAAGCGCACGAACCTTGGTGCACCCTCCAAGTGTCCGACTAGACATTGCCCAACGAGAGGTCTGTGTTCTCTCGCCGTAGTGAGTGGTCATGGGAAGGTGGTCCTCGACTCTCGCCACTTACAATGCAGTATGCGCATCGATTAGCGGGAGGGCATGAGGAAAGTCAGCTTGCCACCTGCAGCCCGGATTCAGCTCTTAACGCTGGCAAGTGCGACGGGCGGAAGTTCTTCTTGGTGAGAGGACTATCCTCCAGAGCATGCTGCAGCCCTGTGGTCAGCACGCCACTCAAATGTTGCACTGGTCACTAATGGGTGGTCTTTTCCTGGGTTTCTCAGGCCCCTCTCCGGCTCTTCTTTCTGCCTCTACAGGATTCAATCAGGCTTCCCGGAAATGCGAAATGCGGATCCGAGAGTCCTCATAGAAGTGAAAGCCGTTTGAGGATTGCCACTTGAAGGGCAGCGTCCGATGACCATAGTTCGTGTCGAAGCCCCACTTCGTATCGCTCATGCCGCTGGTGGGCAATCCTGGAAAATGTCACGCACGCACTCTTTGAGCCAGCAAAGCCGCCAGCACCCGATGCAGATGATGTCTTCCAAACATGTAGACATGTGGGACAAAGTCTTTCGCACCAAGAGCAAATCGCACTTTGGACCCCCCCGCGATCATTGCCTTGGTCTTGCAGGCCCCGAGATGGGCGAGGGTCCCGGCAGTTTCCCGCAGAGCTCTAGTGCGCCACCTTGCAAGGTCCTTTTATAGCTGGTCGTACTGTACGGGTGCAGGAACACGGCACACTGCTTGGGAAGCCAAACTGCTGCCAAACACCAGCTTTCTACGCGCTCATTGGAGCTTGGGATGCCGACGATCTAAGGGGTGAGGTCACCCCGGCGTCGACCCCCGAGGAATTTAACAGTCGCAGCAATTTCGGAGATACCGGCTCTGAACTTGTAGACTGAACTCCTCAAAGAGCTAGTGCTAAGCCTGTGCACACCATGCAACATCCAAAAGCAAATCACTTCCTTAGGCCTCGTACCTCAGAAGCTTAGATTCCGTGTAGGCTTCGAAGCTCATCACAATGTGCCGGAAGCATCTAGGACAGTGTCCCAGTCTTGAGAACGGTCTTGATGCCAATAGCAGCGACAGATGAACTGCAATTGCCTCATGGCTTTCAAAGGAGGGTCCACAAACTCTACCAGCTTTTCGCCTTCTTCTCAACTTCCGGAAGCCCGACAGGGTGTGCATGAGGCGTACCTGCCCGCATGATCTGCGTCTGTGTTTGTCACAATTCATCGCCCGGCCGGTTGAGAAGAAGTTCTAAGCGATGACCGTGCGGTCACGTGGCTGTCAGGTTCTACAGCACAGAGACTGATGATTTCCGACGAAACTGGTAAGTGCCCTCAAGAGTTTGTCCGCTTCCAAGACTCTATCCAAGTGAAGTCCCATCATCACTGTGTTTGGTCGAAATCATCCTAAAGCTCTTGTGAGACGCAGGCTTTGCCTTTAAAAATCAAATTGGGCCGGGGCAGAAGTGCTCCGCAGGCTGCCCGAAAGCCCCGAAGTCTTCCAACTGCAACACCTACGTACGAGATCGATCTACATCGGCGGTTACTATCCTGACCGATAACTAAACTTTCAATAGGGATGACCAGCTCTTTGGGACAACCCAAGACTTGCGCAAGACTCCTCAAGTCGGTATCACTACGTTATACAGGTGATGTGCAGCGTGAGAAGCATTCACTGCAGCTTGGCTGTTGCCCTGGAGCTAGGTCACGTCAGTCTGCCTGTCGGGCCACACACCCCTCATAGATCCTTGCACGAAAATTATTTGTGAAAATACACATGCCTGGCCAACATCAGCCTCAACAAATCCAAATGAAAGCGGTGACAAATATATGTATACGTCCACGAGTCTGGGAGGTGCTCGCAAAAGCTTGTCGCCAAGCTGCCCACTTTCCGAAATGCGAGGCTTGGAACACCTTCACAACATCAAAAACGGTCAGGCCTCCTAGCACCGGATCAGAACTATGAGATGCAATGCATTCAAACAGCTGGAACTGCCACCTCGGCAATAGTCACCTAATCCTGCCAAGGTGCATCCTCTGTCTTCATCCTGACTGGATCGGACTCATAGAGGGTTCCAACATCGAAACCTGTCCTACAAAATCCTGAAGTCGCACCTTCGCATGCAATCCTGGGCATCACTTGGCTGTGATGCTTGATTTTTGCAGCATCTCCTAGGGATCCCACTTGGGGCTAACTCAGGGGAAGAAGTTTTCCGCCTCCTTCTCGGCGTGGACCGGGAGGTTGAGCAGGCGCGGGTCTGGCTCTGCTGGGGCTCAGATCGTCGCGGCCTGGGCGATAGCCGATAACGCGTGACTTCCGGCTCTGTACGGGAAGTTGCGATGTTTTTGCCAAGCAAAACGGCACAGCAGCAGCATCGTGCCTGTAACCCAGTTCATCGCGAATTCGTACTCTTCACACCCCTGGCAACCAGAAAAGCTACTCCTCCTCGTGAACCTCCTCCTGCTGCTACGACTTACTTATTACTACATACTGCGACTACGACGACGATTACTAGCTGACTACTACCAAGACCTCGACTACGAGTACTAGAATAACAATTTCACTAAGTTACTACCACCATGCACAAACTTCAGCAGAAAGCTTTGCGCAGCAAAACCAGGACCCAAACCCTAACACGGGTTTCTCTGCCAATTCAGCAGAGTTTCGTCGTTGGCGCAGAGGAGGGCTTTGCTCCGAATTCCCGCATGTACCTAGGGCTCGAGGGTGACCCAACTTGGAGCGCATTGGTGGTCGGACCAGCAATTTTTTCTCTCAGAAAAGTGATCAGGAACTTGCTTCTCATGTCAAAGGGTTCGAAGCATTTTTGCGATCTGTGCGCTGCGGTCTCTCGCAATGTTCCGCCTCCGTGCATCATCCCCGTGTCGAGTACTTGCCTTCTTCATTTCACAATGCAGACACCTATGGCTCAACCTCTGTGCCGTAAGCTGCATGTGGGCTTTTAGTAATGGTCGTTTTTTGAGAGCCGCCGTGCCAGTACCTCCGTGGTGCCTCAGCCAACCTCTGCACGTGGCATCTCCATGCAGGTGTGGGAACACGGCCTCTCTCAGGCGAGTGTGCTCTTTACGCGCCAACACGCTTGGCACACAAAGTCTTTCCTGATGGATTTATCTACGCTCCGATGCAGCGGCTCTTACAACCTCCGCATGGGACATGAAGTAATGGCAGTGGCACTACACAGGCCAGTCGGGCACCAACCGCGCAAGGCTGAAACATCTTGTATGGAATCCCGAAAGTCCACAGCGAATAAGTTCCGGCCCGAAACGAAACCCAGAGCAGGACCCAGGGCTGATACTCATCATGCATCCTTCAGACGGCAAAGAGTTCACCTAAACCACGATATTCGACGATCGCCCAGTATAGGTCAGGCTTTTATAAGCGCAACCCCTTGCATCGGATGAACAAGCAGCTGTTTGTAGTGTCGCAAACTTGGCAAACTGTCACGCTGGGATTGAAAGAGCAAGCGTGCATCATCACTGCAGGGTTAACATCAAGCTTGACAACCCCACAAAACAGCGTTGTTGCATGCCGAGGTAACCTCATCTCCTGCAGCTTGCTGCCCGCAAACGGATTGCGTGGCGCTCGCAGTGTGTCGTGCCATGCCGGAGTCCGGTGGCATCCGTAGCCTGAGCAGAAACTGCTCAAGAACCTGTTTGCACGGTTTCGGCAATGATTTTGTTTTTCTCCAAGCTGACTTTGACCGCCGTCCCCTGCCAAGCCGAGTTGCAGGACATAGCCCATCGATTGTTCTGCTCGCGCTCTTTGTAGTTGGTATCCAACGGAAGAAAATCATCCCGATATGCGGGCATGGACGTTGGCCGGAAAGTCGTTTTCAAACTGCTATTCTGGTCGTAGTAGCTGTATCCTGAATGGGAATTCACGTGCAAGCCGCTCGCATGGAAAAGCAAGAAACAATGCTCATGCTTTTTACCATAAACAAGTCCTGCATGGTGCCACTTGAAGGGAAGTGTGCGATGAGCGTAATTCGTACCGAAGCCCCACTTGGTGTCACCCATCGCTATCCACGGGCCATCCGTCAGTGCACCAAAACTACTACGCTTCCTAGAGCCCGTCAGTGTATGCGGCGGCCGCGGCATGCAAACAAAAGACACATGCCACATGACTCAGTGTTCACGTGTTTAAGCCCGTGAAAACTTCGCCAACAGCCAGTGATCCGCTGAAGTGCAGCAGTGCGACTCCTGTTCTCAAAGGCAAGACCTGCACCTGGGCTGAGGCTTCAAAGACTGCAAATGCGTCCAAACGTTTCTGGCTTGTGTGTGCGGCAAAATTTTGATGGACATTAGGGCATTCAACGGCGATCAATTCTGAGGACTTGATGGAACAAGCTGAGACAGGCACTCTTGCAACCCGATCTTGCTCCGACCTCAGGAGATTGCACAAGCATTTCATGATATTTCGTGGCACATGCGAGACCGGGGATCCCGCGGTGCGGGATAGACGACCTGCAGCCGACGCCCCCAGCAGAGCAAACGAGCGATGCGTGCAGATGTCAAGTGCAACACGTCCAACCTCCATGCGTATCAAGGGCTGGGTGACGTCCTGCACCGCAGCCACCTGCATCTGCAAAGAGAGCTCTAGCACCCCTGTACCAACCTCAATCCAGCTTTAAGAAACAATGAATGGACACGATATCTCCGGACTGAGAAGTGCATACTGAACCCCAACTCCCTGATCAACTCACACATCCTAGATCGAGCGAGATTTTGATACATACTCAAGATCTAATGACTTTTCATTATACAGTGAAGAAGGTCTCTGTTGGCACTTGTCTAGCGAAATGTCGATGCCACACTGCAGGGACATTTCCTCGCTTCCGCAGAAGTGTTCGCACGTGTCTGCTTCTCTGATAGTGCATCAACAGTAGATTCAGTAGATGCTGCTCGGCAGGCTGAAGCTTAAATGTCACTTCGCACTACTCCAGAGTCAACTGTAAGTCAAAAGCTGGAAACACAGCTCCATGCTGTTATTCCTAAGAGAGCATGGCGGAAGCTTGGCTGTTCAACCAACCCCGCCTACCACTGCCTTGCACCCGGACCCGAGATGTTACGTTTCAGATTCACTGACGCAATTCTCGTGCCTAGCTTCCGCCGGAGAGCATGCAGGGCTTGGCGATTGTTCGGAAGTTAGAACTGTGAGCGCATCTTGCATCCAAAGCAGTTCACCAAACCTTGCAGCAAGGAGGAAAAAAGCCACCAGGCAGAGTGAATTCCTGGTCAAACTGGACAATTTTGCCTACAGCCGTCGCTCACGTTGTGTTTATAAGAAGTGAAGTCCGCTAACCTGCGACTTGCCGCAACAAGGCTGCCGGTTTAAGTTCCGCATCGTGCTGACATGCTGCAGACGAGTTCCATCGCTAATTTCTGCTTTCTGCAGGTTCAAGCATGAAGTCCTTCTTCTGCGCAGTGAAAAGCTTAGCCACGCATACCAACATCGGGAGTGCCAGTGTGAGTGTTTGCTAATACTAGAGCTTTCACAGACGTATCTGGATGATCTCTGACATCCTGTGACAACCAGAAGACTCCGACTCCCCATGGGCTGAACACTCCTAGAATATGTCCAATAGTAGAAGAGGGCCCACTTGCCGGCCCCTGCAAGGTGACTAACACACTTTGAAGAAGTCCGTAAATTTGAAGGACCTCACTCTTGAGAAGCACCGGCTTCTGGACTGTGAGCCCGTGCAACCTCGATACATCGAAGCAGCACCATGCAATATTGATTCCACTCCGACGGGCTGTGGCGCTGCAGCTCGATGCTAAGCCCCTCAAGCACCCGGAGAAAGCTGCCGTGGTGATCCTCCAGTTGGCGCAAGGCCAGTGGGAGCAGCAAGCTCTCTGCAGCTTGCAGCTGCACAGCTTGCAGTTGAGCTTGGAGCTCCTGTAGCCTGCGCCCGAAGGCACCTCCTGGGAAATGATGAGGCAAAAGGGTGCGAAGCACCTCGGCATTCCTCTCGTCCGACAGGCTGCAAAGGAGTACGAGCCTTGGGAGAACCAGGAAAAGCTCGGCATCCTGGTCTTCGAGCATCCTCCCGAGTGCTGTCGGTGCGTCAGGACATGCGCAGAGTGCTGCCACGGCACTCAGTGTCTGCATCGCACCCTCGTTCAGGAGATGCTCACCAAGCTCCCAGGCCTCCTCCCAATGGCTCAGTGCCTTGACGAGGAGCGTGTTACAAGCGAGCTGCGGGTCCACCTCCATGACGAAGTTGGAGATGGACGCCAGGTAACTGCGCACCTCCACGAAGCCTGACAGGACTTGGGTTGCCAAATAGCGCCGCACCGCCGCCTCTGTGCGCGAGCCCCCGCTTCGAAGAAGCAACGAGGAAGCAGCCACAAGGACCTCCTCCGTCATGTCATCGCGGCCGTGGCCATGTGGGTTCGCGCACGAGTTCATCTGGGAAACCTCTTGGCAAAGAGCCCTCAAGATGCTCCGGGCCTCCTCAGACTGGTTTCGAATTGCCAGCGCCAGAGCAAGGACCCCGTCCCCCTCCGACCCCTCGCACCCGAGCTCAGACTCCGAATTCCAGGAGGGCGAGAGAGCAAGTCTTCTCGGCTCTGATGGCTCTGCTTGCAGATCGAAGCACAGGGCACTTTCCGAAACTGAATCCGAGGAGGCCATGGAAAGGCGCCGAAGAGAGCGCGGGCTCGGGCTCGAAGGCTCCGCATGCTCGGCCTCCGAAGCCGCCGGGGACCTCCTTGTCTTGGGTCGCCAAGGCGAATGCGAAGCCCGGGGCCCCACGTCGAAGAACTGCAGCTGGCGTTCCAACTTCACTGCCCGTTCCATTGGCCTCCTTGCCTCGACTTCGATCCGCATGAGCTCGGCCACGTAGCTCGCCTCGAAGTCGCTCCAGGCTTGGTCGAATCTGCCGAGCAAAACCGACAGCTGCTCGAGAAATCGACAGCTGCCAGTCGTTTCCCTCCGCCTGTCTTCCAACTTCGTCAGGAGGCTCTGGTGGCAGTGGCGCACGTCTGAGGCCTTGATGCGCGTGCTGCTGTGGATAACGTAGGTGCGACCGTTCACAGCCACGGACTCGAAGTCATCGTGGCAGGCCTCCCACAGCTCCAGGCGGTAGAGGTGCCTGGACTTCTGGAAGAGGACCCGGTAGTTCTCGGTGAAGGCCTGCCGGTAGCTCCGATCAGCAAAGTCCACTTGCTGGACCACGGACAGCAGCTCCAACGCGTCCAAGAACTTTTGAGGATTGGCCTCCTGGTGGAGGCTGGCTTCAAGGAGCTGCTCCAAAGCTCCTTCTGGGCTGCGGCTACTGCGGCTGAGTGGGAGCCTGCATGAGCGGTCGGTGTTAGAAGCCATGGCGAGACGTGCACAGAGAGCGACTGGCAAAAGCCAGAAACTAATTGACTGATTCAGCGTGCTTGAGGAAGTCGCTTGAACCCGAACGTTGTCAAAGCGTGGAAAAACTCCACAAAGCGGCCAGTTTTTGGTCGTGAAGCATGCAGTTCAATATAATATGGTGGCCGGCCTATTTGAGAAAACACCGGTGGGTGATTTTCGGCAAAACCGACATGACAGAAAGTGGCAGTGGTTTCTCTTTGCATTGAGAGCACGCACCACCCCCTGCGGCCCGGCAAAGCTTCCAGTCATCTACGGTTGCACACGCCGCTGCCTCTGTGAGCTCCCGTTCGTATACGTCGAAGCCATCTTCAGCGCCTGCAGGCATCCCGCAGCCACAGCAGCTTAGAACCCCAGCTCTGTCGATGCAGCGCTGCATAGCATAGCGGACTTTGTGGCATGTCAAGTGGCAGTTATCTCCACGGTAGCCGCTCATTTCATAACTGCACCGCATGGCATCGAGGGCTAAATCAACGGCTGTGCATGCGGGCCTGGTGGGCTCAGGCCAATCGTAGCCGATGCATCTACAGCGTAGCCCTGGCCCGAGACTGTCATCAGCACCTCACTCGTTGCGCGCTTGCGACTTCACGGCTTGATGTGCTACCCGTGTGCAAACTGGGCGGCAGCATTCACAGCAACAGAAGCTGCTGTAAAAAGACAAACAACCAGTTGCAACACGCATGCTCAGGCTGCTAGGGGTCCCGCCCAAGGTTCTTGCACGGAAAGCAACGTCCGAGGATTGAACACCTCTGAATTGCTAGTGCTGCTAGTGACCATGCCAAGTCTGCCACACCAACGTCTCCCCAACACCCGCGAGCAAAGCAATGATGCCTGAGCCTGGAAGCCATAGTATTTGCCGGCTGACAGTGCCCCAGCCAATGCGATGCTCAAGCGGCTCCTGTCAGGAGCCGTGAGAGGTGCACCATTGGTGAATCAGGTCACTAAAGGCCCATCCTGTCCACTGTGCACCACCAAGTTCCTGGAAGCTCCAGCACCCGGCGCCCCTCACCATCCTGCATTGGGAAGCCGGGGTACTCCTCTAGCCACAAAATGAAGATTCGACATCAGGCCAAGCGACGGCAGAATAAAGTGATGGAGGTAGGTCCTGACCCGAAGGTATTCGAACGTACAAGTGCTTGGCATGGCCTTTCAGCCTCTTCCCATGCTTGCAATCTGGCATCCCCGGCTCTGAGTCTGCCAAGTGTCTGAGCAGATTCTAGTCGATGGCACAGTGAAACCATCTGGCATCTGTAGAACAAGCCTTGCCGTTCTGGCATCAGGCACTTTCAGCTGTTTGCGCTGACTCACTGCCTCGGCTCGCGCGCCTGCCAACCGAAACAGTTTGCTCTGGCATGAAGAAGACCTCACGGCGTTCGCCCGCTGTGACAAAGAGAAGTCAGACTGAAGTCCTTCTCTTTGGAGCTTTGGACCTGCAGCTCATTGAGCATCAGCGATCCGTTGGCCGGCGAGGCGGCAAAGCCTTAGCTACGGTATCCACACTACCTCAATTGTCAGGCAATGCCTCCCACCGACCATCCACAAGTCTGAGTAGTTTGAAGTTTGGTCGGATCTAGGTCGAAGATCCAAGACCCGTCATGCCCAGCAGGCTGCGACCGAAGTGCGGCTGGGCTGAATGGAGGCATGGCCCAGCATGCCCAGCACAGGCACTCCTGATCAGGCTTGCAGCCTACTCGTGCGACATGCTCGAAACATCTATAAGACTGTGTGGCAAACTTCAGCTGTGAAAGACGCCGAGACTGGGCCTGCTGTCAGCTCGACGTCTGCATCCTTGCGAAAGGTTGGCTCGGGGTTCCCCCCTTGCTATGAGCACATTATAGTGCAGGATATTGCAGAAATCTCGCATCTTGGAAAGGCCAAGCAGCATGAAGGTGGGACTGCGAGAAGTGAACCACCTGACTGTCACAATGTCTCTGATCCGCTGTTGTCTGCACCCTGCTAGCGCCGATCTGCATCTGACAATGAAACTCTTTGGGTTGTTGTTTGGTCCACATGTGTCGAAACCCGACGTGGTTCACTGCTGTTGGGCGTCTGGCTGGCGCAGGCATGCTTGTGGTGTGGTATCCGGTGGCCTCACCGAATCAGGCCACTTCTCAAAACCTCCTGTGGGGGAGGTCTGGAGATGGCTGCGAACTTTAGCACTCATGCGAACCAAGAGAGTCTGAGCATGGCATGACCTGAGGGGAGCTTGCATGGCCTGCATCCTCAGCTGCCACACCTGCTCTAGAACCGCGATGCAAGGCCGCTTTGACTCACATTTTCAAGCCTGACCACATGCAAGACCGCCATGCTGCTGGCAATGTGCTTGCTAAGCCCAGCTCGTTGTCGGGGTTTTGTGCATCCAGCGGCGATTCTGGATTGGATAGCGTGACCCAAACGTCGACCTCGGCAAAGTGACCGCATGCCATGCAACAGTCCCAACAAAGCTCCACCTGAGTGGCCCGCCCAACTTCCCGCCCAAATGGCACCAAAGGACGGCAAAGTGTACACGCAGCTCCGTCCTGCCCGGTTCATGCTATGGTGCAAAAGCGGGGACGCCATGGAAGCATGCACCGGCCACAGCCTGAGCAGGACCACCTGGCACCCAACACAGGCAGGAAGTTGCTGACTGACATCACCTACGTGTCCTTGAATGTCCTACCAAGAGACCAGTGCACAAGCTTTAGCACGTGGCGTACTATGGGCTTGTTCTACCCTACAAGTACTGCTGTTGCGATTAGTCTTGCCGGCTACTTTCGCAGTTTGGCAAGCGGCAAGTGCCCAGCCGCGGCCTGGATTCCAGAGCTGAGCTCATGGCCAAAGCAACGGGCGGCCTCAGCGAGGAACTGCATGGATTTACTCGGAAGGTAGCGTCATCGGGACATCACACCTCTTTTGCAACGCGCTAAAGTCTGCTAGTCCACCTCTGGGCGCTGTAGTTGCTGGGATATGTGTCACATACTCTGTTCAGTCACCGACATCTGCAGTGCCCAACAATGACCACTGTAAAAGCTTCGTGACGCACATCCGGGAAGTAGTGCAACGGACTTGGAGGATTACTAGCGCGCGTTGCTGATTCACCGGCATGTAAAGGATAGAGGGCACAACTTTTCTGCAATGCAACACTCGGAATGGGGAGAACACAGAAAGCATGCGCCGGTGAATAAGGCCGAGATTCAAATTGAAACAGACCTTCAAATGGCGGCCGTTCATGCTATGAAACAACGGTTGCATAAGCGATCTGCCGACACTGTGCGGCTGCGGTCTGACAAGCTTCGTGTGCCTTGTCACACGCTGACCAATTCGGCAGCTGTACATTTCGTTCTGAAAGTGGCTTCAAAGCCCTGCAGCAAGAGCGTGCTCTCAGGTCCTTCCGAAGATGCGGACATTATCAATTTCAACATCATTTCGTGCGTAGCTAAGCTCAAGTAGTGGCAACGTTTGCTCTGAAAGAGCACTGCTCTGTAGAAATACCAGTCTTTCCTGGCTTCTTTAAATGTATATGGACTGGGTCCATGTGCGTCGAGTTTCAAATTTCGTTCATCACTGCGCCACCTGCTGCAGGTAGTCACTGCACACCGGCACCCGAGGCTGAAGACGTTGATGTGAAGAACACAAGCATGGCATGCCACGTCATCAGTGCACGACCGAATCACCGACCTGCTGCACAGCAGCTCACCTTGGCACGCATTCTCAACAAGACTGGTACCTTGGTCTTCCCAGTTTGAGCAAGCTACAAGTACATAGCTACAAACGTGTAAGGAGCAGGGGGTGACAGCAACGTTTCGTGGTTCCCCTCTGTTGTAGACTTGTCTGACAAATTAGCACCAGGTCGCTGCAATCCGCAAGTTCCCGTGAATGGCTCTGCCTTTGACAACAGTCGCCAAATTCCCGGCATTTTTCGATCGTCATGCACAACAGCATCAAGCCTTCTCAGTGCTGGTTCCACTGCTGGATGAACCAACTTGGACCCACGGCGCTCCGTCCTTTGCAATGGAGAGACACTGGATGCCACCGGACACAAATGACTGCTGTCTACCGTCGCCTCATCACTCCACGAGGATTGGATGTCTTCGACAGGCTTGTGGCCAAATCCTCAGAACTCGACTATTGCCTGTGACTTCTTGTGAAGCACGGACTGCAGCAGCTCAAGCTGTGAAACTAAAGGCGGCGCGCTTGTCACAAAGTGTCTTTACCTTCACCCAGCTCTGATTTCAGGATTTGGCTGCAAAGGGCCGACGTGTGCATCAAGTGTTGCTGGTAGGTGTTGTCTTGGGGGCCATGCCTCCTTCAGCACTCCCTCCAAGGTTTCATCAAGAGGAGCTGCAATTCGCGAAGGTCCACCTGTAGCGCGAGAGAGGGGGCTTGTGAATCCCAGGCTGCAAACAACCCTCGTACAGCCCGCCTGTGGTGGTGGACTTGATCCAAAGTGTGCCGTCCTCATCATACATGAAGTCGATAGGCCGATCCCAGTCGTAATCGTCATTGCCCGTCAAAGTGCTGGCACCATACCTCGCAACGAACAGACGTTTGACTTCTGCAAGCTTTTGCTCCAGTCTCTCGACGCGGCAATCTCGTGGAACACCCGTCCCTTCTGTCACGGTCCAGGGCGTTCCATCTGCATCATACTCGGTGTCAACATCTCGCCCGTACTTTTGGGCAAACAGGCCCTTCACGTTTCCAAGCATGTGCTCCAAACGCTCCAGCCGCATGTCTCTGGGACTGCCAGTGCCCTGTGTCTCCACCCATGGGGTGCCATCCGCATCGTACTGAACATCGACATCGTCTGCATCAATCTCCACACCGTACTTCAGCTCGTACAGCTTCTTGACTTCGCTCAGCTTTTGCTCCAGTCTCTCGACGCGGCAATCTCGCGGAACACCCGTCCCTTCTGTCACGGTCCAGGGCGTTCCATCTGCATCATACTCGGTGTCAACATCTCGCCCGTACTTTTGGGCAAACAGGCCCTTCACGTTCCCAAGCATGTGCTCCAAACGCTCCAGCCGCATGTCTCTTGGACTGCCGGTGCCCTGTGTCTCCACCCATGGGGTGCCATCCGCATCGTACTGAACATCGGCATCCTCTGCATCAATCTCCACACCGTACTTCAGCTCGTACAGCTTCTTGACTTCGCTCAGCTTTTGCTCCAGTCTCTCGACGCGGCAATCTCGCGGAACACCCGTCCCTTCTGTCACGGTCCAGGGCGTTCCATCTGCATCATACTCGGTGTCAACATCTCGCCCGTACTTTTGGGCAAACAGGCCCTTCACGTTCCCAAGCATGTGCTCCAAACGCTCCAGCCGCATGTCTCTGGGACTGCCAGTGCCCTGTGTCTCCACCCATGGGGTACCATCCGCATCGTACTGAACATCGACATCCTCCGCATCAATCTCCACACCGTACTTCAGCTCGTACAGCTTCTTGACTTCGCTCAGCTTTTGCTCCAGTCTCTCGACGCGGCAATCTCGCGGAACACCCGTCCCTTCTGTCACGGTCCAGGGCGTTCCATCTGCATCATACTCGGTGTCAACATCTCGCCCGTACTTTTGCGCAAACAGGCCCTTCACGTTTCCAAGCATGTGCTCCAAACGCTCCAGCCGCATGTCTTTGGGACTGCCAGTGCCCTGTGTCTCCACCCATGGGGTACCATCCGCATCGTACTGGACATCGGCATCCTCTGCATCAATCTCCACACCGTACTTGAGGTCGTACAGCTTCTTGACTTCGCTCAGCTTTTGCTCCAGTCTCTCCACGCGGCAATCTCGCGGAACACCTGTCCCTTCTGTCACGGACCAGGGCGTTCCATCTGCATCATACTCGGTGTCAACATCTCGCCCGTACTTTTTCGCAAACAAGCCCTTCACGTTTCCAAGCATGTGCTCCAAACGCTCCAGCCGCATGTCTCTGGGACTGCCTGTGCCCTGTGTCTCCACCCATGGGGTACCATCCGCATCGTACTGGACATCGGCATCCTCTGCATCAATCTCCACACCGTACTTGAGCTCGTACAGCTTCTTGACTTCGCTCAGCTTTTGCTCCAGTCTCTCCACGCGGCAATCTCGCGGAACACCTCCCTTCTGTCACGGTCCAGGGCGTTCCATCTGCATCATACTCGGTGTCAACATCTCGCCCGTACTTTTGCGCAAACAGGCCCTTCACGTTTCCAAGCATGTGCTCCAAACGCTCCAGCCGCATGTCTCTGGGACTGCCAGTGCCCTGTGTCTGCACCCATGGGGTACCATCCGCATCGTACTGGACATCGGCATCCTCCGCATCAATCTCCACACCGTACTTCAGCTCGTACAGCTTCTTGACTTCGCTCAGCTTTTGCTCCAGTCTCTCCACACGGCAATCTCGCGGAACACCTAACCCTTCTGTCACGGTCCAGGGCGTTCCATCTGCATCATACTCGGTGTCAACATCTCGTCCGTACTTTTGCGCAAACAGGCCCTTCACGTTTCCAAGCATGTGCTCCAAACGCTCCAGCCGCATGTCTCTGGGACTGCCAGTGCCATGTGTCTCCACCCATGGGGTACCATCCGCATCGTACTGAACATCGACATCCTCCGCATCAATCTCCACACCGTACTTCAGCTCGTACAGCTTCTTGACTTCGCTCAGCTTTTGCTCCAGTCTCTCGACGCGGCAATCTCGCGGAACACCCGTCCCTTCTGTCACGGTCCAGGGCGTTCCATCTGCATCATACTCGGTGTCAACATCTCGCCCGTACTTTTGCGCAAACAGGCCCTTCACGTTTCCAAGCATGTGCTCCAAACGCTCCAGCCGCATGTCTCTTGGACTGCCGGTGCCCTGTGTCTGCACCCATGGGGTGCCATCCGTATCGTACTGAACATCGGCATCCTCTGCATCAATCTCCACACCGTACTTCAGCTCGTACAGCTTCTTGACTTCGCTCAGCTTTTGCTCCAGTCTCTCCACACGGCAATCTCGCGGAACACCTGTCCCTTCTGTCACGGTCCAGGGCGTTCCATCTGCATCATACTCGGTGTCAACATCTCGCCCGTACTTTTGCGCAAACAGGCCCTTCACGTTTCCAAGCATGTGCTCCAAACGCTCCAGCCGCATGTCTCTGGGACTGCCAGTGCCCTGTGTCTCCACCCATGGGGTACCATCCGCATCGTACTGGACATCGGCATCCTCCGCATCAATCTCCACACCGTACTTCAGCTCGTACAGCTTCTTGACTTCGCTCAGCTTTTGCTCCAGCCTGAAGATACGACAGTCCTTCGGAATGCCAGTTCCTTTGATGACTTTCCACACGGGCCCATCTGATTCCGCAACGTCCTCCTGCACGATTTGCATGGGCATGCGTGTTTGTCTTTTGCCAGATCAACCGCAACTTTCTACTTTCACCACAGCGATGCGGTAACGAAATTGAAACAGCTCTCTGTCATTGCTGTATTCTCTCGGTTCCATCCATCCAACCCTCCCTCCCTCCGTCCATGCATGCACACAGACATGCATGCAGAGGTACATACACACTCATACAAACGTATGTACATACATGTATGCATACATACACAAAAACATACGGACCTACGTACCTACATAAGTAGAAGCCCTCGCCCTGTTCGACAGCACGGGCTCAGCATGTGCAGCATGTCTGCGAGTGGATGTGAAATAAAGGCCACCCGAACATCCCGAGTGCCAGCACGCCCCCATCGAAGACCTCTAAGTGGAAGGAGGCACATGGAGGCAAACCGTGCGAGGCATCTTCAGTGCAAAATGACACACATTTGCAGGGCGAACATGCGGAGGAGACCTGTGTGATATCGAGCTCCTAGTACTTATCATGCGCTCTGACACAGCGCTTGCAGAAGCGCAGTGTCAGTCCTCGTTTGATTGCGACTGGTCGAACGTGGTGCCATACTTTTGCTCGTACAGATCCTTTCAGTGCATGCTTACAAGCACACTTTGGCACGTGTGACATTAAGCAACGAAGTTGACGAGATGGCTCCTTGACTTCAGCCAACAGGGACTGCAGTGACTCCTGGCCAGGAAATTTTAGGTCGTGAACCGAAGGCAGCCAAGCCTCATTCTACATGCCCAGGACCCGAGGACCGGTTTCGGACTCCTGGGACGAACGCGGCCGCATGGTGCCAGCACCACCTCACGCCAGGAGGATCAGGACACAGCGAAATCAACAAAAGTCATGTTAACCGGAGACAACTCCCGGCTAAAGGTTCGTGCCTGGAGCACCGTCATCACGGCAGGCCGAGTCCTCCTGCATTGCATGCATGGAACAACCTTTAAAGAACGGTCGTCACGTCTGCCCTTCAGCCTCGGAATAGTTGCCATATTTTTGCCTGTAAAGCTCGCTGATATCCTGCTGCAAGGTTGCTCCACAATGACAGGACACTACCAGGTGTCTAGTCTGCTCTAGTTCACATGCAACTGAGTAGACAAGCTATGTTACTGCTTTGTCACCTTCCCCCCGCCTGGAACATGTCGGGTGCTTCAAAGGTTGCTCCTGAATGGTGACAAGCCGGGCTCAAGCTCTGTAGCGGCTTCTTCCTCAGCAGTCCTTCATCCTCCGGTATTGACAATTGCCTTGCCACTAATCAAGTCAGAAACAAAACTCGGGCTTGCGGGCTCGCAATATGGGGCTCCTTGCATGAGAGGTGTACGACCGCAATTACAAATGTCAGCCCCACCTCGTCAGCAGCGGGAAATGCTCGTCATGAAACTTAGATCGAGCAGAAGCATAGAGATATTGAGGCACTGTGGCCTATTGTCAAACGGTCCAACCACTCATGTGGTGGACAAGTCTGTCGTTGCTTGCAGAACAGCGCCATAGTATTGACTTTGCAAATGCGACGTGGCTGCCAGCCTTTACAAGCTTTCGGCGCGAAGCTAGCGAAGACCTTCCAACGTCCCTGTAGCGACTCTAGCGAAATACGAAGGTTACCTGCACTGCTGGCGGCATCTTGCAGCTGAGCCACTCCATCGAGGTTGAGGCTAGGAAGGCGAAACTGCATGTTGGGCGTCGTTCTCGGCAGCGGATGTGTCTTCTTCTAGCTCTTTCCAAAAGGCATGCTGACATGAAAATTGTCAAAGACTTAGGGGAACACGGCGCAGTGCTCGCCTGGGCATGGACCGGTACTGGCTATAGAAGGTATCACAAGCAGTACATCTAGTCCAGGTCCAGGGCTTGCGACAAGGGCGTCGACGAAGCGTGACACGCCTCGCTTCAGGCATCAGTTATCACCAGCCGAGTTTGGAGCATATCGCCCACACCTCAGCGTGCTTCTTGGGATTGTGATCGGGGCTCGCGGGCTCATTGCCGGCGAGCCCCTCATCCGCTATCTGGAGCTCCATCTCTCGCTGCATGAACCTCGAAGCACGACTAGCAGCAAGGCGAAAAAAAGAGCGGAGTGTCTGCAGAGACAGGAGACATCCTAAGCCGCGAGCGATGACATGTTGAGTAGGGATTCAAATAAGGAACACTGGGTTCTGAAGAGAGCAACTTCGCTTTTGACTGGGAACGGCTGCAGAACGTCTTGAAGTGCAGAGAAAAGTCGACAATGATGCGAGCTGCGCCCGTGACGTCTGATAGGCCCCTGACGGCTCGGCCTGTCTCAAGATGTATCCGTCCGGGGCCGTCAGAGACAAGCGCGCCTCACCTGACTTGATGGCTGAGCCTCATGCCTCTCAACGTGGACACAGTCAGGACACAGTCGGCACAAGGTGGGTGCTGAAAAGACAACATGTAATCTGCCTCCCTCCTAGCCGCTCCTAGCCGATACAATCCTTTTGTCAAGCAAACCAGAGCTTTGCCGCGGTGACCTGATGAATCACCATCATCCACGACGGAGCGTAGCGTTGCAGCCAGGGCAAAGCGGACGAGAAGACTGTTCTTCTGGCTTCCTTGTGATTGGCATGGGCTTTTACTGCGTGAAAAAGATTGGACTGGGAACATGCATGCATCGTCCGTCCTAAGTGTGGCTCAAGTCTGAAGAACGTCCAAGAGCCTACTCACCCACTGCATGCGAAAACTTATCAGAAACAACATGCATCCACTCACGGCACTTTACGGCGGCACGTCACGACCGTCGCGATGCTGTTTAAAGCGCAGCCATGGAGCTGAAAGGAGCATTGTTTCCACACGTGACGCAAGAGACAATGCCCGCAATGCTGGAGTTGTGCTGTAGCCTCACACAAGGCACCAAACAACACACAGAGACCATGTCCGAGCTCTCGGAACGTTAACAGTTCGCCGCGAGACTTGTTTCTCGCCGGCTTTTGCCATTTCGACTCCGTGACTGCAACAAAGCCAGAATCTGCTAGAAAGTCGGAAGCTCGAAGAACGCAGCAATGCTGGCTTGCCAATTTCTCGCTGGCTTTGGAGGAAGCTCTTTCACTCGCTATCTCGGCTGTCTGTTCTGTGGGCCAAGCAGCCACGCCCACAAACTTCCGGAGGCTCTGACCTGCGCAGGCTTCTATGGCAAGGATGACCGGCATCGATCTTCCAGCATTTTCCAAAATCACATGCTACATGATTAGCCACCAGCTTGAGCATGCAGTCGGAGGGCGTAGTGAGGCTTGGTTCCATCCGGCCGGAGGAGCTCTGCGGACAGCTGATCCGGAAAGAAGCCTCCTTTCGGACTGTCGACACTCTGCAACTCCTGGCTTCTCGCAAAGATGCCTGAAGGCTTCGCCAGCCCTCCGACGTGGATCTCAAGCCTCCAGCTGCAAGGGAGCGGCAGCTCTGGCGTGCTACAGCAAGTTGCCTGCCTCGCCCCTGCTGCCATTGAAACGTTCGGGAGCGTTATCTGCAGCAAGTTGCTGAAGGCCATGGGAGCCACAAGGGATGACACCTGGCAGCGGGCCAGGGCGAGTTTTATGCGCCACTCGCACAGGTAAGGAATGCCGTGCTACAGGGACATGAAAACTGTGTAACTATGTGTAGCTACTAAGGGCCACCGAAAGGTAGTAAAGAAAGAACAAACAAACGCCTCTTTCAGTGATTGCAAGGCTCTCAGATACTGACAAGAAGCCTTTTGCAACTCTACACCCCCTTGTGCTCCGAAGACAAAAAGACCCAAACAACAGGGCCTCGCAAGGTAGATCAGCACGATGGGTGGCATTGACGTCCCACAGCTCGGAAGTTACAGCGCAGCTCGAGCTCCAGCTCCCCCATGCCGTCAAGGGACCTTTTCAGTGCGGCTGCAACCTTCACCCTAAGAAGTAGTAACTATAATGAGTAGGCAAGTGATGCAACGTGCAACACAGGGGCTCAAGAACACTCGCAAGAAGGAGCCACCAGGGATAGGTTCCCCGACTTCCTGAGCTCACTCTGAAACTAGAAGATCCATGGTTAGACTTCCACGGACAGTCTTTAAATCAAGACTACCTGTTGTGCAGTGGGGCAACGGGAGAGATGCGCAAGTCGAAGCTTGGCCCATGGTCCTTCTGGCAGTTTGCAACAAGGAGAGCTTTGAGAGATCTTGAGTCTTGAGCTGCTTAGGCTGCCTGCCTCTGAAAGCTCAGCCACTCCATTGGACCCCCCCACGACCTGTTGGAGTGCTTTTGTCGCAGTCCTACCACGAGTGCTCGCTTAAATGCAAAGCCGCCACATCCCCGCCTCGGCTGCAAGGCGGGGATCGGGGAACTCCGCACCAGCTGTCAGCGGCCTTAGGACGCCGTTGCGACTCCCAAAGCACCCTCGGCCCGCCCTACATTGGCCCTACGTCTCCCATCTCAAGACCCTCTAAGTCTAGGTGTTCGGCCGATTCAGTTTTGGCTTGCCAAGCTCATGGACGAAGTTGTCATCACTACCCATGAGCCTCGCTCAGGCTCGGCAGCGGGATCTGCCACAGAGACGCAAATTACAAAGCATCGCACCGAAGTTCCAAACCAGAATCGGCAGTCGTCGCGCCCAGCTTCAGGATAACCTCTATAAGCACACAAGCTTCAGTCGTGGAAGCCTTCTGAGTGATGCCACGAAGCAGTGCGATCTCCGATTCATTTTCAAAACGAGGCGCCAAAAGGATGATCTGATACGCAACTCCGGGGCGCAGATCATTTCCCGAACCAAAAGACCTGAATAACTGGACAACACGGTGCTGTGTCCATGTGGGAGATCCAGATGCAAAGCCGAGATCTGGACAGTTGCAGCTCTCCTTCTTCCTTAGCTGCAGTGCTTTGTATATTGAGGATCCTACTGTTTTGGATGCCGAGATTCTCCTGATGTCCAGTAGCTACAGCCCCTGCCACAAAATGGCGTGGTCACACAGGCTGAAGGTTCACAAGACTGCTCGTGAGACGGAGAAGACTCACGATTGCCAGGTAAATCGAAAAGCTAAGTCCACCCGATCTTGAATTCCCAGTGACAGCACCGGCTCGCGTATTTATGAACGTGAGCACGATCACATGCGCACACACACACACACTTATGTCTGGCAGAAAATCGTGAAGTGCTGTGGTTCAAGCACAAGTCATACGAAGTAGCACCTCAAAACGAAGAAGTGCGAGACAGGAAATTGCGATGAATTCGTTGTTCAAGATACATGAAGGGGGCAGTCTTTTTGACCTGTACATGCACTTGCCTCGCCCCGGAAGGTCACAGACCGAGTACTGAGCTTTACAGCCCCTGCAGTGCCTCACCACCCATAATTCTAGTGCAGCGGGGCTCACGCACCTGGGCATTGGAAAGTGGCTGTCGTTGGCCCACAGCTCTTTGATCAACCTTGGCAGGGTGATGCATGATCCTGCGTATAACCAACCGCAGACAGTGGCAAACATGTCATGTTCATAGCAGGATAACTTCACATGTGTTTTATCCAATGCACTACTTCTACATCTGCACAGCCATATCATATTCTAGAAGTCTGTCTACTTACTACAATGAGAGCATGCACATTCATACATGCATTCATACACTCAGGCGCACATACACACAACCACAGACACACACACACACACACAAAACACACACACACACACACAACACACACATGCAGCACATAAACACACACGCGCACACACACACACACATGCGCACACATACACATCCATCCATTCACCATTCATCCGTTAATCCCATCCATCCATCCATTCATCCATTCATCCATTCCATCCATTCCATCCATTCCATCCATTCCATCCATTCCATCCATTCCATCCATCCATCCATCCATCCATCCGTCGATCCATGCATCCATGCATCCATGCATCCATGAATCCATGCATCCGTGCATCCGTCCGTCCATTCATCCATTCATCCATTCATCCATGCATCCATGCATCCATTCATCCATTCCATCCTTTCATCCATCCATCCATCCATCCGTCCATCCATCCATCCATCCATCCATCCATGCAGCCGTAGAGACAACCATACTTACGACCTACACACATGTCCATGCATGCCAACTGCGTACATGCATGCATACAGAGCAACAGAAAACACACATCTGTCCGTTAAGTGGTATTTGTAAGTTGTAAATGTGCATGTATCTACAAATGAACTTGGTCGATCGATGTTGCTCCTCTCCCCGCAGCTGCCTTCCGCAGGCAGCTTGGTTCTGCTCCCGCTCGGTGTTGGTCCTTGTCCCGAGGCGCGAGTAAGGCATGGGGGTCTGGTTCGAACAGATGTTCCTTTGTGCGGACAGGGTTCGTACTTGGCAGCACCAAAGCACCATCAACTTGAAGTGGCTGCAGCTGACCGGTGGCAAAATGCAGAACTAGCCTGTGAGCAGAGTTGCAAAAACACAGCTGAAACCGCGTTTCAAGAGAACGCTCGGAGACCTCTTGGCCCACACAAGCAATGCATGCGCGCCTCATGCCCCCCATCGTATGTATTGCCGACCTGGCAACGGCTCAGCTTCACTGGCAAGCCAGCACAAATTCGTCAGGGATGGGCTGAGACAGAGCATTCCCGCTTCCCATCCGCAAGCGTATCCAAGTCAGCGGCTGCTCCAAGCCAACGACGAACGACACCTTGTCACTGCATTGTAGAGACTTGCACATGGCCACATTCGCAGGTGCAGCTCAATTAGTCATCCTGCACAATCCGAGGCACTGCCACTGGAGCAGGCGCACCGACGGCTGTGGCTGTGGGATGAAGCCAAGCCACCTCTCAACAGAATTGCTGCTTATTTGGGGTGGAACACAGCGACAGTAAAAGGGAATCTGTACAGCTTTCAACAACAGGCACGGGACGTCAACAAAACCTGCATGATGCCAGCAACTTCGCCCAAAATCACCAGCATCCGAGCCAGGAAACTCAAGCCGCGGCAGAGGCAAAAGGTGGCAGGAGACAGCAGAAGCAACCGTAACGCCACAACCGGTCGTTGTCCGCACATGCTTGCTTGAGGGACAAGTAATATCTGAAACAGCATCGACCTCTCAGGTGCTGACTGGCATCTCTGCTGCGTTGACGAAAGAAAGCGTTCCAATCTCATGGCTGGTGCCTGACTCATGCAGCCTCCCCTCCGTTCCAGCGTTCAGAAGTGGCAACCGCATGTGCCAAGCGAACCGTGAAGTCGTGGCACCTCCATCAGGCCGAGCACAAACTCGCAGCCCAGCCTTGGAGGCGATGGATCCCCCCGAACAATCGCCGATGTGAACCCACCCAGACTGATCGCTGATTCGAAGTCCGAGGTAGCTTTAAGCTGAGAAGACTGAGGCCATGGCTGCGGCAGTGCTGGACCAGAGCTTCTGCGTCGAAGCACGGTTCGTGCAATCCTTTGGTGTTTTCCATCTCACTCATGCTTCTATTTCTTTCGTCTGGTGTGAATGAAAGGCAGAAGCATTTCTGAAAGACCGTCTGCCTAAGGTGTGGCTATTATCAAGAGACGCCAAGACGCCCAAGATCCTGCGGACACATCGAAGCTCGGAAGCTGTCCTGCGAGGTGCTGTGACTGGAACTCTCAACGACGAGACTGTTCCCCGGAAGCACAGCAGTCGAGTGACTGGAGTCGGCATCTTGAGCTACGCTGGCAGAATGCGCAAGAAACTATTTATGGCTGCACAGCACTCAAAGCGCACCAATGCAACCTGAAGCCGTCCCTGCCATCCTTGCATGCCCAATGGCAGTGCAGAGTGTCCCAAGATTGCGCCACAAATTTTCATCGCTCCGTATCTCGGGCTTACTTGCTGGCCAAACTAAGACTAACAATGTCCATGTATGACATACGTGTGAATGTTTCTACCTAACGATCTGTCATGGCCTCACTCTTTAAGCGTGAGACCAAACTAAAGACGGTCCTCTTGGAGGATCATTGAACTTAGCTCCAGCCTTCCTCTGAAACACGGAGCGCAGAAGCAGCGGCCAAACAAGGGTTCGCAGCGTGTCGAACTCTGGCTGCTCCAGCTCGATTTGCACATAGCCGGCTTGAGCTTTGCCTCCCTTCCAATTCGCCTGGCTGCCTTCCACCATACGGAGCTTCAGTGAGCAAGCTCTGCAGTCCAGCTCAGCATGACCTATCCGAGCAATGTCCAAGGTGGTGACCTGCATTTCGTCAGCCGGCCCGGGAGTTATCACGATCTTTTCTTCAAAAAAGGTCACCTTCTGCAACACTCCGTGGTGTTTTCCAGTCTGAGGTCCGGGCACTAGACACTTTGCCATCAATTCACAGATGCTCTCACCTCCCCCAGACTTTCCAGACTCAAGCTTGCTCTGGGCACTGTGCTGCTTTGAGCTCGTGCCGGATCTGCTAGCCAGCTGAGTCGTGTGGGCAGTGTGGGGACGCTTCGAGTCCACGCGCAAAGCTCGTGCAACATCTCTGGGCACGGTGTCCTGGGAAGGGGTCGACTGTAGGCTGCCCCAAGATCCTGGGCAACGCCGCAAAGCTCCAGGAAGTGTCCTCGAGGCCAGTTGTGATGTTGGCCGAGAGCTCAATCCCGGAGTGCTCGAGGAATGCGGCAGCGCACCATGGCCACCATGGTGCCTGGGACCTGAACACATCACGCCCTTCCCTTGAGCCAAGCGGGCGAGCAGCCCGACAGCAGCATGACACCTGAACCCGTTACTTCCTGTACTGTTCGGGCGAGTGCTGATGGGAGCCTTAAGATTGGGTCGTGGGGAACCGTACTACACAAGGCCCTCCAGCCAGCACTGCTCATTGTCGCCACAGTTCCCCAACCGTCCTCCAACCGTCGGCAGACTGGTCTGCAACACGAACCTCCTGTGCAAAAAGAGGCTCTCAAGCATCTGGGTTTTGACATGTTCCCTCACGTGCCTCGGGTTTGCGGTTGCAGTAACTTCGTGACCTCCCGTGTCCAGACCCCTGTCGCGTGGAGTGTAAGACGGGAAGCTGCGCCATTTTCTGAAGTGAAACACTCTGCGGCCTCAGGCTGGTGATGTGCTCTTCGGCGCAGTTTGCTCGGCACTGCACCTCGCTGCCCAAAATGATCCTGTCCGGGAAACCACACCCTCGACGCGACTCTGCCATGCACTTCACTCAGATTCTTGCGCTACAGGGCAACATCTCGGTCCCAAGAATATGCAATATTCCTTTTTCCGGGGCTTCAGAGAAAGCCATCACTTGATGTCGCCGATCCACAAGCCATTTTCCTGGGCAGATTATGAGTGTTTCCTGATGGGCTGCTCTCTGACCCTCTCTGAAAGCAGCTTCTTCTAATGCAAAATGACAAAATGGATCCATAGGGCCACCGCGTCCATGGACGACGCATGTCCAGATAGACTTGTATACCATTTCGATTGTACCATATTCGAACTAAAGTCTTCATCAATACATTGCAGCAGAGTTTTCGATTGCCAGCGTTGGGGGCCGGGGCTCTTTCAACCTTTGACGACTGACAACCGGCAGGAATCAGTGATGGAGGCACGCACGCACGCCTGCCATGGCACGGTAGAACCACTCAGCTCCATGATGCACGATTCGCTCTGGAGTGGAAACTATGTAATCATTCGTATGGGCACAAAGGCTATCAGTGTCATATCGGCACAATCAAGCTACAAATTGCGGTCTGAAGCTCCATCCATGCCAGGCTTTGCGGAACGTTGATGTTGCGAGCTGCCCACCTGGAACTCAATCTGTTCAATCTTGTGTTCATGGGTCAAAATAAGACGAACTCTCAGGCCCTCCTCGACAACAGCCTTCCCAGAGCTGCGTTTGCTGTTCCGGGTGCAGCAGAGAGGCATTAGCTGCCCTTTAGCCGGAGATGCCTCGTTTTGGCGAGCTAAACAGGTGTCGCAAGTGCGGCGATTCGCAACCCAGTGGCCAAAAAGCTTGGCTGCAGCATCTCGTCCTTGCGAGCCCATTCGCAGGGCTCCAACACGGCAGCCTGAACAGCACAGCTCAGGACGCCTTCAACTCGAGCCTGCAAGCATCTGCACCCAGTTCCCTGCTCCAGCGTTCTGACACGCATGATTTCCCGGATCCGGTGAGATTCGGTGAGACGGGCAGCATCTGCTGTCCGGTCCGCTTCAGCAAAGAATTCTGCAGAGCGACAGCAGAACCACCCCAGCATGCTGTGAAGGACAGGCCTCTGATTGAAGCAACGCAGCGAAGTGCTGCCCATCAGTGCATTCCAAGCTTTTTCCGAACTTCTCCTCATGTGCAAAGCATTGAAAAGAGGAACGGGGTGGATTCTGGAGATCCCTCAAAGCAGTCAATCCAACAGATGGCCAAGATGCAAGGTTGGAAACTGCCCTGCCCAAGTAGTCCTTAGCCGCTCATCGTAGAAGTCTGCACGCGTGCTTGCTGATAGTAGAGATCGCCTTTCGTGCGAGCAACTACCCCAAACAAAAGACACGAATGAGCAGAGGACCAAGCAACATGTCTAAACGTCCCAAGGGCGAATCACATGCTCATGGACTCATGGGGTCCTTTCTGCAACAGATCCCGCAGTGCGTTCACACTGTCAACTGGCCAGTGTTGGAGCGGCTGCTTGACCTGGCTGTCGACATGGATGCCCAAGCCGCCTGTCGCACCGCTATCTCTCGCAGTATACCATCCATAGCAGTCGGCATTTCCGGCATGCAGTTCTTATGCGGCGGTAAAAACAGTCTTGGAAGGTACTTCAGCATCGCCTGCCGGCGCGCGGCGATCGCCTCTCTACCAGATTCCTCACCTGCGGCTTTGCTCAGTGTGTCCAGTACCTTCGCGGCATCCTGCAGACTTCTTATTGAAGTAAAAATCGCAAACTCATCCCAAGGCATCTGCCAAGCGAAGGGTACAGCGACAGACATCGGCTCTAAGGCAACTATGACCAGAATGCATGCCCTGGCCATTGCGTCGTAGGCTCGCCGACCCAGATCGTAAACATGCCCGGGCAGAATTAAGCAGAACTGAGAATTAGCGTAAAGCTCATCTACGGACTTGTCTCCCCCAGTTCCCTCAGTCCCCAAAGCCAGCTTGCGTGCCCCCTCTCCGATGTCATCATCTGGGAATACTTCGATATGAAGGCGGGGGTTGCTCTTGTAAGGCAAAGTGGCATCTTCGAGGAGCTCCTTGAAGATTCGTCGCACCCGCGAGTTGTCGGTACCAACAAAGGCCACATCAATCGATCGCAGCCGCTCAGGACTTGACAGCTGAAGGAGCCTCTCGCAATCCAGCGTCACGGGGAATGGGACGATGATTGTGCGCAGTCTCTGAAAGCCTTTCCCGGGCGTGAAAATGAAGTCCGGGTGAACCATCTCCCGAACCCCGCCAACCAGAGCAAACACATTCACCGCAAATGGGTGAAAATTGGTCACATCGCACTCGAGCGCACTGCAAATTGAATAGGGGTGACAAGTGCCAGCGGAAATGAAATGGTCGTAGCCGGCATTCCGAAGGAAGAACTCCTCCCGAAGCATGGCCCACGAAGCTGACATACAGTTCAGCACATCAACTTTCCCCTCGTCAGCATCGATATACCGTTCGACAAGCAAGCTGGGGAAAGCTGGGATGTAAAAGACAGTTGCGTCTTCAGGATCTTCCACGCGAGCCGGGGAGCCCATGATAGCGTTATGCACGGCCTTTATGTGCACAGCATGTAGCTGGACCGCACGAGTCCAACCGAAGCCGCTGCCATGACCCCGCGAAATGAAGAATTCCAGTAGCTCCTCCCCAGCACACTTGGGTACAGGATGGACGAAGATCTTTACTGACTTCTCCAGGTCACCTGCTTCACTTCTCCAGTGCTTGGCAACGGCCTTGAAGTCGAAAGAAAGCAAGTCTTGAAAGATAGCCTTGGACACACGGGCCTGGACAAGTGGTTGCTGATCGGGTTGACGATGCGCTCCACCAACAAGAACACTAAGGGACTTTGTCACCGAGCTTTCATAGGAATCCTCGATGAACTCGCCACACGCGTTTCTGCAGCTTAGCAACGCACCCAGGATTGCCATGCAATGCCCGAAAGCACTGCCCTGCCATTGCTGGGATCTCATGTTCCCGATTCACGCACACCAACCATAGCAGCACGTTTGTGGACGACAGTGTTTCTGTGCCGAGCGGATGGCGCAGGAGCCGCCTACTTATGAAGAAACCGCACCAGCTGCATCACACACTCCTTGTCAACACATCGTCCACCAAAATAAGCTGCGGGTTACTCATGATGAACCGCATCATGTTCCTTGTGCTTGTCTGTGTGCGCAGTTTAATGCAAAGGTCGCTGCACTGATATGCCTGAGGCGCAAAACGGAGCAGGTTGCTACAAACCACAGGTGAACTTGTGCATGCTTGCCGAGCAATATTCGCTACAGTATCATGATGTGCTGCAGATTTGCTCATGCATTGCCAGGGATTCAGGGATGTGCTGAGTGGATCCGGGCGGAAGCTGCCGGCTTCAGACCAGCGGCAGACGCTGCAGCACCGCAGCAAGTGTTGGCCAGCTCGTGCAGCTCGCCTTAAAGGGCTTCCGTGAAGCTTTTTCCAGGACATCAGCCATTAAATGAACCGAGTTTCGCATTTCAAGAACTCTTTGAGGGAAATGATGCGGACAGCTTTTATGCAGTAGCGCACTTTGCACAGTTGTCACGGCCGGGGTGCGGCAGGCTGAGAGCACCGGATTCACCTGCGGTAAACTCGCGGTGGCAGCAGCTCTCTCAAGCCTCTGTCCGCTATGACTGGTTTCGACTCGAGGAGCACCTTCGTGTCATCTTGCCGTGCTTTCAAGTATTGCTCCTGCAGGACGTCGCCGACCTAGGAATCGCGGAGTCACTTGACACCGCCCTTTTGAAGCAACTTGTCCGGTGCAAACTTTTCTTAACGAGCGAGTTCAGGGGCTGACATTTGGCACCTCTGGAATGCCATGTCTGCTCCGAACTGCAGCCAAACCGGCGTTCAAATCGCTGTTGGAATAGTCGACACCTGCCAACCATATTCATGGCATCAGCTCCCCAATCAAATCGCCATGCTGGACCCCGCATGCTCGTGGCGCGCTCGAATAGCAGGCCTTGCGATAATGCTAGATGTTAGATGAGAAGTACACCGTACACCGTCCCGGCTCGCCTGTCATTGGGACCTGCAGATGGGGGAGCAGCGTTGAAGCTGAAGATGAACATGTAATTATGTAATGCTCAACCGCTTATCATTGAGCCTTTGTCAGCCACTTGGCCATCTGATCCACGGAGAAGCGCAGCGTTTCTTTGAGCCCCGCATCTCGCAAATGACTCCTTGACTGCATCTGAATCTGCTTCGTACTCACCATGCTCCACACCTCACCTGTACCCGGACCAACCTATCATCATCAAACATGTCGCATCATAGGAGAACCACTATGAGTCCAGTATCCCGAGACCAGTTTTTGTCTTTCCTGCCTATCGGTTCACAGTACTTTAAACAAGCAGCTGAAAAGTACGACAACAAGCTTGACTGACTGTTGGTGGCTTGCATGCAATAACTTACACTACGCAGCCGAGGATGTCCATGGGTCTGGAGAACAGCTGTCCGAAATGAACTTTGGGCACAATGCCGATGCGGCGCTCGGCCCCAACTTGCCGCACATTCTGAAGGATGCATGTGCGCCGTCTTGGCGTGGGAAGCTCTTCTCGCACACAACCGAGATCCACACCCCAGTGTTGATGGCGACGGAGCACCCGAAAGTTTCGTGGCAATAGCAGTAGCAGTAGCAGTCGTCGTCGTTTCTTTGCCTCCTGCATAGTATGTGTAGTAGTACTTCGTAGCAGCAGCAGCAGCAGAAGTCTTAGCCATAGCCATAGTGCTAGTCGTTGTCGTCGTCTCAGTAGTTGTTTTCGTAGTAGCAGCAGCAGCAGCAGCAGCAGCGTAGCGGTAGCCGTAGTGGTAGCAGCAGCAGCAGCAGCAGCAGCAGGGGGTAGTAGTAGCCGTGCTAGTACTAGTTGTTGTTGTGGTTGTTGTTGTTGTACTGCTGCTTCAGCTACTACTACTACTACTACTACTACTGCTACTACTACTGCTTCGACTACAACTACAACTACAAGTACAACAACTACTACAACTACAACTACAACTACAACTACAACTACAACTACTACTACTACTACTACTACTACTACTGCTACTACTACTACTACTACTACTACTACTACTACTACTACTACTACTACTACTACTACTACTACTACTACTACTACTACTACTACTACTACTACTACTACTACTACTACTACTACTACTACTACTACTACTACTACTACTACTACTACTACTACTACTACTACTACTACTACTACTACTACTACTACTACTACTACTACTACTACTACTACTACTACTACTACTACTACTACTACTACTACTACTACTACTACTACTACTACTACTACTACTACTACTACTACTACTACTACTACTACTACTACTACTACTACTACTACTACTACTACTACTACTACTACTACTACTACTACTACTACTACTACTACTACTACTACTACTACTACTACTACTACTACTACTACTACTACTACTACTACTACTACTACTACTACTACTACTACTACTACTACTACTACTACTACTACTACTACTACTACTACTACTACTACTACTACTACTACTACTACTACTACTACTGCTACCACTGCCACTTCCACCATACCACCACTGCTACTAGGACTACTACTATTACTACTACTACTACTACTACTACTACTACTACTACTACTACTGTACTACTACTACTACTACTACTACTACTACTACTACTACTACTACTACTACTACTACTCCTGCTACTACTACTACTACTAATACTACTGCTACTACTACTACTACTACTACTACTACTACTACTACTACTATTTTTTGCCTCTTGCATGGCTGATAATAATGATAATCAACACTTCTGACTTTTACCACCACCACCGCCACCACCACCAGTACCAGTCAGTACTACCAGTACCAGTACCACCACGACCACCACAACACCACCAGCAGCAGCAGCAGCAACAGCCGCAGCTACTACGACGACGACGAGAAGTCGACGACATACGAGTATGTACTGCCACTCTCGCAGAAATAAAGCCACTTACAACCAGAGAACTCATTGTCGTTGCTGAGCTACAAGAACCGGGGTCTTCATACAACACATGTGCTCTCCAAGAGTCCACAGCGTTGGATTTAAGCGTTCCAGCTTCTTCATAGTCTCTCCATCCGGTGGTATCACACCAGACTTTCCAGAGGCCTCAGCCGCCAGCAACTCGGCCCGTAGCAGCTCGTAGCATTAGCGGGATTTAACTGACCTCTGATGGTTCGTACATGGGCATAGCATCGCAGCATCGCTCTATGCCGACACGCAACTAAGTTGAAGCCAGTCTGCCCGCACTAGAGCAGTGAGGCAGGCTGCAGGCAAGGTGCCTTATCAAAGCTGAAGCCATTGCTGATGAGGGCGATTTTGGCACCGGCCCTCTCCACCTCCGAATCTCAGAGTCGCTGCAAGTGCCATGGCCATGAAGCTTAGCCCCGCCTTCTCGGACAGGGTGCCCCAAACCACGTCCTCTGCATGGAGTGGGACGCGGGTGTTGAAGCCACTCTGGAAGATGAGGATGCCTGCTGCCGTTCCGAGCCTATGTCGGGTCTGCAATCTGTCCGGTTCGGCTCGGGGGAATAAGCCTGATTGCACCGTCTTAATGCCACATTATGCGGCTTACAGAAGAAACGGCGTAACGAATCCTGACATTTCCTACGAGCGCATGATACCGTCGAGAAAGGCAGCTCTCTTTTGTGGGAACGCCCATCTGCTGTTCACGCGACGAAAGGCAGGCCTCCAGATTTGGGCACAATGACGTCGAGCACGTCTTTGCCTGACCGGCTGTAGTTGTGTCACAGTGACGTGCTCTTTTGGGTTGGCTAGGCGCGGGCAAAGACTGGTCGTGTCCGCCACAACCTGCCACAGTCGCATGCCGCAACATGTTCGGAGTTCTGTCGTTCTGGACCTCAAAGTTGAAGAACTGGGCAATCACACCGACCAAGTCGGCTTGTCGAGCCTGTCCAGAGTTTTTGGAAGGCAAGCGCGGCCAGTTCTGCCATGTTCTGCCTACACCACACCTTCTGACATCAGATCCATTCATGCTTTATCCCGCGGACAGCAGCAGGACAGAATCCTGTTCCTGTACATAAAGCATAGACCCATAGACAGTTTCGACAGCCTCTTCTCGCCTCTTCTGCCTTTCCCAACGAATTCCAATGCAGCTTCAGTATGTAGCGTTGGTTTTGGGGAACGAACGTGCCTGCAGATGTTCCCCGTCCAAGCAACAGAAACAGCTTTGGTGATTCAGCAGCAAAGATAACGTTATGTTTGTGTTAATTTATATGTAGATGTACGGACAGACTTTGATGTAGATCTAGATTATAGATAAGTAATTAGATGTTTCCCCTGTCACCCTGTCTCTGGCGAGAGGTCCGGCAGCAAAGGCATGTCTGGCGCCCTCGTAGAAATACATACTACGGGTAGAAACTAGCAGCATCTCACAGACATGTTGATGTCTCCTTCCTATCCGCGCTGCCGGAGCGGCTTTTCCGACCAAGACCAACCTCCATGGTGCCTGCAATTTCGGCAAGAGAAGTGTTCTTTTGCGATGCACGGAGGGGTTCGCAACTGGCATGCGCAGTACAGCAGTCATTAAAACAGCCATGACGGCAGGACAGGACTTGCACAAGAGCCACAAAGACCAGTATCCGATGTGGCTAATCTCAACAAGATCAATAGCAACTCTTCAGGACCCTTACCGCCCTCATGAAGCAGGTGGTGGCCTCCTCCGGCAAATCTTCCCAGAAGGCTAAAGACCGCTCGCTGGCTTGAGGGAAGCCGGTAGAACCATCCTTGCGAGATTGCAACTGGCACCCTCGTTCAAAACGTTTCGGGCCATTCTATTGAGTCTTGTCTGTACGGGAGGGGTCCCTTCGGAAGGGTCGCTAGTGATTGCTATGAGCTGGCCTCCATTGAAGCCTCAACCTTGCAGCCAGGAGTCCCGATATGGTGCGTAGGTATCCTTCTCATGGCGTGGTGCAGATTTGGCTGGCCTCTTCGATGCCAGCACCCGAAAGGCAATAGGACAACCTCAAGGATCTTCGTAAACCGAAGGTCGGTCCCCATGTTGTGACAACGGCATCGCGGCATCGCACTAAATGCCTCATCACATGCGCATCAAGTTGTGCCCGGACACTGCCGCCACGCTCCTTCACCGCGGCCTCCGCAGCATCGAAGACATGCTGCGCCAAGCAAGCGGCAGCTTCGGAATCACGGATCCCAGTCATGTAGACATCCTGAGGTTAAAGGGGATCATGCGCTCGGCAGATGCCGCTTGTTCTTGAAATTGCCAGCTGCTAGCGGCTAGCCAAGTCTCCACTTCCACTTTGTGATGTGCTGGGCGCGCAAAGTTGTACATGAGAAAGATCCACCTGGCTTGGAATGCAGGTGCAGACCCTCACTGCACGTCTTGATAAATCGCGACAACACGGTGTGCAATCATTCCAACTGCGCCAGTAGGACAAACACAGCACATCGTCCAGCTTCACGTCGCTGACTAGGACAGCTCGTGCCTCCAGGCTCCAAGCACTGAAAGACCACTTCAATGAAATCTTTAGTCTGCAATCCTGGCCTTCAAGGCTCTGACCGGACGACCCCACCCGAAAGCCAGCTACGAGAGTATGACGCGCTGGCCCCATTCGTACGCGCAATGGCTGGCCACATTTTGGACTAGGTCTATGTCGTGACTTCTTCTCACCACTTAATGGAACTTACCTGCGAAACATCGCACGCTCCCGGTGCCTTCTCCAGTGAGAAGAACTGGCACAGCTCATCCAGTCGCTTGGCCGTGGGTGCCGACATGGTATGGGGTCACTGCAAGGGCGCGCATCTATACGTGGGGTTCAGTGCTTGTAAGACTTCGCGGCTGCGATCTGCGATCATGCATACCTCGATCGTGCTCGCTAGCTGCTAGCGATCAAACGTTTCGAGTTGAGCCTGGCTGGAGGCGGGTTTACGTATGTTCGTGCTCTCCACTTGCCCTGCTTCGGACACACGAAAAGAATCTGTGCAAAAAGTCCTGTCGTGGGCTCGAATGCCTGGAACCACATCGAACTCCACCTGGGGCTGCCAAGGCCCCTTCAACTTCAACAGTCCCGCTGGTAGAAGCATAAGAGGTTGCGGGATATATGCAGGCCTCCACCTTGTGAGCGCTTTGGACGCGCAGTGCCGCGACCTTCGCCTCGACTCATGCATGGCTAAAATCGGTGGGCCACAGCAAGCATAGCCTAAATGAGAATCCTCGAATGTGAGAGGGAAGTGCTGTCCATCTCGTCTCCTACATACCACGTGCCGCATACTGTCCCAACTGTCCAAGCCTGTGTCACATCATGGCAATCAGCAGTGCTTCCAGAGATACGTCCATTCGTAAACAGGTGCTAGCACCAAGAAGCCTGCCCCTAGCGACGGCAGCCTGAACCACCGGCACTAGGGGGGATTTTTCATTTGCATAGGAGCTGAGGTGGGGGCTGCATCGAAGACGCAAGTATGCAGTGCCAGGCTTGTGTCCTCTCTCGCCTTGCCGAAACAGCATGTGGCGGTGGCGCACAGTCGTTTGTTGGGCTCAGCCTGTTTGAATGCCTGCCTTACAGTAGGAGTGCCATGAGAGCCGTTATGTTTATTGAACATGTCCCGGCCGGCCTGTGTACAGCCCGATGTGCAGTTTACCAGGAAAGGCAAATCTCCAATGGCTCCTCAGCATGGGCAAGAAGCCGGCCTAACGACGTCTCAAATCATTAGATATCTTGAGGATCGTGCCACTCGTTTCGTCGCAGCTTGAAGTGGGAGCTACGACTCGGAGCCTGCGGCGAGTAGGTGCAAGCGGCTCTACTCTCTACTCGGCAGCTCCGCGGCGTCGTCTTGGAGCCTCCTGCTTGATGTCAGATTGCTGCCCGACACCTCCATGCTCACCGGAATCCCGGTTGAGACCTCACTTGCACCGACGTTGGTCAGAGCGTTTTTCACGGAACGCACACACCCTTGAAGTCACGAATCAAGGATGGGAAAGGCTTCAGAGGATCTGTGCCTGAGGCCACCCACATGAATACTCCGGAGTCCGCGCCGAAAGCTCGGACGTAAAACCGTTTTTAAGAACCATCTTCCATTCCTCGACAACCCAGCAGATGCGTGGATGCTGTTGCATGGCCAAAGCCAGGGCAATCCAAGAAAGCCTATGTTTCACTGGTTTTGCTTCGGCTACGATCCGTTGGGTGCAACATCACGCCTTGCCATCTCGGTAGTGCCATTGACCCTCTTGAGAGGTGCATGCTTTACAATCCTAAGAAGATCAAAACGGCTCGCCAGACTGCGGGCGCGGAAGTCCCGTAAGTACAACCAGTCCTTTAGCTGATCTGGACGGGGACGCAAAGACTTCCCTCTTGAGCTCCGATGTGCGGTTGCTGTTTATATCTGTTTATAAGGATCTGCTGATCAGCACGCGCGCCACACGCTCGATTCGCAAAGCGCAATTGCAACGCTTGCGACCTTCGAGTAGAGAAGCTTCGACTACGAGCTTACCATCCGGATCCTTCCGAATGACACAGCTCATGACATGGTAAAGCTTTGCAGGTTCAGTCAGCACGTTTCCTGAGAGTGGGACGACCCATTCCTGGCAGCGGGCCGCAGCACTTGCAGGATGATAATTATCTTGCACATGGCTCTTCAGATTCTGTGGCCCTGCCTGACCCTGGATGGTCCAACACTGGGCGTGTAGGAAGACCTGTGACACAAAGCCGAGACATGAAGCAGTGCCGCGCGTCAGGTCTGGGCAGCCTCGCCTGCAAGCATGCCAGGACGATTTTTCGGAGTCTCTCCATGGCAGAGCATGCAGGGCCACATATGCGTGAGAGCAACCGCCGCCACTTGGGCTTGCCTGCTGGGCACTTGCTAGGGTGAAGCTGGCATTCTGATCTGCCCGGCTCGCTCTGAAAGCTCTGAAGGAAAGCAAATGGCTAAGCAGACGATGTCGTGACCACAGACGATGTCTTGAAGCAAAGGATAAAACCAATGGAAAAAGCTGTGCCCAATGACCTGAGTTCCACGATGAGCAGCGATGTGTGTTCCAAATGATTGATATGAAGGACGCAACTTTGGCGTCGTTGCTGACAGGTGTTTCGCGGATTCGCAATTATCGGAACGGCACCGCGACAATCCATGAGCGCAGCTGACAGAAGCACGAGAGCAAGGGTGACCTCTGCTGCTGCGGCAGCAAAGACCTCATGCAGGACATGAAAACCATACACGTCTCTTCCTCGCACTTGGGCTAGATCTCATAGTGCTGCCTCCGGCACTGCCAGGCCAGCAAAATCAGAAGTGTGAAGTGCTAAGTGCAGTGACAGCACTTCCAAACGCGGGACGCTTGTGGACCAAGCGCAGCTCAGACATCTAAACCTGTCTCAAGAGCCCGTGCCTCGCAGGATCCATCTGCACGAAGCAGAGCCTGGCCAGGCATACTGGCAAAATGTGGAATGGGCGACGTTGTGGCTCCTTGTGCACTGTGCACTAGGCAGAATTTCGATCCGAATAGGCTCACGAAGAGCCGCTGAAGTTACAGGTTGTTGAAAGTCACTCTGGGTCCAATGCTACAGGCATGGTGGGGAAGGGGACAAGCACTCATCCAAATGGCAAAGGACTGGGAGCGAAACGGTGAAATTCAAAAGGAACGGTGTCTTGGCCTCGCTTGGGCAGTCGCAGCGGCTGAACCTTCTCAGTTGCACAAATCGTTTCTCTGCTGGTGGCGAAGCCACACCAACCGCATCTGATGCATCATGCAGCCCGAGCTCAGCACACAGAGTCACAAAACACCTGCGCAGTCAAGGCACATCTCCGGTGGGACGGAAAGCTTACATTCCGAACTGTCGGCCGACATTTCTCTTGACCGGTACAGATCCACAGCAAAGGTGACTCAAGCACTTGCTCAGAAAAGTTCTGAGGCTTGGCACCCCTGTGCAGCTAGTGCTGCTCACGGCACAAGCCTGAGCAGCCGACTTGGCCGCGCTAGAGGTACGAGCGTGCGCAATTCGACAAAGTGCGTCATGGCGTTACCCGCTTAGCAGATGACCGCAGCGCAGCTGCCATCTGTAGTACAGCTCGTCCTGATTCAGAGGCCGCTCACTGCCAAGCAGTGCTCAATACCGGCGATACGAGGAACGCGAACGTATTCTGGTGATGGGGTGCTGCAGTACGTTGAATGCAGACGAGAGTCGTGCTGCAAAAACACGTTGCAAAGAAAAGTACCTGCCAGTGGACATGGCCAGCCAGAGATGGCAAGGATTCGCTGCTGCTGCTGCTGCTTCTGCTAAGCCGTGTGCAAGGGCAAACCATGGCGCTTTGACGGCCTGAGCGACAAAGAGATCCCGAAAGCACCTGATCCTTGCAGCCTTCCAGGTGTGTTTCAGAGCTGAGGCGAAGGCTTGGCATGCCCCACGTGTTGAAAACATGGTGAAAGCTGACTACGCAAAAAACGCAGATAGCAAAGTCAACTGATCAGCATGGAAGCCGGGTGCATGCGAATCTGTGCAATAACGGAATACATGACATACGGTCGTCTCCCTGCGTTGCTAGACCTGGAGAAAGAAATGCATGCACCTTGCACATTTCAGAACCTAGCCTTTAACTGGCGATGTTAAGTCAGGAAGGAGAAAACGGCGGCGCAGTTCGTGTAAACTTCTCCAACTGACCATCGATGCTAGATGATCCGGTGCCCATGGCCAAAGCGTCAAGATTTTGGCTGACACGTTCCAACCGCTGGAGGTTAATGCGCAGTACAATTTGTGAGGTGACGGGACACTGCAAGCTTGAAGTCAATCTTTAAGTTTGAGTGGCTGTAGTGGGTCTACCAGGCTTCGCACTTGACTGGCCTACTGAGTCTAGTGGGGACCGTGCATTCTGCTACACACTCAGGCCACAGCATGTCGAGGGACGCGGAAGGCGAATGGAGGCCGTGCCCAGGGGAAGCCACGCATATCCACGAATGCTGTGGCTGCGGGTCGTGAGGGTCGCCCATGGGACTGGAAGTAACATGGCATCCCATCGAGCAGAAAGGAAGGGGGTATATCAGCCGAAGAGCTGCGCAATGCGTGAAGCAAGATTTTGACTTGTCAGCGGCGTTGGATGGGGCTTCTGTCTGAGCATCGGCACTCTCACTCAGCTGCCCGGGTACCGACAACACACGCCTTAGCATCGCAATAACTTATAAGGCGTCTGTATTCGGTGCCACAGTTGGCAGACGCACTTTGCAAATGAATCTGCATTTCTTTTTGTCGGTAATCTACCCATTTCTTCTCCAGGGTCTGAAGCCAAGCATGGACGATCCCATCGATGGCTTCCTGTCAAGGTGCTGATGGGCTCTGGCAAACGTTAACTCAAAAACTGCCGTCTGAAATCTGCCTACAAGAACATTTGTGGCCAACACTGCCCCGAGCATTCCGACCTTTGGCGTCACGAAAACTAACGTAAAATTCGTCGCTTCATTCGCATCATCATCCTGTTTCTAAGTCCGAATGCTGTCTGACATGCACTGGCCTCCAAAAGCTGATTGTGGTCCCTTCATTGGACTCGGAAACCTCTGCATGCGTTGACAAGGGTCCTAGCATCTGCCACGGTACAGAACAGCACGAACAGGATAAACGCGGTACGAGCATCGAGGCCATACGTAAGATTCGAGGCTCTGGCGTAGGATCGTGAAGAAGGCCTTCGCGAATGCCAGGACCACGCCTTCTCCGAGCTCTCGCCAGCTTGCACCTCTTGTCTTGTGGGTAGTATTCAATCATTTGGGAGGGTCACTTCCGGGCTAGACCGGCGAAGTGTTAATGGCCTTCTGCGAGCTATAGGCATCCAAGGCCAGCAGCAGCAGCTGCGCTTCGCGGAGTGCCATCTGCAAACGGCCCTTGGCCTGCCAGATTTGTTCGTCGTGAGACATGGGCTTCAGCTCTGCGTTCGGGCTTCTGGCGATTCGTGGTTCGTGGGATGTCGTGGGGTGACTGGCAAGGCCGCCTCCAAGGTTTCTGGCCAGGTGTTCTGGTATTTGTGAATGGCCTGGCACGAAAGTCTTGACATTATGCCATGCGCTTATGCTTCCCGAAGCGCGCACCTTGGTCACCGTCTCCCTGGGGATCGGATCATCCAATCGAATCCAGGTCGAGCCGAGGGAGAAGTGGCCCTGACTGGTGGCCTCAGACCAATGAAGGCCACGGCCCAACTAACCGATTGATCAGTGATCGAATGGTGGGACAAAAGATTTGGTCAGCGTGGCACCTTGGCCTTGTAGCTCAGCAAGGCCTCCCAAACGGACTTGCCCTCCAGGGCATTCATCCTGCCCTGCTCGAGAGCCTCAACCAGCTCTTGCAGCGATGGCCTCGTTTTCAGAAAGAGAAACTACACAATCTGTGGTAAACACTTGGCACGCAAAAGCGCTCCCGAACGTGATGTGAAGGGCGAGTTGTAGGATGCCGAGTGCTTCACCGGCAGAAGTACAGCCAAGCACCAAACCCCCGCCCGCCCAACCGGCAGCTTTTTACAAACGGCCTAAGGTGTGGTAACGGAACGATGTCCATGTCCTGCTACCCTTGCTGGGGAAAACGATCGCAATACTCGATCTGAAGACAGGTAGTAGCGGCTCATGACAAACAATCGAAACAGCTTGACGTGACATGAGCAGCGCAGGGTCTAGCTGCAGGCATCACCATCTCATCTCTGGCCCCTCCCCTCCCTCTCCCTGACAAGGCTTCAAGTGTAATTACGGCTGTTGCATCTTAGCACATCCTATTGCCAAACTATTCTTCGGCCTGTCGCAGACATGCTGATAGTATAAACTCGCATCGGAAAGAACATCTACAAGCCGGCCATGGGACGGCTCCGAGGCAGGAGAAATCGACGATGAGCTTGCAGTCGCCGTGGGCTCGGATGGGTTCGTGGACTCTGCCGGATCAGCTTCCAACGTCCCGGAATCGGAGTTGGACCGCCGTAGTCGGGCCACGAAACTAGGCCGGATGCGAGTCAGGGGCATCTTTGTCCCGGCATCATCGTCATCGTACATGTGACCTCGCCGGTCAAGTGGGGAATGGCATGGCATGTTAGATCAGCATTGTCTGTCATATGCCTTTCGAAGCCGGCAGCGGTTTTGCGGACGGAGAGCATGTTGGCTGGTCGGCATAGCACGCATCAAACAGCAACGCGCAGTACCTTGTTCGCTATGTACAGGCACAGAAAAGACAACACACGTGCAACAGCATTCTTCCAGGCACAACTTTATAGGCCTAAGTGCTCGGACATGGCGTGGTCTGCGAAGCCATGTCGGCTTAGACGGAAGTCCCGCTTCCAATGAAAAGAAGGCCGGTCCTCGCATGACATGAACCATCTAGGGATCCACAGGGGGCGGTGGGGTTCATTGTGGGGCCACCGCACGTTAGAGATCAGCACGAAAGTGTGGACTCCCAGTCCTCCCGGCTCAACAGACGAATGCTTGAGAGATGGTGGAAGCCCGCAGCGCAGCCCGCAATGTGGCGGTCCATGTCGGGCCGGGCGAGCCTGGGCCATCCACGCGTGGACTCGACTCACAGGATGAGACTATGACTAAGGGGAGACCCTGCAAGTCCAAATAAGGTTTCAGAAAGTCAAGCTGCAGAGCGCTGGAGAGAGCCTGAATCACACGGGTGGCGATCTGCCGGCTCACCAAGCTTCGCTCCTCTTAGCCAGTGCTTGCGGCATGTCTGACATGCTTGGCTGCTTGGATGGTCAGCAGCATGTCTCCTTGAGCTGCTCCTTCATGGCCTCAGCGGCCTCTCGGATCACCGCCCGTGGATCCACAGCGGACCAGGCCCGCGGGCACGGGTCCCCTCAGGAAAATACACGGTCGAACTTCAAAGACCAGGATGCGGGGGCCCCGTTCTTGATGGACTCTGGTGGTTTCGGGCCCTTGAGCCCTCGCCCTGTTCTTGCTGAAAACGTGCTGTGATGCGGCGAGCGCATCCAGACATGCAGAACAAGTCATTGCCGTGTGCACCTGCATTGATGAAGTTTACCGCTTTCTCTTTGAAGAAGGTCTCGAACTTGCTGTACTTCCTGGAACAGCAGACTAGAAGCTTGGTTGTGTCCGGTTGGTTCCCTATGAACTTGCTTCTCGGATGTCTTGAAATTCGCTCTTGAATTGAAGTACGTAAGTACCCGCATATCTCACCCGACCGAGCGACTCGTCTGTGGGCTCGTTTGTGTTGTCCTGACCGAAGCACCTAAGAGATCAGAATTGGATGACCCGACTGAGAGACGAAGATCCAGGAAAAGCAGCTGCCTGCACTGAAGATTTCGCAAGGTCCCAAACTTGCGGGCCCAATGCAGAGCTGTTCTGCCCAGGCGCATGGGCGCCCCGAAAGCAACGCAGCGAGCCACACGAAGGAGAGCACGGCCTGGACCTCTAAGGTTACTCCGCTCCTTAGAAACTTCCGGTTCGATCTAGCTTCCACAGGAAGAACCACAAGGGTGATCTCTCTCGCGTCCCACGGGCTGACGAGTAAGCTCTCGTCAGAGAAAGCACGGCAGGAAACTTGTTGAACATGCCCCACATTTCTGGCTAGAACTTTGGCACGAGATGTGGCAAAGTGCCAAGTGCCGCTTGGTGGCTGGAACCAATGTCTGCATCTCACGCCAGATGAAGTACATGCTGCACATCGCATACATTCCACCCAAAGAATGGCCCGTCAACACCAAATGCCGAACCCCGCCGTTGTAAGCAGCATCCAGCTGCTTGGCAAAGGACGAAGCTTTTTGAACTTTGAGGAAAAACAGGTTGCGCATGATTCCTGCAGCGCCTTTGTGCATGAAGTGCGTGCCGTCGCCAATGACTTCGTAGTCATGTTCCAAATTCCAGTTAATGAAGTCAAGCAAATATGAGCTTCCTTTGAACACCACGAAGAGTGTCCGGTGTCTTCCTGGCAATTCTGCAGTGACAAGCGCCACCTTCACGCTGCCGGTGTGCAAGTCTTCCCGAAGACAGTCTGCAGAAAGCGAGATACCAGGAATTTCCGGGAGAGGTTCAGACACATCATCTGCGCTGTAAACCTCAGAAACCAAAGAACCTCTTCACTGCTCATGCGAAGCTGCAAAACACGGTGCTCAGAGAGTAGCGCCGCATCTTGAACGTAATCCAAAGCCGATGCATTGCCACGGAGCCCAGTGGCTCAGCTTGGCAGCTACCAACTCTTCCAGTCGGTTTGGGTCAATCGGCAGCTGGCCTGGGAACACGCTTGCGCAAGCGCCGCAAGTGAAAGGCTTCGACATGCTTCGGTGTCAAAAACCCTAGGTGGACGGAAAATGCTGAGCGCGAGGCTTGCCATTGTTGCGGTGCTGGGCCGGGGCTCTGGCGGCCGCGATCTGGCTAGAGCCAGGTCCTTCGCAATCGATTCCAGGCAAGGCCACGTCTCTTTCGACTGACATGTGCCGTCCTCTTGCAACTCGCGAAGTAGACTCATCACTGCCTGCTGCTCGCAAGCACACTTCGCCACTGCATGTCGCCGCAAGGAGACTTGGCGGCGACAACGGAGGTTCAAAGCATAAGAAGACACCGTGCGAACAGGAGTGACGAACCGAAACCGTTTTTGCCAACTTTGGTTAAACAAGGTCGTCCTGTCTCGGCGCATGCACTGTACAGCGCCAATCCTTGTGAACCAAGAGGCATCAAGGTGAGCCGTGCCCTGCCCTGATCCTTTTTGTCCAGCGAGTGGCTAGAGCCGTCTCAGCTAGGAGCGGTGTGGTGTCCCATTTTTTACGAGAAAGGTCAGCCTGGAAGCCAGCCGTTGATCTCCAGTACGACATCGCTGTCAAGCAAGTGAATCAAACACCGTGCGATGTTCTCTACATCATGCATGCCAAGATGATGAAAGCCATGTCTCGGATTGCCATCTCTGTCAAGCAGACGGAGTCTTGCAAGCATACTCTTCATGCCTCTGAACTCTCCACCATAGGCTTCCGAGTATGTCCGCTTTATGTTTATCCACTGCGCAAAGGCTCTGGGAAACGGCACTCCGCAAATGCCGCACTGGGTCTTGATGTGTTTGCAGTCCCAATCACCACACGTCACGAAAGCAACATCTTCCATTCCTCGTCCCGCCAAGTCTTGAAGCCGTCGGCCGATCTTCTCTGATAGCCACGTGTTGAACTCTGCCAGAACATCCGGGAAGGGAATTGCAGGTGTGTCTGTGACAGGACAACCTTCGAACAGTTTTGTTGGGCGTACAAACCGTTGAAATCTTCCGATTTCACTTCCAGCGACGGCGTCGATCAGCAAGACAGGAAATTCTATTATTTCGTGCTTGCCCTCCAAGTCAAAGACAAGGAAGTATCGAATGCCCTGAGGAGAAGGAGATGCCCCCGAAGCGGACAAGGGAGGTGCAGGCGGCGCTTCCTGGGAGACAGGTCCCTTCTTTCTTGCCCATCGCCCAGGTTTTTGCGCATGGGTCTCAACTGTCCCAGGATCCGGACCCCACTGGAATCCCAAGTCAGAGAGGTCTGTCTCGGTCTCGGTCTGGGCAGGCTTGCAGCGCAGCTTCTGGGAAAAGACTCGGGGGAACAAGGCAGCAGCACTAACCTCTCTGGCTCCGAGCAGCTCTGAAGCTGCAGTTCGCAGGGCTTCCTTCATGGCGGAGTCATCCGGATGCAGCCACTCATTCCTGATCGCCTCTGCATATGGTATCGAATGCTGTACGCTGCACGTATTTCCACGATGGCAATAGCCCGCAATGAAGTAACCGCATGGTCCGGTGCGATCATAGACAGGTGCTGCACGCGATTCCGAATGTCCGCTACCTTTCCCTTTGCCTTTGTCGGCCTTTCCCTTTCCTGTGCCTTTGTCTTGACCGGTATGCAGCTGAAAGGGAGTCTTGCGACGAATCCGACCCGAAACACGGTCCACTTCCAAGGCACTGGAGTGCTGAAGTGCATCTTCAATCTCCTGAGCACTGGTATCTAGAGCCTTGATCTTGTTGCAGGAGAGTAAGTAAGGCGCGATGGCAACCCAGCCGTCATTCTCGGCCAGCAAGTTGCAGAAGAACTTGTCATGAACCAAATTCTTGTCGGAGAGGTAGTACTCAATCTGCTTGAGGATTGCATGGCTTTTTTCAGCATCTGGATTCTCGGACATGAGCATGGGTTCGGAAGGTGCGCCCGGGAATCTTGCGGCTTGAGCTTCTGAAGTGGCTGCGTCTGCAATCAAAGGATAGACTTCCGAGTCGTGCTGTTTCCATTGCATGTGCTCTGGCCAAGGGTTTTCCTTAAAACAACATCCGCGGCCTCGTCATCGCAACGGACCTCTGCTTGACCCTGGATCGGCAAAGAATCATGGTCGAGGGTCGCAGAGTTCCAGGAGGATTGTGTGTCCACAGCTTCTTCCTGAGGCTCTCCTTGGTATCCGATGACAACTCTCACTCTTCTTGACAAAGTGCTGAGGGATTCGGTTGCCAAGCGCCAAACAGGCGACTTGTGCGAGTTAGCATCTTATCACGGAGGTCTGTCATACTGACCTCGTCGTCGTGCCAAACACTTGCCAACCCATGCTCGCCACAAGCCCGATCGAGGCTTCAGAAACTCACGCTGATGCGGCTCTGTTTGCATTTCTTTCCTACGGTTGAAAAAAGGCAGCGAACCTTGGATCGGATGCCTGTTGTTGTCGTTGTGCTGCTCGAGTGCCGGCTGGCCATACCCGAGGTCCCACGCATCGAGTGTCGGCTTTCGGTTAGGCAACCCAGCGCGAAAACCACACCACCCTAGAGCCTGCATAATCTCCCGGCATCTGATAAGTTGGGCAGACAGTACTGACCAAAAGCACTGTTGAGACAAATCGGTCCTGCATTGCCATGCAGCATGCATACACTGCATACACGAAAATGCACGACAGCACTACAATGTCACTACAAGACGAGCTCTGCCATCCTCACCAGGGCATATCAGGAAGTGTAGCAAATCTTAATGCTGATTTCAGCAAACTTTGTCACACCACCGTGTCTCGTTGCCGTGCCCAGCAGACAGAAATGGAACTTTGACTTGGCTGGACCTGACAGCGTCTACAAGTAGCAAACAGGAAGAAAAATCTGTGGGGCACCTGAGCGAGCATGCGCGGCCGAAACGCAGCTCAATCGAACTGATATCCTTTCCTGGTTTCTTGACTCCACGCGCGGAACCGATCCGTGCCGTTCCCACCTCACCTTCTCGAGCGATTCGAGCGACATGGTAAACAGCCCGCCCAAACCGAACAGTAGCTGTGATGCCCCCAGCATTCGCTGCATTACATCCCGGAGTTGGAAAAGATTCTGCAGTCCAAGTCTCTGCTCACGCTGTCGAGAAGGGAGCCGGGCCGAACCTGCCACGAGCTTCTTCTGACTTACAAACTTGCTTCAACATTTCATAAGTTTTCTTGCCTTCTGCATGACTGAAGGCGGCAGTTCTTATGATTTCTACATTTTCATTTTACTTTCTCGGTCGAGGAGCTGTGGATTCTGCCGGCTGGGTGACCCCCAGCAGTGGAGAGGGTGGCCTTGCATGCAGCGTGACATTTGGACTGCTAGCATAGGCCATGCTTGTGTGTCGGGCATGACAGGGCCCGAAAGAAGCAGGCCTAGAAGACGCAGTTTGGCTGTGGAGCGAACAGCATCTCAAGGCTGCAGCCAAAACCTGCACCAAATAAGTACAGGTTAAATTCAGGTAGGAAAGCGACAGAAAGAACCCGTACTTGCCTGCGCATGTACGACCTCCTTCACCAGAAGCCTTGTTGCACAGGGGCTACAGAGGCGACAAGCAGTGCATCGGCAACAGGGTGTGCAAAGCTACCTGACAGAGCATTGAAGAGATGCCAAAGAAGTGATGCAGAATATGCGGCAGTGCCGCCCCGAGTTGGCTTGTAGGTTTGTCTGACAAGCCACACAAGAAGAAACTTGATCGCCCTGGCCGTCCCTTGCTTTGAAGCTTCATCACGAAATCGAGAAGCACCCATCGGCGGGGGTTGTGCATCGAGGCAGGCTTCGACCCAATCAGTCTAGAATCGGCTTTAAAATCGCAGGCTGGGAATAAATTAGAAACACATATGCCAACTTTGCCAGCCATGCCACTTTAGTTGCAAGTCCGCTATGTTCTTCTGCAGGCTTTGCACGTGTGTGTCCGCGTGATCCATTGCTTTGCACCTGGCGCGGTCCCAAACATTCCGTGAGTTGTACAGTAGCAAGTTTAACATAGCTCAAGACTTGCTGCTCGGAACATCTGCAGCTTCTGCAGAGCACCAAAACAATCGACAGGCACATTAAGTTAATTGAAACCAATCCTCAAGGGACGGTATACATCACAGAAAAGCAGCTGCCCGGCACATGCAGCACTCGGAAAGAGGCCGACGGTGCGCTGCTCGGGAGGAAAAGGAGGCCCGCAGTTGACACACAGTTGGGACTGCCGCAGATCGACGAACGACGGGGCAGTGAAACCATCTAGAATGAGTAGAACGTTATTTCGCTTGCGGGGCCGCGGCTCAACCAGCACCGCATCCTGGACATGTGCGGAACAGGGCCTGGACTACGATTCAGCGCAGCAGTCGGCCCATTGTTGCAGTATGCTGCGGCCAGGAAGGCCATGCCCCTAAGACGAGATACTTCTCTTGGCAGTTAGCAGACCTCCCATGTACACTTGCTCGCAAGTTGATCCAACCATGTCCCGGAGTCCAAGTTACTGCGTGTGTTCGATGCCACGTCCAAGAGTCATGAGAATGTCGAACCGAAAACTGCAGCAAGGGCGGCCGTATGCTTCGATACTAGATACTTCCCATGAGTCGAACTACTGGCAGTATTCAGGAGCGCAGCAGAAGTTACAGCGCATACGAAAGTTCACCGAACAATAGTCGGGCTCAAGCTTACCTGGGGATGCCGCCGCAATGCTGCCCAGGACGGCAGTAGCACCTCGAAGTCCGCAGCCAAGAAGCTTCTCTAGTTTTTTGCGATCCTCTTGCATTCGCAATGGCCGTTCCATTTCACAACACACACGACGCTCAAAAACAACCAAGCGGGCCTGCCACCCACACCAGGGCCTCAGTGTGAGTGCGCGTGTCTTTCGAGCCAGGTTCGCCTCATTGTAATGGGTGACTGGGGCCGCCCACTGACCTGGAGCCAGCGTTGCCTTAGCTTGTCTGAGTGCCGAGAAGGCTGCAACAACATCTGGCAAGTCATCGTGCGAACAACTCCCCTCGGTAAACCCCCAAAAAGCCGAACCAGTCTTCTGCACGAATCTGCCGAAGCTCTTCGCCAATTCTGATCCCAGGGACCCTCTGCTTTTTTCTCGAGCAGGTAGACGACTTTGCGGGCCTAGGGCGGGCGTGGCAGAACTCCTCTATGTCGTGGAAGCCCAAGATCTTATTAAGGATAGCAAATGCAAGACTCCAGTGGCTCGACCAGCAACCTGATCGATCATTCCACGTCACACGTCCATTTGCAACATCTATCAACATCGATCCCTCTGTCGCTCTGTCGGGCTCGTTGAACCTTGGTGTGCAGGTGTAAATGCATATGTTTGCCTCTTGAGCACGGTCAAACGGGGCAAGCCGACATCTGTTTGAAGTTTCTTCTGTGTGTATACATTCTGCTCAGACAAGTATGGTTTCGCACACACGCTCGCCAAACAGCAATGCCAAAGCACCTGCTGTCCACCTGTGCACACTGCAGCAGGTGTGTGGGCATGTTGAAACCAAAGGCAAGCCCTGAGTCCTTTGAGTCCGTTAATTTGACACATCGATGAAGGCTGAGCCCCTAGGCCCTAGGCTCCCTGCCGAGATGTTGCGCTTGCCGAAGCTCGGGTGACGGCGGGCCTGGGCATGGAATCTCCTAAAGGCCGGGATAGCGACATGGCCATGAGTGCAGATGGTGCTCAGCAAGTTTTGGCACGGATCGTCGTGGGTTTGGACTGCAAATGCAGGCATCTACTCCTTGCCAAGCCTCCGAAACTCAAAGGAGCAAGCTGCTGAAACATGGCCTCTTACTGGGCGAATAATGGTGCCGCTACGCCCCCAGTGCTGGCGTCAAGTCAAAGCGCTTGACTTGGACCTGCGATCCAGACCTGAGGAGCTCTCTGCGGATGCGGTGCTTGAGGTTACCCAGGTCCCACAGTCCACGGTCGCCCCGGCAGGGGATCGGCCGCTGGAACTCAATGGCCTTGGAGATGACATTGCAAACGGGACCGCGAGCCCAGATGTAGTTTGGCTTGCAGTCTTCGGGTGCTCTGTTCTCCTGCACAAAGAAAAGGCCAGCGATCGCTCGGTGGGGCAAATCTTCTTCCTGCGGTGCCTCAGGCCAAGCTTCGAGGGTGCGCTGCCTTCGCTCTTCGTTGATCAGCTGGGCGCCGGCGTGAAGCGCGTACCAGCCAGGTGGGATTGCCCAGGTACGGTTCTCAAGAAGCTTGATGCCCCTCAAGATTGCATAGACTTGCTGTGCGCCTTGCAGTGTAAGGGCTTTCTGCGCGCTCAGCACCGCCTCTTCCAGCTCAGCATCGGGAAGTGGTGGCAAGACAGGCTCAAAGGTCTCGGCGCTGGCTGATCGCTGTAGGCCTTTTCCAGAACCTTTACCTCTGCCTTTGCCAAGGCCCTTGCCTTCACCCTTACCCTTGTCACGCCTTGGAAAATGTCCTGGGCGAGCCTCGTAATCCCTACCGTTGCTTTTGGGATTCTGGTGAAGCATGTGCGGGAAAGCACCCAAAGATCCCATCCAGTGGCCACCATCCTTCTCCCTGTTGCACCACACAATCACAGAGATTCGAGGACCGCATTCCGGGCCTTCTTGTGGAATCATGTGCCTCCATGTGGTGTTAATCGCATCAGAAAAAGCAAAGACATCACCGTTCAACTGGGGCATTTCAATCTTGTGCCGTGGGTTCTTCTTCTCCACCCAGATGAGCCGCCGAGGGTCTCCAAAAGTGGACCCTACTGTGAGGTCAATTGGATAACCACCCTGGTGGTACTGATCAGAGTGTAGATTGCACCAGTCTGTGCCATCCCGGTACAAATTAACCAGTGTGCGCACAGCCCTAACTCCAAAAATCTGCGTAACCCTTTCTACGATTGCTCTGTAAGTGGGGGCTCTTGCAAGAAGCTCCTCGTCCCCAATGCAGATCTGCCGAGAAAATTTCATGCCCGTGTCTAGCCAGCAGTCTTTGAAGTCCAGTTCAGACATCAGCCGGTCATATACAGATCTATCACCAGTTTCGCAGTGCACTGCTGGCAAGTAGAATGCCTCGTTCTCCAGTGCAGCTGGGTTTGCAAAAGGCCCATTGTCAAGCTCGGCAACGCGGTTCTCCACCTTTGGCGGGAGTGGACGCAAAACCTCGGTCTCGACTTTGGTTAGTACTGTGCTGTCGATGGCACGTCGTGCTACATCCGAATGCCCGTCGTGTGCGACAGGAACTCGACTTGTTAAGGGAGAGCTTCGGCTTTCTTGCCGCTGGCTTGAGCCTCCAGGAAGGTCGCCAGAGTCCGAGTGGCCACGAGAGTGTCGAGATATGGCAGTGCAACCGGCGCCGGCTGCTCCAATAGCCGACCTAAAGCAAGTGCTGGTCCACGTCGAGTGCCACTTCGCTTTGGACTCTGCCTGTTTGGTCACAGCAAGCGGCCCTTGGCCGCTTGCCAGAGGGAGTCTAGCGGGGACCCGGCGAGGTCGGACAAAGCGACTGTGGAAGCGCGAGCAATCCGCGCTTCCACATGCACTCATTGGCAGCATGGCAGCCGAAAGGTTGAGAAGATCTTCACAGCTGCGGCGAACATCAAAACCAGGATCAATCCGGAGACTGGCAGAAGAATGACAGTATTATGAAGAAGGTGCCCAGGTCGCATGAAGAAGCATGTGCAGTGATTGCACTCCATTTTGGTGACACTCCGGATGTAATCATTTCACATATGTCGCGCTTGAGGCGGAAACCACAAAACTCTTGGACTTTGCTGCGGTTGGTCGAGCCAAGTTGCTTCTTATAGCCCTTGCCTGCCATGCCGTTTCTGCACTGCCTGGTCCTTGTTCGGCCAGGGTTGCCATCATCTCTTGTCTCGACGGAAGGGCTTGACTTCACAGTGTGTGCTCAGTTTTTGAGCTGTCCAACACTGTGCTAAGCCGCTAAGCTATATGTAACAGACCTAGAATGCTTTGCGAGAAGGCACGCTTCACGTGGTCTCGCGCAATCACTTAAAAACATCCGGCATTGTGCCGCTGTCTTCGCCTTCACAGCCTCCAACAAGAATACTTTGTCCTCTCTGGCAGAGGCTGCACGGGTGTCGGGAGATTCATGTCTGATCGAAGTCGCCGCGGTCGATGACCTGAATCTGCTTGGACGTTGTACTGCCACCATTTGCGCATGCAAACAGTTTGTTTGAAAGTAGTCTCACCTACGACATCTCCGAATCCAGGCTAGGGACGTACGGCAGGTGAGTAAATTTCTTGCACGCCAAGAACTGCTTCAGGTGGACTTGGAGCTCGCAGATGTGGCACACCTGGCATAGGTTGGCTCTTCCCTTTGCAGCCGGTGCGTCAACATCTCAGTCCAAGAACGAAGCCAGCTGCAACCAGCTCAAGCATCTGAGGACCGCATGGCCCCTTTCGGAAGGCCTTGGACCCATCGGTTCCGCCGTCCTCCGGCTTGTCGTGAGCGATGAGCAGGAAGAGCCTACTTCGCTGTATTGGGACTTCAAGCTCTTTCAACAGGTGGACGCATTACACGGATCCCGGAATGGCAAGCCCACGACTGTCTTCTACAGAAAAGATCCCATCGAGTGAAACATGCAGGCATTCGACAAATGCAACAATCACGGGCATAGCACCGTTACGGGCCCTAACCCCGCATATTAACTACATCGACCTCGGGGCTCTCGGCATAATGGAAAGAGACACCCGCAATGCGCGAAAAGCCAATACACTATGTCTGGAAAAGTGTCCGTGCACTGCCATCTGGGCATATATGCCGCGCCACATGAATGTAAGTGCAAGAGTAAGTAAGTGTATGTGTGTGTGCGCAAGTAAGTGTGTCAAGTAAGTGTGTGTGTGTGTGTGTGTGTGTGTGCGCGTGCGAGCCTGCACGTGAGCATCTGCGCGCGCGTGTACATGTGCTGAGGCCGAGGGAGTGGCTTGAGATCGCAGTATCCACCGGCTGAGGGTGAGTGGAAGCCGTTCTTGACCTCAACAGTGTGCAGAAGTTAGGCTTTGGCGTGACTCTGTTATATGAACATGGCCTCTCAGTCTCCAGGGGGCCAACCCGGACGACAGTGGCATGATCGTTCTCCACCGTCAGAGTCAAGGCAAGGTTATAGATCTGCTCGAACTCCTCGTTCAATCTATTGCGGAGCATGTCCAACGGAGCTAGACGGCTCTTCTCGGGCCCCCCCTCCACAGTATGTACGCTTTCTTTTGCGAAGCGCTCGTCTATCTCTGGTTTGGCAAAGCACATTCAAGTACAGTGCCAGGAAAAGCGCGATGCACTCCTTCGGAGCGAAAATGTCGTCAAGGGAGAATGCATGCGGGCAAGAATACCCAGCAAGTTCCATATCTCCCGGTACAGCAACTACGCAGAAGCTGAAGCAAGCAAGTCTCGGCGCAGCAGTGCGCCGCATGTCAGTAATCAGCGACCCAGGATGTCTGCTAGGAATGTCTCGGACAAGTCCACGCTTGATGGCATGGCAGCCAACAGCTCAGGCATATCACCCAAACCTTTCACCGATGGCGGGCCCAGCCTCAGTTGGGGAGTTAAGAGAAATCAACCAGCGTCCCAAACGAAAGCCATCATCGAGAGGCGTTCGACTCAGGGCCTTCGTTTGAAGCTGATCGAGATGGAGCCAGTCAATCATCGTTTTCCGGTGGTGGGAGGTGGAACCGTAGGTCTGACATGACCGGGTTAGAATACAAGAACAACGACACGGCATGGCCCCTGGAAACTGTCTTGTGTAAAGCTCAGAGAGCAAGCCCTGGCAAAAGCACCTTGACACTGGAAACTTCGACCCAGCAGACTAGTGCGAACCAGCAGCAGGATAAAGATGCGACACATCGGCTCGTCGGCATCTATGTCACGCATGCCCACCAGGACTGGTAAGTCACCCATGTAGACTTGGGGTGGTGCCTCTGCTACCTCAGAACCACGAAGAACTGAGCAACGCAGTGCTGCAACCACTCCAGCTCAGAAGGCAAGCAGCAACATTGTTACAAGCAAGACTAGCTTAATTAGGCTGATCCTACTGCTAATATTTTTGGTAGAAGCGAGCATGTCACCGCAAGACTTAAAATTTAGAACATAACAACTGCCATGCATCGGCAGCTGCTAAGCGAGACCCCCGTCAAGCTTCACGCAGCCTTTCACTCCCGGAAATGCAGTGTGTTAACACCTTGCTATCCTAATAAACTTAATTACTCCAAAAAGGCCAGAAGCCATCTCAGCGCGCGGGCTACGTGGGAAGTGGGATTGTGAAGACAAGCTAGTTTTATGAGCCGTTAGCCGTAGCCCATGTCGAGTTTGCCGGAACATGATGAACAAAAATTGGGGTGGCGAGGGAAGCCAAGCCAAACTGGAAATCTCCTCCAAGCTGCCATCTGAAATTCTGCTCGTTTGCCCCGGACGGCGTTGACCAACAACGACTGGCTCCCCAAAGGAGTTGCCACGGGCAACACAGCTTTCAAGCGAATGCAGAAGCCTTGGCATGCCGTGCAACCCCTGCTCTCGAAACAACGACAGTAATATTCACCCTGCTTTTGTAAGTCGTGCGGCCCTGATTCATCAAGTTCATCATCCAAGCCTGCGCAGCACTCGTGACCGACGACACTGTATGCTGACATGTCACGGGTCAGCTAAACATGATCGAAGTCCTTGCAAACGTCCACGTTCGAAACAGCACCATTTTCCACGATCTGGACTGCTCGCAACGTAGTTTCGTGGCTAGCCATGAGATTTGGCACCAGGTTTGAGGGCTTGCCTCAGCTCTGCATGCGGTCGGCACAGCTTGGCAAATCGCCGATGCAGCTCCGCCATATGGTGATCGTGCTGAACGCGCTGCAGTAGGCGCTGTGAATTTTTGCTACAGCCGGAGTTGCACACATATTCTCTGCCAGCGGAACGGCAGGTTAACAATCCAATCTCAGCTTCGCTCAGAGGATTCTTCCACATGTGAATGGACGCATCCTTTTGGGGTTCAGTCATCGCGCACTGTCAAGAAGCAGAAGCGCCCCCCCCATGTGCTGCAGCCCTTCCGGAGCAGGCAGAGGTCCTTCAGCTTCAAGGAAGCAAAGCGCTGGCTGGCATCTTGATCCTGTGGAAAGGCCCACCAGGGAGCCAAGGGAGCTGAGCGGGTGGAGGCGGATGGAGCTGCAAGACGCAATGCACCTCAACGCTGCACATCAATGCACCCCCAACCTTCGATCGAACCAGGAGGACATCAGCAGCACATAGCTGGTCGAGGGAAGACCCCGACAGCTGATCTTCGAAGCAGGGCCTCGGCCCAAGCCAGCAACCGACAAGCAAACTCTAAGGGAGCATGCGCTGCAACCTTCGGCCCGCAAATGCCTGACTGGGCAAAGGCACCCGGTGGCATCAACCACGGTCACTATGCCTGCAATCCTGTACGCACTGCTTCGTTGGACTGCATCAGCGAAGATCAGAGGATCTGCAGCAGGACCAGTCCGGATCAGCACATGGTCGTATCGCTCACCTTGGTCTGAACCCCTGCTGACTCCTGACTCTGACATACACCATCTGCATGAACACTGGGTCTATTCGCAGATCCCGGTTTGAGGAGGGCGGGTTCTTCTCTCCCGATGCCAAACTTTCTGGGAAAGGTTTGAGCAAGCCAGTGTGGGGGCGGAGCTCTGAGAACGGACGGTCTGTTGCAACCTGTATTCCTACGCAGCCGAAGCTCTGCTCACTCTGCATACGTCTATAGTCTATATCTCAGGTCTTATCAACTCTACATAAACCCCAACTGAGTCCATGAAGGCTGCAAGTGTTCTGGGCTGCCTATCGAAGCTGGTGACTTTCGAGGCTCACCTTGGCCTTCCGATAACTGAACACAAGAATGGGAGGGACATGGAGGGACTGTCGGGCTTTTGCTGTTTCTTCAAGACCTGAGTAAGCTTCAGAGAACCTGGGCCGTCCGGTTTGGCGAAGGAAGCGGACCAATACGGGGGTTAAAGGTCACACGACGTGCACGCAGCCCGTGGCTAAATCGAATGCAAACACAAAGCATTGCTCTCGTGACCCTTCCAACCCGAGTGCATGCGGCCATGTATGACATTCGGTCGCATGTGGGATGTAACTGTGACCTGGTCATCATGATACCAGTACCAGCAACTTCCCCTGACTCTGAAATGTACAGTGTCGCAAGCCTATCAGTGGGGATCTCTGCAACCGGGATGCCCCAAGCAATCATGCTGTTCAAGCGTTGGTTCAGCTCACCCCCCGGCGTGCAGCAGAGGCAGCCGCTGCCGTAGTCATATACCTCCTCCAACAAGCTGCAGCGAGAGGAGACCAGCAAAGGCTGACAGGCGTACCTTGCGCCACATTTGCCAGCAGCTGCATGAAGCCTTTAGAGACGACTGCCGCATGCCATGGTTGGGGGGGTCACTCTTCGGCAAAGCGGTGTGTGATGACTGCCACGCTGCGCTCCTCGGCTCTTCGAGGCTCCGATCTGAGACGAAAGGATGCAAGGCTCCGCCACCGCTGGGGCCCAGGCCTGGGAGGCCAAAAGGTGCAGGAGCTGGTTGCAGGCGGTGGTCTTCCCCACGCCGAAGGAGCCCGCGATGATCGTCACAGGGATTGGACCAGGAGAATTCAGCGGGGCCATGGCGCTTGAAACGACAAGGCTATCTAGCAAATCTGGCGGCATCGACCCTTCACGCATGCTATGCCTGCTGATCATGACGCAGTCTTTTTGTGTGCTCCTTGCAAGCTTGAACCAAGATGCCAAGAGCTCAGATGCATGTTGCCAGTCACGTGACTGGCAAGCACTACGCCGGACATCTGATCTGCCTGACCCCCAACCCCGTGGGAGCTTCGCTCCTCTTCGGTGCTGCAGGTGAGACTCCCGCGGACCAGGTCCAGCAGACCACCGGTGCACAACAAGTCCGTGGAGTCACCTGTCCTTTGCAAGCAGGGGATGAAGGGTCAGGTTCCGTCCTCGGCTGTAGCATGATGGGAATTCAATCGCAAGGGAGTCCTACACTTGCGGATGTCGAAGAGAACCTGAGCCCTCTCCGAGAAGGGGTTGAGGAACGCCTCCTTGTAGCACAAGAATTCAACACATCTGCCAAAGACACTTCTGGCGGAAAATATCATCTCGAGACCCTTCGGGACCTCTGCGCCCCACACATCGTCCTCTTCCATCGTGTCTTGCGTGATGGATTTCCTGCAGTGAAATCTTTGCTGCAGGAACAAAGGGGCTTGAGGACTGGGGACAGGCAAACCCACCCACCCCGAAATGCCACGCATGTTCAAATCACAAGTCAATGTCTGTGCTGGTCAACATGGATTCGATGGCGTGAGGGGCAAATTAGCCGCACAGTCTATTCCTCTTCGGGAAGTATAGCCTAGGCCTAGTCGTGCTGAGCATGGCGGCAGGGGCATACAGAGGGCCGCCCTGCCAGAGAATGTCTGGGCCTTGCGGCGCATGCCGGACGTGGGGATGTCAAGATGTAAAAGCAGCACGGCCTGTCCTTACTTGCCGAAGCCCGCGGAGGAGGAGCCTGCATGCAGCAAATCTTCCCTCTAGCTGCCACAGGGCTCGGCCAACTGTAAAACAAACCATTGCTCCAAGTGCAGAGTAGATGTATGTAGATACATGTGCAAGCCATCTTCTCACCAGCTCGGACATATGCAACGTTTTAGCAATGCCTGCGGGCATCTGCTGAACCATCCAGGGCATGGTCGATGACTATGACGGCATCTGCACCTGGCAAGGCGCACGGTGTTGTTCCTGCTCTTCGGCCTCTTCTTAGTTCCAGCAGTAAACTTCTGCTTAACTTTACCGTTCCGTGCTTTGCTGTCGAAGTTGCTGCGGGTGATGCAAAAGTATCGGAGTCCAGCTCGGAGCCACCTTCCCAACCATGTCGTCATTCACATGTACCTTGCCTGTGCTCGGTTGCGCTGATGTAGCAGCTAGCTGCTATCTGCTAGCACGAGTGCAATACACAAATCCTGTACTAGCCGGGTTCAGCAGCAGCAGCAGCCGGCAAAGGCATCACGAAATTTCCGTCCATGTGGCACAAGTGAGCATTGCAGGATGAGCCTGCGCTCTTCATTAGCTCCTCGATGCCCACTTTTGGATCCTCCCAGGCAGCCCACGGCTCCTCACCTGCCAAGCCAGTAACGCAGCACGGCTGGCGAAGACTCTGCGGAGAGACTTCAAAGGCCTTCGCTGTGCTCTGTTGCCTGCGAAGCTGCGCCCTCCGGCCTCGGCCCAAAACCGGAACCAAGCGCAAGGGTGGTCTGCTGGAAGGCTGTGGTGCCCGGTGGGGCAACAGCCCACGAAGGTGAACCTGACACGCCTCCCTCAACAGGAAAAGTCGGAACCTCACCTCCGGCAGTCTCGCGGTTGTAAGCCAATATCTGAGACCAGAACTCTGGTAGAAGTACAGCTAACACGCCCTGTCGACCAGGTGTCGGAGAGGAAACAGCCGCCACCGCCTGCATCGTGGGCTAACAGGATGTAACAGGCCCCGGCCGGCATTGAGGCCTCCTGTATGCCGCGCCCCAAATCGCTCGAACAGTGATTCCACTGATACCTACTGTTCCAAAATGGACCCTGAATTGCGTTGAGCTGTGGCACGACTGCTTCTCTACGAGTACCCATCAGCGCCTTCAAGTCATCAAGATTGGCTCCAGGGCGGGCAAATCCAAATTCCAACAGTTCGCAGTTTTGGCAAGACCTCTTCAAGGTCTCCGCGATCTAAATACCAGAATCAAAACTTCCGTCATGCTTCTTCCAAAGCCAGTTCGGTGAGCCCAGCTAGTACACGCAATGTTTCCCTCTTCTCGGGAGGGTTGGCAAGTGTACCATGCTGTTGGGGTCGTGAGAGGTTGTCCTGCACGTAGCACTCGAAAAAATCGGAGGGCCATCCATGCCTCTTATCTCTCGAACATGTAGTGGTAATAAAGTAATACAGCAGAGAGCATGCAAAACTCGCGTATCCGAAGAAACCCAAAACACCAGTTTTCCCAGATGCCCATGTCATGGCGTCCGGCATGTCTTCTCGCCTCCAAGGCCTTTTGCAAAGAAGACCCTAGTCGACCCAGAACCAAGTCGACACCTGGACAAGGCTCAGATTTGCAATGATTTGCAGATAAGGCTTTGCTCCGGCAACAACCCTTCGAACCTGTGTCTGGAGGGTCCGAGTCACTCACGTCCTGGTGTAAGCAGTAATTAATAGCAGCAAATCCACACCCGTCGGCTTCAATGGGATGCTATACGATGAGATGTGTCATCTCGGCTGGTCCTCAAATGCATCTGCGCCCGGCAGGTCTGCCCGGTAGGCCCGCCTGTCGGCAACTGACAAATCTTCTACTCTGTTTCTTCGATCTGTGTCTGCCTGGATTCCTTACAACTGGAACCGTTTTCCGAGTAAGTTTTTGTTGACGCGCGGCTCGAACTGCTCTGTAAAAAGCGGTTGTGTCTAGCTACGTCTAGCTCCGCGAATTTTATCTAAATCGAGACGTGCCTGCCGAACGTCTTCTTCCAGCTCTTGCACGGTTTTACCATTTGCATACACACCCTCCAGTCTCTTGACTGTGGGGGTTTCAGGATCAATGGGTGTAAGGTCGAAAACCCAACCTCTGCCGTCCTTTAGACGGAGGAAAATGGGCTCATCCTCATTCTGGACGATGTCATCAACCTCAAAAATGGAGCCTCGTACTAAATCTTCCACGCGCTCCGCTTTGAGATCTGGCTCTTTTCGGATGCCTATACCGTCCTCGCCCTCCGTGACCACCTGGTACCAAAGGCCTGCCGAGGCGCCTTCTGCCTGGAGAGCCTGCGCCTCCTCCAAGGCGATCCGTGCTTCGGCCAGACGCATGGCCGCGGCTTTGCGCTTCTCTCCGGAAAGGTCTGGGGATCCCAACTCTCCTAGGAAGCCGACACCGAGCTCCACAAGACAGACCAGCATGAGGCCCACGGCCACTGAGCATGTCTGGCATCGCAGTCTCAATGTCCGGCGTGGCATTCCCGACGGAGAGGCGAAGCAGCGGCACTATTCAATGCTCTCTCCGATGAACTGTACAACTCCTAACAATCCCTGTAAGCCGGTCCAAGCTGCACCGCACACGTCACAAACGCGCTGTCATTCATCGGGTGCACTGACAGAACGATGGACAGCCACATAAGCCAGCATGTGAGTCTATGGCACAGTGCCGCTACAGCAAGTTGCGCATGCAACATCTCAACGCCTGAACTTGCCCTTCATGAGGTCGAGTGCCTGACTGCTGGAGCAGACACAGTATCGCAATGTATCATAATGCATATAAAACTATATACACACATTCATACCGTCACGCTGAGTGCAGCCACAGCATGCCAAAGCTATCATGCTGGCCTCGTGAAGCAGTGTCAGGCCGGGCGAGGCGTAATCAAACCTTGACGGGGCTTGGGGACTCGGGCGGAACAGATCCCACGGGTCTGCACAATTAGGCGATGCCAACAACAAGCGTGAACGAACTGCTTGACATGATTGGCATCTAAGCCGAAATCATCAACCTGCATCAGCGCTACTTAGAAAAGAACGGCCATGCCTTTCATTGCCTTTCCACACTATGGCCGCGAGCCGACGGAGACAGCCTTCTTTTCTAAGGCTTCCGGCCAAACACAGAGGCATCGTCGAGTACCCGGATGCCGCCGCTTTGACTCGTCAAAAATTTTCACTTATCCTGGAGTATCTCACGAAACAATGCAGCATTCGGCACATCCCTGGAACAAGGTGATCCCACGCACGACTCAATACAGGCCTCTGGTCGATCATGGATCGCTGTTTCGTTTGTTCGGTCCGGAAAGTCTGCGCTAGCGGGCTTTGGAGTTGTTCATTCCTACTGCCTGCCGGGCAGCTGTTTCTTCACCACGCGTGAAGGCTGCTTGTTGGGGGCATCCCTGTACTCCACCTGGCTTCAAGTTTGTGGAAAGCTGAGAGAGAGGACGGTTTCACTCAGCGAGAGGACTGGTACAGTAGCTTTCAAGCAGTGACTGACACTTCTGGCAAAAAAAGTTTCAAAACAAGCTTGACATCGCGCAGCTTCACTATTCACTCAGCTCTGGAAACTCAATCCGTTCCGGTGCAGCTTGTATCTGAGTCATGTTCGCAGTCGACCGGCAGAGCCTTTCCGCCAACCCGCCGGGCAAGGTCAGCAGCGATGGCGTGGAAAATCCGAGCGGCACGCTGCGCCTATGCAGTGGATACGGAGAGGGGACGGAGAGAGGCGCAGAGGCAGCGCACAGGGCAGAATACAGCGGAGTGTGGGGATATTAATTGCGTGATGGTGGAAGGTACATGCAAGACGAATGAAACACTTGGAAACAGTCACCCTGTCATGTTGCCCTAATTGGATGTCGCAGATTTCGCCGCACCTCTCCGGTTAAGAACTTCGTGTAGGCACCTTGGCTGCTACAGGTATGGCAGTTGCCCATAGTACTGGCTAAGAGCTTCACACAGAACGGCTGGGCCAAACTGCTTCAGCTGAGACACTGCCCCAGAAGTACAGCGGCAACCTCTTGTCCCAGGCACCCCACCTTCGACAGTCTGCAGTGCTTTCTCAATTCACTTCTGTTTCGCCTAGCTTCGCTTCACTTAATTTCACTTCCTCCGCTTCTCGTCACTGCTCCGCACTTCAGTCCCCTAAACCCATGGAGAAGCGCAAGCGCGCAAGCGGTGAGGCAGCGGCTGGACCGAGGCTTGGAGCCCATCGCTCGCACAAATCCTGAGTAGCCCACAGCTTTCCTGCCCGGCGGAGGCGGCTCCGTGTCCGAGGCCGAGGCTGAGCATTGAGCTCTCCAACCCAACTGCAGAAGTCCTGCAGAAAAAGCCGCCAGCCGAGCAACCACGTTCCAAGGGATTCACATCTTCTGTCCCTCTGCAGAGGGCCTTTTTTCCCTTCCTCGCGGTGTCGTCTGTGAGTCTTGCATGAGCCACAAGCTTGCCACGTTCCAAGGCCCGGGTATGTGCGTAGACACCGAATAGAATAACTGACGTAGGGGTTTTAGATGCGCCGTTACTTCGCCTCCGGCTCTTTGGGCTGAAGTGCACCTGCCTCGCAAGAAGCACACGGTGCCAAAGCTGCTGATACCGAAGCTGGCCCAGCAGATTTTTTCAATGAACATGGCAAGTGGCCGCCGGGCTGAATGCCCAGCTTGGCGAAACAGCGCCAAACGATAGCCACCAATTGCCCAGCGAAAGTCACAACCAAACAGCTTCATTTCTTGCGAAAGCTCGGGCAGTTGGCGACAAGCATGTGCAATTTAACTGCAATCTGAGGCAGTACCTGTTGGTGTGAAGATGAATTCAGCCAGCAGCCAATGACTGCCAGCCAGGTATGTGCAAGGCTGCAGAAAATGTTGCAGCAGTCTAACAGCTGAAAATTGCGGAAAAATCTGAAATGGTGCTGCGCTTCGTGCAGCTGTGTACATGAAAAAGGACAGCAAGCAGCTGGCAGGCTTCGTCTCATTTGATTTGAGCAGCGGTCTGAGCGGCAAGCCTTAGCCGCACTAGTTTGAGGAGAAGCTGCAGCGCACGTGCCCTCGTTGCCCTCATGCCTGCCTCACCTCGAGGCTCAGACTGCACATGACTGCACTACATAAATCTTTTGCCGAAACCTTTACAAGCTTCTGCCAAACAATTGGCGGTGGATCTGTGAAGCTGCTTAAGACATCATGCCTCTGATACAGCGGCAAGGCTTTGGCGAGCCAATTCATCCAAGTTGCTGAAAGAAGGATTCTTGTTTGCACTCCTCCTCGAACTTTTCGACCTGTGCAAGGTAAGTCCATGTAAGCCCTTCAATGACTTCCAGAGCAGACCTACTACCGTCTTGCTTGGAGGTGTTTCTGAAGACTCCGTTTCCGACACATGCCACACGGTGCAGTGGTGGACGTCTTCAAGAGATCGCAGATCGATAAGGGCAAGAAAGCAAACGGAAAAAAACGGACAGCAGAAGTCCCAGCAACTCCAAACAGCCACGCGGCCTCGCCCTTCTCCACAGCCTCCTGACGTTTCGTCCAAGCTGTGTTTGCATCCACCTTGTGTCGGTCCATCACCTCGCGTGCATGTGCCAGCAGCATCTGCAGGGCACCTATACCTCAAGCCCATCTTCCTCGCCAAGTGGGAACTGAGAATTTGGTGTTCGTGAAACCTCTAGTTTGTGCCCCGGCTCCGGCTAGCTTGCTGCTACTCCTGCCATATTGCAGGCAAGTGACTTCTCCCACGAGCTTCTTGACCTCCTGAGTGGTCCACTTGAAGGGGTGGAAGGAGTAGAGGAAAGTGAACTGAGCCGTGAAAGCCGCTGGCAGGATGTGCCTGAGGTAGTTGACGACGACACCTTCGTAGGTGAAGTCACCCCGGCCTTTGCCGTAAGGAGCTGACAGGCCCTCAGATGCTTTCCAAGGGAAGGTGAAAGTGCCAAGGAGGATGTCGGAAGCAATCCGAGAAAGGCCCTGGACGGCACTGGCCCGGAGGATTCGAGCGCCGTAGTAATCTGACAAGGCGCCTGGCACCTGGCTGCGATCAGTGAGGTCCTTGAGCTTCTGCCAGATGCAGTGAGCATCCTCCATGGCCTGACCTCCACCCTGGCCGAGATTTGGCATCATGGCATGGCAGGCGTCACCCAGCAAAGCCACGGGTCCATCAGCCCAGGACTTCAGCACGCTCGGGGGCCGATCGTACAAAGATCGATCTTCCAGACTGTTCACAGGAGTCGCATCCAGGAGATCGGCAATCTGGGACGACCAGCCCTGGAAGGCTGCTTTCACATACTCGCGCTTCTCCAGATTATCCGAAGGCACCTCCTCACCCTCACCGACTGCCACGAAAGCGTACCACTGGATGCGACCACGCCCGACGTCTGAGGTCACGAAATATCGCTTTGGGCCCATGTACACCTTGTAGCCAACGTCAAAGTAATCATCCGGCTTGTAGATGGTCTCACCAGCGAAGACAATGTAGCCGCTGTAAGTGCAGCCAGAATTGGGGCCCTTCTGATCTTCGTTCCACATCTGAGCACGAGTAGCCGACCAAATGCCGTCGGCACCGATCAAGACGTCGGCCTTGTACTCAGTGCCATCTTCGGTCTTGATGTTCACACCTTCATAATTGGGAAGCTTCTCGTAGCCAACCACCTTGGTAGCATTCACAAGAACACCTTCAGGCAGGGCCTGCAGCATGATCTCTTGAAGGTCGGGCCGGTCAACCACTCCAGTGTAGGGCAGGTCGTACATCTCAGCGGAATCCTTCATCGCATCGAAGGTGCAATACCATTCGCTGCGCAAGGCATCCACCAAACCATTCTTCCTGTATCCCGTGAAAGTGAATCTCTTCATCAGCTCCTCGAACAGCTCCGAGTCGACGTCGCGGATGACGGACAGTGCATTCGAGGCCAGTTGGATAGGACCACCGAATCGCTGGAAAGCGCTGGCTTGCTCCAAAACCGTGACTTTGATGGTAGGCTCCTTGCTCAAGGCCTTGGCCAGAAGGAGCCCGCCAACGCCTCCACCAGCAACGACGACTTTCAGTGGGTTGGCGCCAGAAATCTCAGAAGGCTTGGCTTGGGCCTGAAGCCTGATCTTGCGGAGCCGCTGGTGCATGCCACCAGCAACGCCCAAGGCTGCCCCAAGAACAAGAGCTCCCTGGCTCGAGAGAGCACTGTAGCCCTGCACGGCAGGCTTCCTAGGCTGCACCGCCTGCAGGCCTGACAGGCCGGACTGCGTGGTCTGCGCAGCGAGGGAGCTTCGAAGGCTTGGTGCGGAAGCAGAAGGCGACACAAAGCCAAGAGTGGGAGACGAAGACATCATCGCCAAGACAGCTCCTGCTGCACTGGCACCCACTGCCATCTTGCCCCCGTCAGTCCAAGGGTCAAGGGTTGCCTTGGCCTTCTTTGGACGCTCTGTGCGGCCCATAACCTGCCGGACGTCCTCGCTCTCGGTGCCGAGGCAAGGCTCCGGCGGCTTGCTGAAAAAGCTGGCGATCACAGCGTAGAGGGCGAGGAAGACCCCGGGGATCACGAGCGGAGCGGCAACCTGCCAGGCGCTCGAGAGCGTGTTCTTGAGAGTCTCGAGCAAGGCGTTCTCCTCGATGAGCTCCTCTTTTTCGATGGCGTCCACGGCCTCAACGACCTCCTGCTCCACTTTCTCCTCCTCAAAGACGGCATCCTTCTCTGCCTTCTCAGCGGTTTCCGTGGCCTGGTCGATGGCGAACTCGGATCGCTCGGCAGCCGCCTTCTCCAGAAGCTCGCTTTTCTCGACGACCTCCACTCGGGCCTTCTCCGCTTTCTCCAAGGCTGCCTTTAACGCCTCCTCGGACTTCTGCTCAGCGGCCAAAATGGCGGCCTCTGCCTTCTCAGTCGCTGCATTGAAGGCTGCTTCGCTCTTCTCCTCCGCAGCGAGGCGATCGCTGTCTGCTTTGGCCTTCGACAAGGCTTGCTTCTCGAGGGCACGCGCCGCCTTCTTCTCATCTTTCTCAATGCGCCTGGCTTCGTCGATCGCCTTCTTTTCCTCACGGTCAATCTTCTGCTTCTCGGCCTCGTACTCCTTGTCAATCTTGGCCTTGGCTTCCTTCTCCTGCTTCTCAATTTGGGCCTGCACGCTCATGCTGCGCATGGGGCTGCTGTGTGCACATGCGACCTGCTCACAGGATCGCACACGGCAAGCCAGGCCTTCTCGCGCTTCTCTGCTTCCAATGCTTGCTGCTTCGCCTTTCTTTCTTCCTCAATGATCCTCTTCTCCTGGGCTTATGAAGAAGCGCACCCAAGCAAAGTGCACATTGGCCGAATCCGCCGTGACAAACAGATCGCAAATTGAAGGTCCTTCAACTGCTCGGTGGCGCGTGCGGTCTGAAGCTCCTCTTTCTCAAGCTTCTCCACCTGAATTACATACAGCAAGCCATCAGCGACCAAAATCAAAGTCTGCAACTGATGCACCAACAATACACCTCATGTGCTTGAGGTCATGACTTTGCCACTTCATCGGCTTAAGTGGCGCCCGAGGCAGCATCCAACCAGCTAGCAAGCATGCCCGTCCATGCCACATTAGGAATCATGCCCACCTCGTTCAGCTTCAGTTTGGGTTTTTTCTTCTCTGCCTTCGGGGCTTGATTCAGAAGGACTGCCACGAGGAAGAGGTGCTTTTGAATGACACCATGAAGTGGCCTGAAGGCGAACGATGCCAGCATCACGTGCCGCGATCTCCTTCTCCAGCGTCTTGAGGCCAGCATCCTGAGAGCAATAACATCCACTGATCGGTCTCGGTCGGACCCTCGGACGCACGAACCCCTCTCTCCCTCCCTGCCTCGGCCAAAACAGGCCCCGGAGAGGAGGCTAGCAGCGTAGCAACCATGCCGGCAGCCGCCGCACGCTGGGCCTGGGGAAGACCTCAATCTTGTTCGGCTACACTAATGGCCTCTGGACAGGGGTAGCAAAATCCCTCCAAACTTCAAGTTCCTTCAACCATGTGGCTGTGAACCCTGTAAGATCAAGAGCTCAAGAAAGGAAGCCTCAGCTTGTCCTCAAGCGAAGTGGAGTGCTCGCGCATTCGTGCCACTGAAATATCTATGCGAGTCGAGGTGCTGAAAGAGGTGTCATCGCCTGTCGAACCGAGCCTTCAAGCTGCCATGGACAACAGTGCATGCACATGCAGACAGAGAGAGGCAGAGAGACGGACGGACAGACAAACATGCAGCATACATACATGCACCCGCCCATGCATGCATGCGTGCATACAACGTGCACCGCATTCGTGCAGGACCATGCATCAACTCTCACTTGTCTAGGCATCCTGCCAACATTCACTACCACAGGTTTTGCGAAGGCAGCTTGGACAGGAATACGCCTCATTGCCGCACGCAGGCCCATGATTGCCACAGCAACAGCGAGGCAGTGGGTCAAGCGCAGCTGCCTGCAGACAATGTGCTCTGTCACAATCAAAACGTTTCAGACCTATAGCCCACGGCCGCCATCGATGGCATATCATGTAATGCAGGACTGGTTCGGAATTATGTTCCTACCCGGCTGGAACATGTCAAATTTCGGCTCAACACGGCAGTGCGTGCAGGTCCATGGCCGGTCCCGTTGTACAGTCACTCAGCACAGTGACATGGAGATAGTGGGCAACTCACATCCTGAGAACGGACAAGTACGAGCTCCCTATCTCTTCATCATGTACAGGCTATCGGATGCCTCGAGGAAGAGCGCATGGTTGCCAGCAGATCAAGCGCGAGGGCGTCAGAAAAGCTTATCACTTGGGCCACAAATGCTTCAATTGAGGTTCAAGTCGGCAAAGACTCGCACGATTTGGCAACTGTCTCACATGCTCTGTTGCTCGCTGTCTCTCTCTCTCTCTCTTGCAATTGCTCGCGGGGGCAGTCCTCCATGCTAACCACGGCGCCACTGTGCACCAAAGCCTGCCAAGCTCTTTGATTGAAAAGTATACCGACTCTGGGACACTCGCGCCTCGAAGGTTCCGACCACATTTTGTTGTGTCAGCCACGGCAGGTCGTCATGCGCATGCCTCGGCAAACACGGCAGCACAGACAGAAGAGACCCAGCGACAGAAATCGAGTTGCAGCTTTCACCTTTAGCCCGGGGCCACTGATGGAGGGAGCGACCAGCGAATTTGGGCCTGCTTCCCAGGAAAATCTCGGCCTGGTGAGGAGATGGGGAAATGGTGAAAGCGATGGCGTAAGTTGGAAGCAAACGGCATTCGATTCTCGTCTGGATAGATTAAGTTATGAAAGCTCCACGGAGGCATGCGCAGCAGGTAGCATGCACACACAGGTGCTCGTCTGTTTTGGACAGGTCCAGCGCAGACAGATGTGGCTAGACCAAATCAAGCTGTTGTCTTCGCTGTCGTGCTTTTCCTGCCTCTTCAGTGAGCTTGGGCAGCTTCTTCAAAGCAAGTCTCCGGGCTTGGAGCTCCTGACAAGTGTTAAGCCGTCACGTCTGTAGCTGAGCTACCGCACAAGGCAACTGCACATGTTAGTCAACATGTCATTGTGAGAGCATGTGCGCAGCTGCACCCCTGCATGTGAATCGTCAGTCGAAGAAGTTTTCTGATGCCGTCCGAAGGCCGCCCAAGTTAGACGAAAACAGCCGCATCATCTAGGGCCGGCAGTTGCGGACGAGGTAGTGGCACGATTTCGCGGCCGCCGTTGCCGGCAAGGAGTAGTGCAGAGCAGCAGTAGTAGCAGTAGTAGCAGTAGTAGCAGTAGAAGTAGCAGTAGTAGTAGTAGTAGTAGTAGTAGTAGTAGTAGTAGCGGCAGTAGTAGTAGTAGTAGTAGTAGTAGTAGCGGCAGTAGTAGTAGTAGTAGTAGTAGTAGTAGTAGTAGTAGTAGTAGTAATCGTGGTCGTCGTAGGAGGAAGAGGAGCAGCACGACTGCTACTACTATAGTAACTATATTTTACAGCAGTAGCATTCGCACGAGCAGTAGCAGCAGCACGACTGAGTAGCACCTTTGATAGCAGCACCACCACCACCACCAACAACACAACTATCAGTTGCCAGCTTCGACAACAGCAGTCATTCGTGTTGTTGTTCGTGCTTGGTTGATGGCAACGACAGAAGCAGGCATCGCCCAACAGGGCGATACATTAGTGCGGACGGGGTTTGAATTGTTTGCATGCAGAGCTTCATTTTGTCGCAGCCGGCTGCGATTTAAACATCTGTCATCTACACTGATTCCGGTACGTTTGCCAAACACTTCGTTTGCCATCGCATTTCATGTAAAGGCAGCTTTTCTGCGGTGTTTTTGGTCCGTTGGCCTTCGGCTCGAATGTCCCCCTATTTGCTGTGCTCTTTTCAGGTTTTGAGTCTCCTTTGCAGGCGGCTGTTTTTGGTGCCTGGCCGGGTGAGGGATCCGACAGACACGTGTCTACAACTCATTGAAACCGTTTAAACCTCGTGTTGCCGCATGTTTGGTTCAGCCCCGGCCCTGGGCATTGGAACCTCGGATGGGCGATGACTTTGCATGCCGTGCGCCCAAGGAACGGAAAATATTTGCCAAAACATTGACTCGAGGTCGAAGCCGAAGGGATGAATGAAATTGGAAGCGCAACGCGGTCGTTCCTTGCCTCCCCCTTCCCAGCCCCCCAATCCATGACAGCATTCATGGTCCCCCCATAGATACGGCTACTGCCAACGACGGTGTCAAGTGAAGTGCGGCGCTTTCTGCTAGCAGTGTCTCCTTGGTCACGCTCAACACAAAGTGGCACTCAATATGGCTGTTGGTACTGAAAGAATGTGTCGCAACAACAACACAGGCTAACCCGCCTTCGCATAGTGCGCTAGGAGCTCGGAAGCCAGCTTTTTCGCCTCAGCCAGCAACAAAGCACATTTAAACGCTTTCGAGCGGAAGCGGCAGTGACTAGTCTTGCTACCATCGCTGAAGCATTGCACGAACAAGTTTGGCCTACAGTACGAAACACGATCCCAGAACCATCAACCCTTGCTTGCTTGCTTGCTTGCTTGCGAAGGGGTGATTATGGGTGCACGCACCCCGGCCCGAAGGCCAACCATCAACCCTCTCTCTCTCTCTCTCTCTCTCTCTGACTCGGATTCCGCGTCTGCTCATCAACCACAAACACGACGTGCTACCGGTCACCACTCAAACCTCACCACTAGCAGCAGTGGCAGCACCAGCGCCACCAGCAGAGACAATGCTGCGCGTCGACAACACGCCACCGCGATAACAACGAAACACCAGCAGCACAGCAGAAGCACAGCAGCAGCAGCAGCAGCAGCAGCAGCAGCAGCAGCAGCAGCAAAAACAAAACACCAACTAATAGCCACAACAACTATAGAGTAATGATGGCAGCTGCAACGGCAAACATGAAGGCGACGATGATAAGGACAACGAAGGCGACGATGGCAGTATCAACAGCATCAGTAGCAGCAACCTCCGCCACCACCATCACCTCCAACACCAGCACCACAACCTAGCAGAGGGCCTTTTCATGATTTCAAGTGCGCACCATGCATCGTTACAGCTCCGGTCCTCTGCGCCGTAAGACTGGATCGGTGGTGCTTTCTATTTCTGCGCTGTTGACACGTATATAGCTAAGCGCACGCATTGGGAAGCACAAGGATACATCAGGCTCGGCCTATGACAGTGCACTTCTTTGCCGCGCCTCCGGCAAGCACCATCTCATAATCCCACTGTGGAGCAGGTAGCGAGCGAAGTAGTTGCACCTTTTCAGAAAAAGAGACGGTTATTGAAATCACTCTCGGCCCCGGCAATTGCGAGCCTTTGTGTCTGAGGCCTGGGCTCTTTATTTGGCGGCTGCCTGAGCATACACATGCATACACATTACAGCCATGGAGGTCCGAGTTTCAAGGCATGTTCCAATCCACCCGAGCCCAGCGCTGCAATGATGCCGCACGCACCTGACCAAGTTGGTTAGCTACCACCCTGTGAGACAGGTGGCGAGCGCCAGGCCTGTGGCAGCAAAAGTCTCTGTGCGCCTGGTCGACATTACATCGAAGATGGTCGCAGATTCGTTCAATTCAGGGGTCGTAATCATGGCTCGGAACAGCAGCACAACGGATGACGGGAGTGCTTGATACTTTTGGAAGTGCTACGTACTCGTACCGAATGATTGACGGCGTATTTCTTTTACATACTGCCGGGGATTGGGTGCGACATGATCGCGGATCTTCGATCACACCCTTCTTGTGAGAGCAGCGCTTCAACTGGATCCATTCGACGCAATTACATGCCGGGGGCAAGGCAAAATCGACCACGACGCTCTGCCTGCGGTGGAATTGTCCGGTTTGACCAGGACCCAACCGGACAAATGGAAGGTGTAGGCCAAGGCCTCCTCATACCCACCGTCGTCACTGTCGCGAATCTCGCATATCTGCCTTATGCAGGGCTGAGCTACTCCAGTGGAGACACACAGCCAATGCTCATGGTCTGGCTTCATGTTACATTCGGATTAAGGAGCTGTTCCGGCACCAGGTTTCCCTCAAATAGCTGCTCTGGTCTAGCGGCACAGGTTCTTGGCAGCTGCTCTTGAGTGCTTCATGCAATGCAAAGCCTGGCCATACCACAGCTTCCGGAGGTAACTCTCCTGTCTTTACTCAGACTCTGGATTTACGACGAGCCCGACCTTGTGCCGAATAGTCGCGTGAAACAAAAGTGGAGCTTAGCACTTGGAGCCGAGCTCGTACAGTCGAAGCTTGTCGTGTTTGGAGATTCTCTTCACCTCTTTGTCTGCCACGAACATGGTGCTCGGCCTTGGCTTGGCATCTTGCCAGCATGTTTGAACTCACGAAATACGCTGCTAGCCGCTAGCCGATGAGGTCCTGACCCTCCTGGAAAAGCCAGCTCCTGTGCTTCTGGGGTCTACTCACTGTCGCAACTGCCACAAGCAGTGGATTCTAGATGTGTTCAGGAACTTTCACCACAAGTCCGCTCCAGGAATGCCCTTGCAGCAGCCGGAGGATCGTCGGCCAAGTTCGCCACAGCGGCCTGCGTTGCCACTCAGCACTACCGGTTGCATGCCTCAGCCAGCCGCACTTCCTGCACACAAAACCCTTACCTAGGTTGTAGTTTAAGCGCTACGAAATATTTGCGAAGACACACCTCGAACTAGCGAAGTGAAAGTGGAACCCTTTCTGGGCCTCAAAACTCTCCCAAGGCAGTCGACTTTGCCGCAGGAGCTCCCTGCCATGCATGCAAACTGCAAACAAGTCACACAAACACTGCACTCAACAAGCATGCGAAATAGCCGGCGAGGCCTGCAACGACTGATGCCCTGAATCTTTGCAGTCGTCATGCCTGCCGGAGCAAGGCCCACGATCATGTAGCACCCCTGGCGATGCCTTATCGAATCTGGATGAGCCTCGAAATGTCCGAGCTCGAAGGAGGGCCGTCTCACCCTGATCGAAGTGACAATCGCTGCACTGTACCGCCAACAGATTAAAGTACAGTACGCGGCATTTCGTGCCGGCCTGCAAGCTGACGACGGTGGCATCCGCTCCGTGCTGCAACAATACCTCCACCTAGATGGCTGGAAGGCGACAGCAGCATCCCTTGCACTGAGACTTCTATCACGTCAGCCGATTGCTGAGAAGAAGTACTGAGCAAGACCTCGAGAAGTGACTAAGCACACAGCAATGGTCTCATGACCGCCGGAAGCAGCGATTCCCAGCGCCGTGTTCCGAGCGTCCTGATGACTACGGCTGTACGACGAGAATGGCGAGCTGCTTTCGACACCATAGATACGAGGTGTTCGACATGTGGGTGACAGATGCCTTGTGTGTAAACTGTCTCCGATCCGAGCACCTGCTCTGGCGGCAGAAGCCGCACCAACGCTTGCGACACAATTCACTGTTCAGGGGATTCATATCGTTTTGCTTGCACTAAGGGCGGATGGGTCCCCGGGTTCCGGTGTTTCCGGGTATCCGGATCCGGGGCGCAAGCCAAGCAAGAAACACCATCAGACTAGGACTAGCACCAAGAACTCTCACGAACCGACAGGTGGACAAAAAACAAGAGAGAAGGCAAAACCAACAAAAACTATAACGACACAACAATTGATACCTCACGTGTGCTTTGTCGGTATGATGCTGACAAGGCACATTCATCGAGTCCACATCTGCCCGGAGTTGCAAGAGCTCCTGCACCCATCCCTTCAGGTTCTCCCAAGGTGACACAGCAAAAAAGCGAGGCTCCGGGCACTCAGACTCATAGCAGTCATAGCATCTCAATAATATACATGTGGACAGGGTCCCGCCTCGATGATCCCCGGCTTCACCTTCCAGCCGTACTCACAGGCCTGAGCTTTTACGGCCCCAGGGACGGACAGGCAGGAGCTTCTGCGATGTATGTCCGGGGCATAGGTGAGAGCAACCCGGCCGGTCGCTTGATCTCTATAGTTCAAGTTGGCCTGCCAAGAAGAGCAAGCAGGCAGTTGCAGTCCTGGCATGTCATGCCTTGTAGGACTGGCTTGGCATGTCAGATTCAGCTGCAGGTCGAACACAACAGTCTGAAATTGAGCGAACTCAAAGACGAATCGACCGGGCCTTGCGGTTGACAAGATCTCGCAAAAGAACCCTTGCTTCTGCCTTCCGCGGCTGGCGTGCGAAGTGGGATCAAACTCAACCAGACATACCTATTCCGTCCTATGCCTGCAAGATATTGTCTCCCCGTTGAGAACTTGGGAACTGAACTATGTAAGCTCAGAACCTCGAGCATCCGAGAGCTCTCGCGGATGGGGCCCTCCATGTCAACAAGCCATCTGGACAGCTCGAGGTCGAACTCTTGAGCCAGGTCCTGCAGCGAACGCCATCGGCTTGTATGACTAGTTCTTGGTCGGTACATCCTGTCTCAATGATATCTTCGATCAGTATGCCACACAGTCATTGCGATGCTGCCAGCTTTGTCACGTCCTTCTTGGCATTCAGCACTTGCTGAATGCGTTCCAGCCGATCTGCGGTGAGGCACTCCTCCACCGAGTCCCAGCACCTGGCACCAAACATGCACACGTCGCTAAAGCTGAAGAGCTCTTGTGTGCTATTGTGCGAAAGTTCAAGCTTGCATATTCGGAGGCCCCGGCCGTTCGTATTCCTTGTAAGCCGCCTCAAGTGGAAAGAGGCATGGCATGGTGCCAAACGGGTGCAGGCATTTGCAAGCAGCAAGTTGTGTGCAGTGGAAAAGCTGCGAGCCTGCGGCAGGAGATCTGCGCGGTACAAGGCATTGGCCTTTCGCTCGCCTGAAACTCCCACAGCCGACTCGACTACAGCAACAGCACTACTTAAGAAAACATTGGATTAATAAAATGAGACTCTGGATTTTGGGATTGATAGGGTTCTACATGAAATACCAAGCACTGTTAAAATAAGAAAACCAGGGTACCCTCGTCTGCGAGTCTTATTTTCTTATTTCGTTCTGTCATACTAGTGCGCGTAAACTTGGCCTGTGCTGTATGAGGGGTTCCATACATGAGGGGCCTTTGCCTAACATCCTGGCCCTAGTACTTGGGGTGTCCTAGGCACTTCGTGCCTTGACCCTGCTGAAGTTTCCCCTCCAAGGCTTCCAAGCACGGCTTTCAGGGATCGTAGGCATCCTCGTGGTCTTTAGCTGGGCTCTGGAACGAAGGAGAATAAGAAAATGCCAGAGTCTCGTTTTCTTATTTAGGTGGGTTCTGGAACGAAGGAGAATAAGAAAATGCCAGAGTCTCGCTTTCTTATTTAGGTGGGTTCTGGAACGAAGGAGAATAAGAACATGCCAGAGTCTCGTTTTCTTATTTAGGTGGGTTCTGGAACGAAGGAGAATAAGACAATGCCAGAGTCTCGTTTTCTTATTTAGGTGGGTTCTGGAACGAAGGAGAATAAGAAAATGCCAGAGTCTCGTTTTCTTATTTAGGTGGGTTCTGGAACGAAGGAGAATACGAAAATGCCAGAGTCTCGTTTTCTTATTTAGGTGGGTTCTGGAACGAAGGAGAATAAGAAAATGCCAGAGTCTCGTTTTCTTATTTAGGTGCGTTCTGGAACGAAGGAGAATAAGAAAATGCCAGAGTCTCGTTTTCGAAAATGCCAGAGTCTCGTTTTCTTATTTAGGTGGGTTCTGGAACGGGCCCTGGACATAGCCATATAACAAAACGGCCTTAAGAAAACCAGACTACCCTGACCCATCCCAGATTAAATATTCCCATAAAACCAGCCGCTATCAAAATAAGAAAACCAGACCACCCTGGTCCCAGAAAGTATTTTCTTACACAGCGCTCCCGCTGTACTCAGTGCCTACTCGAGTATGCTGAGCTCCGACTCCTACTCCATGCCCAGCGATGTGCTGGGACACTTCACGTGCTAATCTCTGAATCCGGAGCTCTGGGTTCGTGGAGTCCGACTGAGATCTTGGCTTACAAGCTGCTCCTGCTCGTAGCCGATTCGCGGCATCTGAATGGAGCCCGGCATGCTCCAATCCGTCCTGCAACGATTTCGGAAATGTCGTCTAAGTTTGAGGCTGAAATCTGCTAGTTTCACTCACTGCTTTCACAGAACTCGCCGATCAATCCGAATTGCAGTCTCTGCGTGTGTGGTCTTGCCGGGGGCTCGCCGTCGTTTGTGCAGCCCATCCCACTGAGGTCATGGCCATCCACCTTTTGTCAGCGCCTGCACCTGGAGATAAGGCACACCCCATACCAGCAGTCAAAAGTCGAAAGGTGAATCACTTCTGCATTCTGGCCGCTGGTACAAGAACGATTATAACTCGCGGTCACGGCAGCCAGCTGGCTGGTCTTTGCTACGCCGCAAAGACAAGCTGAGCGTGGGACCGAAACTTCGTAACCAACCTCAGCCCTCAAGCCGACAATCTCATGCGCAGTCAGCTGGACCTGGATCGGCAGGTGACAAGATGCACGTGGCAAGACTACCGTCGTTTTCTATGACAGATCTGCCGGACAAAACAAGGGGCACCTTGGAGACCGTAGCTTTTGTGGTCAAGATGTCGGTCCACTGCCTGAGGCAGGGATGCACTCCAGCTATGCAAAAACTCGTGCAAAAACTCTAGGGGCCCAACTTGTCGTTGACCTGCAGGGATATGCAAAAGAGGAGGCGCTCGGCTCGGGCAACCACTGTGCAAGCCCGGAAGCCGAAGAACTTTTCTGGCGAATTGGCACGAACTGTATGGAGCCAAAAGCAGAGTTTCAAAACTCTCGACATTAACAAGGCTTTTGAGGCGACAGTTCTGCAACCTCATCCCGGACCGCGTGCCTGAACAATTGCGTGAACACGCATGCCGAGAGGCTGTCTCTACCCGTCTAGCTACCCACTCGCGGCTTGCATTAGCGCCTCGAAAGAGATGTATGAAGATTGTCCTGAACGGTGCAGGTGCTGAAAGACTATGCGGGCCCAGGAATCCGGCCAAACGCGCGAACGTGCTGGAACATGAGCCACAGGCACCACCTGTAAGCAGCGATTCACCACGTCGATCGCCTCAATGTCGCAACGGACCAGGGACTTGTTCTTCGCCTGTCCTTGCAGCTTGTCGAGATCTTCCTCGCGGCACTGTGCAACCAAGTGGCGATCTGCAGTTCTCAGCCGTCCACCTCCACGCACTTCGAGAACCACGGACTGTTTGGAGGGCAAGTCCTGACCTTTTTCGTCGGGCGTGTCCACCACGAAGCGACTGAGGTGACGGTCTCGCCACAGCTTTGCTACTGGGGTCACGGCTTCCGAGATCTGGTACCTTCCTTCTCGATGAAGGAACATCAAGGAATCTTTGGAGTAGCCAAAATCCTTCGAGTAGAGATCCCTTAGGCACTCTGATGTGGCCGGCAGGGCATGGACAAGCTGGAGTGGCCGTGCACGACGTGGGGCTTTCTCCGGCATTTCTTCAAACCGAGACTGCAACCAGAAGAGGCGAAACTCTGCTTCAGTGCAGGCCATGTCCATGTCTCCCCACACCAGCACATCGCAGATCGCATACTTGCGGTTACCTGTCGGTCTCCGTCGTCGTCCTTTGCCCGATGATTTACCGCCTTGGGCACCATCCATTGTGTCGTCGCCTTCCGACTCGAGCGCATCGTCCACCGGGGAGGTGGGTTCCTCCATTGGTGGATTCTGCTCCATGGCCCTGAGCCTAAGAGCAGAATCATCCTGCATCTGGCTTCTCACTGGCTTCTGTGGCCGAGGCCCCTCTATGCACACTGCATCCAAAATCGTGAGACCCCGTGGAAATCGCGAATCAGTGAACTTTTCCAGAATGAGACCGTTTTTCTGTCGAACCTGCACCCGGCCACCGTCTGACAGCAGCAAGCACCTGTCGCCTTCCGGCTTCGCAAGTACCAGCCACCTTTCGGCTAAGTCTTCCGGTGGGACAAGCATCCAGTCTGGGATCTGCATCTGCCTGGCAAAGAACAATGTCCGGTGCAAGCGCCTGAGGCGCTGCATCTTCTTCCCATGAGCATAGCCACCATCCATGTCCATGTCGGCAGCATCTGCAGGGTCATCGTCCTCTTCATCCTGGACCTCTACTTCTTCCTGGCCATCATTGGCCGTGGAACCGAGCAAAGAGTCCATTGCGATGCGCCGCATCTGGTCCAGTCTGTTGGCACGAGAATCGCTCTGCCTTTCAGCATTGTAGGGATGAGTTTGCCCGAGGCTGGGGTCAGGTGGGCTCACAACCTGGACCAGTGTCCCCAACTTAAAAGCATAACCACAAAACCACAAGTGGTTCTCAAGGCAAGGCGAGGAACTGCGATGACAGCGCTGCATGCAGCCTTGCCGCTTCGGCTTCGCGGGAGTGGGTCGCCTTAAACTGTGATTGACGGCCCCCGCCTGCCCGCTCCCGGGCATCGAGAGCGGCCATTTTTGGGCTCCCGTGGTCTGTCTGCTAAAGTCCCCCAGAACAGTTCGAGCAAACGAGCCTTGGTAATCCAATCACAGCACAGTCGGGCGGCTGAAGGAGGCGATGGCGCTGTCCCTAGATTCTAGATGTCACGACCGACTCAGTATTGGCGATGTCACTGTCTGCGAGGGATTCCCTGCGCATGCTGTCCACCCGGGCCTGCACAGTCTCGTCGCCATCAATCTGCAACAGCCTGGACCAAGGTTGAGGAAAATTAGGCACTCATTCTTTGGGCAAGCCCGGTGACAGGAGAGGATCGAGCAGCAAGCACGCGGCAGCATGCACAATTGCGGAAAACTCAGCACGGGCCGCAAGTTCACTAGTATATACTAAGTATGTTTGTGCAGGATGCTGCCAGCAGCTGTCATCTCCACTCATTGTGTAGGAAACGCGAGGAAGACTTGCTGGATGCGTTTCGGCGATAGAGTTGTAGACCCAGACGGCTCAAGTCTGTCGCCAACCGCTAACCGGGGCCCCTGCGCCACACTGGGTCGCCCTCCCGTGCGCTCAAAACGCGCCTTGGTGCGACACACGCAAGTGTGAGGTCCCTGAAGCTTCTCTTCAATGGAGTTGAAAAATCGTGAAACTTGCATCCAATGAACTTCGTGAGATTTGAGCATTCTTATTGTTCTACGTATTATGTGAACCTTGCATCCAGTCACTTAGATGCGACTGAGTAGCTGCCTTCTCTTCAATGCGTGATGCCAGGGGGGTACCCTCGCAGCATCAAGACATGCTGCTCTGGAAATTCGCAGGAAGTATGCCGTCGCTGGCACTACACGCGACATACCTTCGGGCCGGAAGCCGATGCAAACTCACCTCCCCGCCTTGAGGTAGCTCTTTCCATCTGCAACCCAGACGGCCTTCAAACTTCGGGGCTGGCAAGATTCCATCTTCTGGACATGTATGCGAGCCGTCTACCGAATCATTTCTCACCAACGCAGAACATACGAGCTCAAAGCATTCTGTTTTGTCTGGCAAAGGCCGGGGAGCGCGGACGCGCATGTTTCGGAGAGATGGCATCATCTGTGCCCAGGGCTGTGGATGGAGGCTGCAGGACAGACCTCGAGGAAATACAGGATATCTCCACTGCCAGCCGGGGATTTGGACTGTTCTGCCTCTGCAAACCTTGCCAGGATGCTTGGCGAGGGCAGCACGAGTCAAAGGATACGAAATAGACACAATCACTCCCTGCTCGCCTGCTCGGCTCTTTTGCGTGCTAACCGCATGATTCGGTTCCAAGAGATACTTTCAACCAATGCCGTTGCGGGAAGTCAATATCCTGGTGCCCTCATGGCCTACAGCGCTAGAACACTTCTGAATGGACACACACACACACACACATGTAGACAACAGCTGGACTCTCCGTTACATCAGCCTGATCTCTCGGTGCAAGCAGGCAAGCGGAAAGCTTGATCACCTACACAGCCTGCACAGATCCGACCCGACTGGCAAGGGCTCCGAGTATCTGCGAGCGACAGGAATTCTTGATTGTGTGACCTTGTCTTGCCTACCACTGGACGGTCCTTGGCAATCTGCGGGGTCTAGACCTCTGGGGTTGAGCATTTTAGATGTAGAAATGCCTGGCGGGCACGCATTAAAGCTGCAATGCCAAAAAACTCTTACCTAGGCTACCTCACTGCCCGCATGAGCTCAGCCTGTCTATCTCGATGGAGCAAATTGGGCACGTGTTCTTGCATTGCCTTGCGGTAAGAAAACGCACAACGCATCATACCACTTTACCAGTTCAGCAATTTTCTGGTCAGACAGCCGTGCAACTGTTGGCGTAACTTATGACAAGAATCGTGAGCCACTTCTTGATGCATGGCTCATGGAACCTGGGCGAGGCCAGATCTTGTCTTCATGCTGACTGGTGGATCAAACTCGAACCCCATCTCCGAGTTCGCTTTCCTGACAGGCGGCAGATGTGAGCAGGGCAGCTGCACGGCCTCCCCACCCAATTGCGACAAACCTTGGCTAGTCATGTTTCATACATGGAGCCGAAGCTGGACGATGATTCAGGCACGTTGTCTTGTTGTTTTGCCTGAAGCGTACGTCCCACATGCAAATTCGAGCCCGTTTGTGTATACGGCTGGCCTTTACACTGTGGATAAGCTGCTCTGATCAGTCTTGCCGTCGCATATTCGCATCTTGCATTCGATGTGGCTCTGAAGGCCCCTCCAAAATGGACTGGCTGACTGCTCGTTGCGGCCTTGTTGCAGACGCCACATTCTCCCGATTGGCCTCGCAGTCGCACCCGGGGAAGCCGCTCAACTTCACCTGGCAATGCGGCAAGGCCGGGAGCGGCACGAGTCGAACTGAAGTTTGCTAGGGGCCTGCCTGGCGTCTGCGATAAGTGATGCGTACTGTATGTGTACGGAACGTGGCCGCGTGCGTCTCAAACATTCAACGAACCTTCAATACACCGGATGTTCACACTGGACTACAAAACAGTGTTGGTGTGATATAGAAATTACGACCGCTCGCACTGCTAGACAAGCTGCGAATGCGTCATGGAAAGTCGATACTCGGTGTGGTCGGACGGATGCTAGGCACGTTCATGTGCTTTTTGCTTCTTGTTGTCCACATTCCGAGGACAAGTAAACGGCAAACCATCAAGAGACAGCAACGCATGGAGGCCCAGACGTCGCGAACCGAAGATTGAGCCGGATTGAAGATTGGGGATGAGGTTGCAAGAACAAGAAGTCGGACCTTTGACCACACACCCTGAATCCCAGCACCAATAACTGCTCAGGCTGCTGCGGGCTTGTTCCTATTCCTCGGAGGGTGCGCAGGGGGGTTATTCATCAAAACCTCACACTAATTTACTTGTCAAGAGTGGCAAATGAAAGCTTACTCTCGGGTTCTGATGCACACTGGGCTCCTGCAGCTTGCAAGTTCGTCCAGGGCATGACACACGCGACAGACTTAGAGCACTCTTCTTCTCGGTTCTATGCACCGCCTGCATCAACCAACTGTACTGTGTGCTTCATGAAACGAGTTCGGCACAGGCCGAATGGATGGCATGCTCATGTGTCGGCCTTCTTGAAGCGTGCTCCGGTTAGGTATGGCTTCGTCAAGCTTGCATAGCTTCCTCAGATTCATCTGCAAGGTTCCCATCGGAACGAGCACTCACCAACTGGAGTCAAGCCACTCATAGTCCTCCGGAGTTAGCTCTCTGTGCCTTTTCAAGACCCATGCGAAATGACAAGGTTGTAGCCAGAACAGCAATGCCTTTCGAGATCGGGTGCTGAGCCGCCCAGGGGCATCATGCTAACGGCCTCGTTCGCCCCAAGACCGCATGGAAGAAGGACCTGTCAGTGCTTCCTCAATTCAATGTTCTTCCAAGTCATGGGTCTGCGTCCGAGTCACATCCTCCTCAGAATCGACGTCGCTGTCCGTGTACTCGCCCCAAAAGTCATCTCCGCAAGCAGGGCCTCCTCTCAGAGCCGGATCTTGGTAAGGTCAGTTAATGCATCGGTTGCAGTTAAGGGCCATGTGCTAGTGACTGCGGGCCGGGGAGGATCGGCTTGGCTGGGAGGCGGGATTTCCTCGGATCAGTTTGGCGATGTTGCGGAGAGAATGGACGCGGTACATGCCTTGGAATACTCGCCACCAGCTTCCAGACACAGATCAAGTCTAGACAACTGGCGATTGAGTGATTACTGGGTTTCGCGACGAGGGTTGTCGAAGGTCATGACTTGTGCCGAGGATCGTTGAAGCGGAGAGCACTTCGGTCTCCTTTGCTGAACCTTCTGGCGGGTTACCTGCGATGCCAAGAAAAGCACCTGTGAGCTGTTGGCGCTTGAGACTAGACAGCTTTCACAAATCGGCTGAGTTCTGCCGAGCGTCCTTCGACCTCAGCTGGTGCCAATTGGGCACAACAACCAGCGCACCCTCTGGGAGCCAAAGCCGCCAAGGTGCTCGGCCAGGCGGCCATTTGGGCCGCGGCCAGAGCCCCATAAAGTGCGGGTGGCGGTGGCCTTCCGCCTTACCGGTGGCCTCACACAAACTTACTCAGACTTACTCTTCTTGCTCTTCGTCGCGCGGCAACCGTTTTGAGCCGAGCGGCCCCCTGGCGCAGGGAAGCGCATCATCTCGTCCAACAGTCCTTAGAGCATCTCACGGCGAACGATGACGATGACGGCTGGGCAGTACACCAATCGGGGCCAACAAACCGATGGTAATGGTATGAAATCTTACAACATCTTACAACACAACATGAGATCACATTGTATCACCTCATGGGAAACGTGAGAATATTCTGCAGTCCGCTTAATACGAAATGTGATTGTGGAGTCGCTGAAGTAGGTAAATTCAAAAGAGGCGTATGCACAGGAGTAGCCATGTCGAAAATCATTGCATAGTGCCTCGCTCGGCCACGCTATTCACCATCACGGCATCCTACGGCATATCAGCACTTTCGCTATCGGTCAGTATCGGTTTCTCGAAAGTGGTACTCGTAGCTGTCATCCTCAGCCGCAAAACCATCATCATCACCACCACAACCAATATCATCATCAGTTCATCATCATCTACCCTGGGTCAAAATGCAGGAAGGGATGACATAAACTACATTTCCAGAAAACAAGTCTGATTGCAAATGTACTGTAATGACATGTAACGTGGCATAACATAAGCGACACGAGACGGAACGTTCACAAATGCTCTCTCCGACTCGTGCAAGGTGACATTTTTAGAACTTCAGAAGGAACATCCACACACACACACACACACACACACACACACACACACACGAAGCCGACCCAGCAGAACGACACGGCGAGGCCATTGCCGCCATGTCACGCTCGACGAGCTTGAAGAACCAATAAACACAGCCTGCAAACAAATACAATCACGTAAGCATCACCAAGACAGAAGACTCTCACGAAATTCACATTGTGCACTGTGGCACTAAGTCTTATATTATGCCCGGGCACCTTTTTCTGGAGACCCGTTCTATGCGCAGCGGCATTGCACTGACACCCCGCTTGATCAAAACTGCCGCGGGCATGAGCTTGCCGAACCGTCTCATGGAGGCGCACTAGTCACTAGCGGCCTGCTGACTGCAGAGGGGCAACTCAAACAATGCATTCAGTTCCCGGAATTGAAAACATCAGAAACGGCTGACTGAACCCAAGCAACTGCATCCATGTAGGCCTCGATCCAAGCAAACGGTATTGTATGGGTTTCCTCCTGGCAGGCAAACGGAAGGGGACTCCCTCAATATCCAGCAAAAGCAAAACTGCTCACCTGCGAACCACCGAGCTTTTGCGAGCACTGCGTGCAGGCCAAAGCCTGGCTCGGTGAGGTTCAAGACACGGCTGACTGGCGGGCACTGTGCCCTGAACGCCCGGAATCTGGGCTCGGCACGGATGGAGGGGCTCCGCCTTCCGCTCCCAGTCGCAACACGAAGCTGAAAATCGCAGACTCTTTGACAGTTCCCTCTGAGACACGTGCCTATGCAGAAGTCCTCCTGCGGCTCCACAAAATCAATCTCCACCGACCCAGAAGGGTCCACCTGCGACAAACAGAAGCAAACCGTCTAAGAAGCTCACTTTTTGCGGCAAAAGCCCACACCACACGCCTTCCGCACTCGTGCGGCCCCGGGAGTCGAAGACTTCCGGTTGTCGAAATCACCGAAAGCACTGACCCAGAGATCCTCCACCTGAGCTTTGAAAGAAGGGAGGCTGAGAGGCTCCGAGGCTCCGCTTCGCCGTGGAGTTTCAAAAGGCAGTGGCCAGCGGCACAAGGCGGGATCTCCAGGCCAAGGTCGTGTCCTCGTCACCTTGGCCAGAAAGAAGCTGTCCTCAAGGCTTAAAAGGGACACCCGGACCACCACGAGGCCGCAGCGAGCATGCCCGAAGGAGTCCACAAAGCACCAGTCCTGCAAAAAATAGTATGACCAGCTCTGATCTGAGATCACTCACTGGCGATGCTGCAGGAGCTCTCCTGCGAACCTTTCTCCCGCATTCTCAGCCGGAAACAAATTGGCGCAGGGTCCTGCACTCAACAAAAACGGATAATTCGGAGAACAATCGTGGGTGCAAAGCCTACGTACATTATCTACGGCAGCTTCCTTGGGGAGTACCCATCGCACTTGTGCACCTCAGGTCGTTGGCTGCACTCGATGGTTTTGCCGTAGCAGCCTGGAGTCTCCACATGTATCCTGATCATTCCTGATCAAACCAAAGCGCGATTGATGCTCAGCACGGTCAGCACGGGCGGTAGTGGAGGCAGCAGCGGCTTCTTGACCTTTCTATTCTCCCCGCTGCCGAGGTCTTCCGAAGTCAGAACTCCAAGCATCAGGCCTTCAGCACCCTGCATGGCTTGCTCGGCCTGGAAACAAAAACGCCATACTCACCGACACACAGTCAGTTAGCTAGCCCGTTCGTTCGGAAAGCCAGGCCGCAGACTCGCTCCATGAAACATAATCACCCCCTGATGTAGAGGACAGCCCGATGGACACCTGACGAAAGTTCAGAGGCCAAAGGCTGGCTGGCAAGGCTACGGTGAAAGCGCCTCGATTTCCTCTAGCTCGTCTGGAATGTCGTGAATGGTAACTGCCGGCCGCCGCAGCCTGAAGGTCTCGCAAGTTTGCACGCATGCCGCGAGCCCCGCAACAAGAACTTCTCCACACTATGGCATCGCAGGAACAAAACTCTGCAAACCGATCGCGATTTAGTCATGTGCATCTGGCATGCACTCAGCCGGGTTGTCTCTGCTTCAACCAACAGAAGTGGCCACAGCAGCTCGCGACCACTACAACTAGGGTGCCGAGTAGTCTCGGCATAAATCTACAGCCCAACTGATATAGCCAGAGGCGTCTGTAGTCAACGGTCCCAGTAGAAAGCTGAGAGAAGAATGAGAAGAAGCAGAAAGAGTGAGCGATGTGGTTCAGGGTGTGAACTGGAAGAACATGCGCATCAACAGCTGAACGCCGAAGAAAAGACACCAACCTTGGCACGCGCATCGGGAAAGACTGCGGAGATGTGAGCCCAGCAGGGTGAAGAGCTTGAAATTGCAATACACATCCTAGATGTGGCGAACACTTGCGAAAGCCTTACGACAGCCAATGCGAAGAATTGTAAACTCCACAAGGCTTCGGTCACGAATGCCCGGACGAAATCTGAAGTCGATTCGACCTACAGCTAAGCTCGTTCATGAGGTGCTTTCACTCGAGACTTCTCTGTCCATACGATGCTATGATTGCGATTGCAGACGTCTCGCCAAGGCAGAATAAGCATGGGCATCGATTTTGCAATGATTGATGGCCGACAGACATCGAAGAAACGAGTGTGCAACTCGCAGTACGCATGATATAAGACAGAGGAGCAAACTTTCAATATCATGATGCTTCAACTTCAGATTTAACCAATCACACTGGTCCTGCTATTGATGGCCTTGAGTACATCCGGGAACTGATCCCCACCGTTTTTGTTCCGCTGCGAAACGGTTTCAAGCAGGTTGGGGGAGGTCCTCGCCCTGTTGGCAAGCAGCTCCCTAAGCTGTGCCTTCTGCTCTCGCGCTCGCTTCTTTGCCTGGCGCCTCTGCTGCGCCTGCAGTCGTTCAGGAGATATTCTGCGAGGCCGGGCATCAGAAAGAAGTGGGATGGGAGTCGCACAGCTTTCGGCTGGAGGGGCTGTGACGAAAGTCCAACAAAAGGCACGCTGCCAGTATCCAGGCCTTCCTTTCACGTGTTCCTTTGAAAGATGTAGCTGAGGATCTCTTGCAAGCTGGAATCCATTGGCCTCAACTGCCGCCACCCAAGCACTGTTCCTCGCCTCCGAGTCGGCGTGTCGGCCAACAGTGCCTTTGGTATCAGCAATGATCAAGAGGCCCAGACCAGGCGTCTTATTCAAGAGCTGCCGCGCTTTGGCTGCAGCAATTCCTCGCGCTTCAGAGCCCGGCAGAATCGAGAAAAACAGAGCCATGATGACGACATCGAAGTGGCCAGCTGGCAGGCTTTTTGCCTCGTATCCTGGACCACCGAGAGGACCACGCTCAAGCTCGAAGCTACTGCCGTGAGGCGAGATTGGCAGCTCCAAAAAGTTGCAAGCCAGGACGGAGTGGTGGCCGGGTGCCATGTCAACAGCCGTTACGTCCAGAGACTGGCCATGGAGCCTGCCAAAGTAGTTGTTGCAGCTGCCGACATCCAACACCCGTGGGCGATCCACCAAGACCCTGTCCGCAAGCTGCCGGATCAAAGAAGCGAATTCCTCCTGGATGAGCGGAAGCGAACCCTCTAAGCGCTTGGCCGCGACAGCCTTTCGCAGCTCACCGGTCAAGACACTGACACGAGACCGCTCAGCTCGTCCACCGGTGAGCCACCGCGACCGGACTTCGGTGTCCAAGAGGAAGTAACACACGACTGATTCGAAGCACCACTCCTTGAAGGCCTTACTCCACTGCTTCAGGCCGTGCACAGCTGCAGCATCCACATCGGGTTCTTCTTCAGAGCTCGGAATGACGTCTGAAGGCGGTCGGGTTGAGAAGGCAACGTTGCTCTGGCTCAACCTCCGCAAAGATCGTTTTCGAATGATGGCAGAAGCTGCGAAGGTCCGAAGCTCTTCGGTGCTTGCATCACCTGAAACTTCCAAATAACTTTCGGGATCATGCAGAAACCATCTCACCATGTTGTCCAAGGCTTGGTAAAGGCGCCTTCTCTGCTCTCTGGCCCTCCGTTTATCAGCAGGGATCGGGCTCAAATCCATGAGACCATCCAACCGAGCATGCCGCTGCAGCGCTGGTAGAGTCAGGATGTGGGCCACTTCTAAGGAAAGCTCACCCAGCAATCTTGCAGCACAGGACGACGCTTCTGCAAGGTCGCCGGCTGGTGGTAAAGCTGGTGCCAGTCGTTCGGCCAAGTAAGCAGGTCGAAGCGGAACTTCATCCAACACGCCTTCCGCCCAGGCATATTGCCCTTCGTTCGAACTTCTGGCTTGGTCACTGGTCCGGGCGACAAGCGCTCCGCTCATGCGTGTTAAAGACGTTCCAAAGACCGTCACGCTGCTCTTTGTGCGGACCTGGCGTCTCGTCAGCAGAGCAGCAGCGGAAGCTGTCCAAAAAGAATTCCAACGCATCTTCGAATGACATTCACGTCGCAGTGGCTGTCCGTGTGGCAGGTCTGATAGGGCCGCAACTGCCGGGCTGAGTGGACATGCGAGAGCTTTGCCGCGCGAGAAGCCTCCTCGCCATGCGACAGCTGCCATCAACGCTACCAGTGACCACCACGAAAGTCCGTCGCTGGCGGGTCTCCACCATGCAATTCTGAACGGGTACTTCGTCCGACACAAACCAACTCTGATGGTTTGAACATGTTTGCGCAACATACCTTACACTCTCTATGGCCAGGCCTTTCCAGACCCTTGTATCTGAAAGAATAGCAACTCGACCAAGCGCATCGTTAGTCTCCTGTGCTTCAGTCAGTTCCTCTGTGCTAGATGCGGACTAACGGTCGAACTGGCACACTGAAAACGGCTGGTTTCAGCTGGGCAAGTCAGGCGAAGCTCGCCCTCCCGTCTGAGATGTGTCCAAACCTTCCCTTCTTATCGAGGTCTTCCTCCGGACGTTATTCTGCGAATCAGGATAGGGCTTTCTGTGCACGGTATCCCGACGAGGAATCACGATGCTGACGCACGCTGACCAGTTGTCATTCAACTCTACTCGATATGGTTTCGGAAAGCTGGCAACACCAGTCCAGCAACCGGCCTCTCCACGGATCCATCCGACTGCAGGTGCATCCTTGGTCCGGCTTGTGTGCAATGCAGGCACAACTCAAAATCATGTCTGGATCTAATGGCCCGACAGTAGAGACAAGTGACTCGCTAGCTACAAGTCCTTCCTCAGGATGGTGCCCAACGTTGAAGGAGGATATCCAGCGTTCCTCGGGAACCACCTGTCAGTGCTTCAAATAGAAATGGGGATAGTGGCAGGAGTACCAAACGTCTCAGGAGCTTGTGATTACTATCCAGCCTCCTCAAACATGATCTCATAGTGCGACACTTTGGCCTAAGCTCAGGAATGATACCAGCACGTCTGCAAAACATCTTGTCTACATTACGTCCAGAACGCTCTGCAAGGACCATACGGCGAAATGGCTCGTGTAAAGTAGCCTGAGTCTGAGAGGCCAGCAACAGTCCTCAGGACGATCCTGGCAACGGAAGTGATTGGCTCAGTATGGAGCTCCTGCCGCACAACTAACCCCAGCAGTCCCAGTGGACAGCCGTCGAAAAGCCGGGGATGCAACAGACGCAACCTTCAACTTCGCAATTGGTGCAAACTGCGAACAAACACCCTAGTGCGAGCAGGCCAGTACACACAAGCACAGAATCGGCTGAGATCTCAGCGGAGGCCGTGGTCGCATCGCCCCTGCCCGGGAGCGAGAAGAAGGAGACCTGCCAGGAAGGAAGGGCGCCGCTACGAGTTGTGCACAGGTGCTGTTAGCGCCTTGACTCCTGGCGTCAGCTGGATCGCCTGCATTGGATGGCTTAGAACTTTAGAACGGCTTGCTGTGCCCGGTCTCTCCAGCGGGGATGAGTGCTAAATAGCTGCGAGAGTGATCCAGCCTCGTCCCATAGGTAGCCATACACTGGATTGTACAAACCTAATGCAGGAACGTGGCTTTGGAGTGTAGGCAAAACACTCTTTTCCGTCAGTTGGGATCTCCGATATCACAGCTGTCAGGCTCAGTGCTGCAGCAGTCATCCTCCCCACCGCCCGAGCCTGCAGAGGAGCCCTGCCGAGCCACGACCTGCCCAACAATGCTGAGGAAGCACTGCGCGAAACCGACGCGAAGCAGCCGGCCTCAGCTGGCCGATCCCTTGCATGACGGAGAACCAGCCACTCCAGCACCTGGTCGCGGCATCGCAAAAGAAGCCGAAGCTCTCGTGGCCATCAGCAGGTCGACATGCGGCCTTCCGACGCTTTCTGACCTTGCGCGTGGGCTCCGCCTGCTGGACCTTGGCATGCAGAAATCTAGTCGGCTTCAAAGCGCTGGTCCGGCTCGGAAGCCCGAAAGAGAGGGCAGAGGGCTTCAGCACGAAACGACCATGGACTCAGACATGCTCGACGACGTGCATGCCATGCTACAGTCCGTTTCGCTCGCCAGCCAACACCATTCCGATATATGACAGACACCGTAAAGAATGAATGTCGGAACGAAGGGCAAGCGCTCGTCGACAGCAAGGAGGCCAAGCTATGGAACAGGAGCGACTGCAGCTACCATACGAGAGATGAACATAAGCATCCTTCCAAAGAGCTTGTTAATTGTCTGGCGCCTGAGACTTTAGAAGGCCCCATGCCCTCAGGACCGGACGCTCCAGATAGAAGCCAGCGGAATCCGAACAGGCTTGCGCCGGTCCATGCCTCGGGGATTGAAGGATTTTGGGACCGGCCACATGCCAGTTCCAGCAAAACGACTTTGGTTGCTGACACTGCAAGTAGACGTAAACCTCCGCGGGCGAGATGAGCTCCCTGAAGAACAGGGGAACATATTTTGGGCCTGAGGAATGCCCGTCGCAGGCCTCAGAACCTGCCCACGCACCGCCCTCTCCGAGCGGTGGAGCACTTCTCGAGACCCAAAGGAATACGCCTCAGGAGTGCAAACAAGGATCTGTTAACCTGGTTGTGCAAGCACCTTAACCTTCAAAGCCCAGCCTGTGCGAAGCTTTCGTCGTCAGGCTTCTCGGTGAGGTGAGCACCACCAAACTGCAGTGTCACATCACCGGCCTTACAACAAGCAGCGTGCGAGAAATTGCGAATCGATAAACCTCGCATCGACCGCGCCTCGCGAGGCTCAGGATGCGCACCCCAAACCTGCAGAAAGAACTGACTAGTCAATACTGTAAGCACTGCAAGTGAGCTGGTTCGTGCCTCGCCCTCGCCATCAGGGCCAGTTGAACTGGCCTGAGCCATTGGGCCAAATCCGTCATTTTTGGCAACCGAGCCTTCGAAAGGCTCTTTGCAGAACCATGGAACTGAGCTCAACGCGTAGTACGACAGCACTCCCTGCCTGTCAGAAGAGGCACTTTTGTTCTCATTGCGGAGTCTGCTACTGATGGCCCAGATTAGTTGGCTTTCTGCGGCTGTGCGGCCCAGGACAGATGTTCTTCTTGGCCCGCTCGGATTCAGGCAGATCCTCACAGAGAAGAGCAGAATGGACAGATGGCGACAGCACAGACTTTCAGTCCTCGCATATCCAATGTCGCGGAACCACCTGGTCACATCGCACGACTCATCAAAAAAACCTTCGGCCCGTTATGGTTGCGTGCTGTAGCCTGGCTGTAGCTAATGGGTGCACAGTGCGTAGTTTTCTCGTCGTTCAGCATCGAGAAATGATGCTCTTATTGTTGCACTTCCCATTCAATGACGCACATCAGAAGTTGAAGCAAACACATAGCATTGATCTTCCCAGAAGCAGGCAAGCCATGCCTGGATGCGGGGGTACGGCTCCAGACTGACCTTCAAATCTGCACGTGTGCAGAGCTCCTGGCGATGACCAGGGCATCCGACACAAGGCCGGCGCAGCCGCCAAACATCAATGCGACGAAACGCTGGCGAGAAGATCTTTGACGAAGAGCTGAAAGTTAAGATTGCTGACACTTTTTGGACATCAAAACATCAGAGCTCAGGCATGATCTCCTCAGGCCGATCTGTGCTGCTGCGCAGATCCTTGCTCTCCTGTCGAGGTGCGGCAGGGATACGCGTTGCTTTTCATGCCTCAGATACTTGAGGCATAACTCAGCCTCGACAGGGAGGACCACCGGCCACCAGGAGCTGATGCCTCGGCTCGGCTCGACAGGCTCTCCCATGTTCCAGATGTGGGAACTGCTGCCAATGCGCTTGGCACAGCTGTCCGGCTCCCGCGAGATGCAAAGCTGCGATCTGGGGACAGGTCCTGAGATGTAGCAATTCATGCAGGCCTGTGTCACCATTGACTGTCTGGACAGACCTCCTTCTCGTCTGCATCAACCTGCTCAGAACTCTGTATTTCTTGTCAAACTCTGGCAGCGGCTCAGACACTGTGACCCTATAGCGGCCCTAGCGAATCTGAAGCTGGTAATTATGTCCGTGTCGGGGACAGCATTCGGTGCCTGCACTCCCATGGCACAGTTGAGGGTGACACGGCTTCCTGGAGCAGGGAGCCGCACCTCAGCGCCAGCTGTTGCTTTAGGAGCTCCAGGCATCATTGCGGGGGCAGTGTGCGCAGTTCCGACCCCTGAATGCTTATACCACCCAAGCTTCGGCTTCTTGAGAGATGCTGTCTTTGCCACTCGCAACTCACTCGGCAGAAGCAAGCGAGGTTTCAAGGTCGAGAACAGCAACTCCAGGACACAGCATGCGAATTCTGCTCACAGAGACAAGGAAAGAAGGGTCACCACACCAGTGACACCTCGGACAAATTTTGTCAACACATCCCAGGACCATGCGAAGCTCTGGGGTTGGCGTTCAAAAAAGAACACTAAACTGCCGGTGGCAAGGTTCAAGCTAGTTTGATCGGCAAACTTCGACAACTCACACTGCGAAATGAAGCATGGAGCATATTGCAGAAACTCTTGTAATGCAGATGCCCAAAAAGCCTAAAGCAGACAGTGCGTTGCTCCCGGCAGTGGTTTGGCAGTTCCAAGTTTGTAGGTGCGCACTGTTTCTTAGCCAGGCCGAAGTGCGATAGCTGGTCCGAAAGACTGCCACCAGAGCTTGAGGAGAAGACCTCTCAGTTTCTATCTTCCGACTTTGTAGTCTCCCAAAATCCATCCGAGCCCTGAGGATGTTGGAAATCTCCCAAGCTGACTCTGAGCCGGCTGCTTGCTGGCTCCAGAGAACAGCACACTGACGGTGTGTCCTAATAATCCGCTCGTAGACCTGCCGCTGCAAATGGCTTAGGACAATCATGCGACACGGAGCCGCAGGAGCCTTGCCTTGTTCTTGGCCACCCTCCATAGACGCCTCGCAAACTCAAGCTACCGCAGAGTCGCATCAGTGGCGCAACGTAGCTCCCACCTTCCAGCTGCGCCTTGGCCGAACCTGTCTTGATCATATGCAAGAGCTTCTGGCTTTATCTGCCGGGATACAAAGTCTTCATGCTTGTGCCTTCGCCGGTGCTCCACCAGACTCCAGGCGACATCCTGAACGCCACAAGCTGTCTGAGTCTGCTACCGGCCCCCGCCGCAGTAGCTGCACCGCTGCCTTCCATGAGCCTCATAAAGCACACGCCTTGCGAGTCCTGGCCTTGATCTCGCGTGACGTAGCTGCCAGCAGCACCCAATCTTGAGGGACCCGCTGCCTGCCGCTATACGGAGGCACACTCGGGAGAATGCTCGGGAATTTTCAGCCGCCTCACGACAACCCGGTCGATCAACTCGAAGTCCACCTTGGCTGTGAGACAGATCTGCCCACGACAAGTCTGCAAGTTTACAAGTCTACATAACGGGGGAGGGGTCCTTCACAGCGCATGGCTTCGGTCCGAATTTGCTGGAATGCACGGCAAGAGCTCCACCGACTTCTTCGGCTGGCCCTAAAGCTGAAGAGGCGATGCTGCTTGCAAAGCTGAGTGGCTGTAACCAGTCCGGGGTAGTGGGAGATCACTGTTCCTGGATCGATGCCAGCCGAGCCAAGCAACAATCTCAGTGAGGAAACCTTTATGCTCAACCAGCAAATGCACCCTGACAACCTGCGTTCTACTGTCGTCTACCTCTTCGCGAAGAGCGTAAGCGTGCGTGAGGCACCAGGGACCGGCCGCTGGCTCTTGCGGCCCTCCTCGACACAGAAGCTGAGCACCTCCAAAGTGACTCGATGTCGATCCAGTCATGTAGGCAAGCACTTCTGCTCGTGGTACTTTGCCACTGCTGTGCTAAGTCTTGCTGGAACCTCTACTGTTAGCTGGCGAACTCCATCAAGCGAATGGCCGAAGGATGCAGCTGCTCATGAACTTGTTGGCAACCCTGATTTCACATTGACTCTGTCTGCCTTCAGCCCACGCTGAACAATGCAGGCTCGATGTTTCCAAGACCTGGACAATGAGGGCAAGGGAAGACTCAACGATGTCCACGGCATGCAAACTGCAAATGCCTGGCTCTGAAGCAAAGTGGCAAGGCGGGACACCTCTGAGTTCCGCTCATTGCAGACAGACGGGAAGACTCCACTCGACCAGAGTCCAGATCTACCTGGAAGAGGTCCGTCTGCAAACCACAAGAGATGATCGGTTTTATGGTGGTCGGGCACCCGCCTTCTGCCATTCGCTGTCTGCAGCTGTGGATCGCACTCGAACTTGCCAAGTGTAATCCAGCAATCTGCAGGGCACAGGCACTGGCAGTCGCTGGGCGTTTCTTGCGGTTGCGGTTAAGTTGCACTCTCCTTGCCTCGTGTTCTCCAGCATCCAGGTGACGGAGACTTTGTCTAATCCTGTGCACCTTTTCATGCAGTCGCGAGCCAAGCATGTGAGATGTCCCTTCGTGATTACTCAACTCCCACTCTGCCTGGCCACCGGAGCAGCCGGCAGGAGATGAGACAAAGGCCTCACCCCGGTCTCGTTGAAGCCTTGCCGCACAGCATCGCAAGCACGTCTGAGATATCTTCTCGGAAGAAGTAGTTTAAGAGTCTATGTCTAAGTAAGGCCCGCTCCACAGGCACTCGAACATGAAAGTGGGGCTTCGTATGGATACCAGGCCGGTAGCCTGGGGAGGGCAGGCAAACGATGACTGGCGTTGCAGGGTTGATTTTCCGTACCGGCCTGACTGGGATGGGGTCACGCAGCTCGTCGCATTCGTCCTGGAAGTTTCGGGCAATCATCTGCGCCGAACAAGCACGTGTGCTCGAAAAGTTTCCTGCGATGACTCCGAGCTTTCTGACCTTTCTGCATCCGAACCTGGCGTGCAAGGCTGAAAGTCATATCAGTCGCTTCATGGGCACACATCTCCTCTGGCACACAGCCCTATATATAACTAGATCTCAACCGTCTCTGCAGCGCAGACTGAACTAGTGGCGTTCCAAAGATGCTCTGAGCCCTGAATCATGGCGGTCTCACCAACGGAGCTGTCGTCACAGGGCATGAACCTGATGGTGCGCTCCCCGTCCTCCAAACAAATGGCTGTTCAATGCCCTGTGCAAACGTCTCTGAGTCGCGCCAGCGGTTTCCAGAACAGTCCTGGTGCTTGTGGACCGGGGTGGCATCTTCCTGACGAGAGAGAAGTCATGTTTCGCAGGGAGCCACGGCGCTAGAAGCCTCAAGCATTGAAAGTATGCCTTTTTACGTACAGTTCCGCTGCAGCTGGTCCATGTGGTTGACGGCATTTCGTCTGAGATTTCTCATGTAGATCTGGGGTGGCAGACATGGACAGGGACGGCTGACAATTCGCGTGCATGTGCATCAGCATGAGCCCAGCCCAGAATGAAGACCGTGCTAGAGGAGCTAGCAGTCGGCCAGAAAAGCTCCAGAGCCAACAGGCCGCTTCCCAGCTGCTCCGTGGAACGAGAGCCAGCGTGCCCCCTCGTTCCGATGCCCCGCTCCAGCGTATCTTGTCCAATTCCGTCCCAGGCTGAGTCTGCACTTGTTCAATTAGAGAAGGCGCGGGTCGCTTTCACAAGGACGCGAGTCGGCCGGAGCCAGAGCCAAATCCGCGAAGAGACCATAGTGGTCACTGGGGTAGCAAGCAATATCCTTCAGCTCCTCCACTCCAATGCGAGTGATGTAGGAGTCTTGCGAATTGACCCCGATGGCCAGCACGCGGTCCATGCGAGCTCTGAGAGCGCAGTACTTGCCTTGGTTGGCATGGTAGGTGCTCCCAACACGGCCTCGTTGGAGCTCGGCCCAGAGATCGACCCATCCAGGTTCCAAAAACATCTCTGCTTGCTGGGCTGTCCAGTTCATGTCTCCAAGCCATGCGGCGGCTTGGCAGCCCTTCTGAAGCATTAGCTCTGTTAAGCTGCGAAGTCCTCGCGCACAAGGCATAGCGCGCTACAGGTCAATGCAGTCATGCGCAAAATGTTGCACTACCTCAAGCTTTCGAAGCTATCGGTATGATGGCAGCTTCTTGTTGCAAAAAACACGGGACATTGTCCAGCACACCAGTCCCAAAAGAAAGCCACATGAGATCTCTTCCTGAGCATACCACATTATTTCACAAGCCTTGGTCCCCAGTCCTTCCGGAAGCTGTGCGACTCGCACTTCTTTGGTGCATCTGTTCGGCAAAGGCGATTCCAGGTGAGCAGTTGAGACTAGGAGCTTTCTGTGTTCTTGTGCAATCTCGACATACTGCAGGGCACGCGCCATGGCGGTTCTCTCAAAGCGCACCTAGTCTGCAGTCGAACACGAAAAAGCAAATCGTGTGAACTCCAGGTCCAGCATCCCCTGATGAGCATCCTGAATAGAAGCTTTCCCACTGTCTCGCCTAGGCACGCATCCCGCATCCAACACACGCAAAGGATTTCTGACCAGAAGTGCTGTGAAATAGTTCGACGCGAAAACGAACATGTCCTCGGGATTAGAGGGCATTTGCCGCAAGACTTGCCAAAGATCGGCTCCGAGATATCTCATCAGCAAGGGAAGCAGCGCGTCGGTCACCTCTTGAAGCGCTATGATGTCTGCATCTGTACGCATCAACGTCTGAGCAATAGCATGCATGCGAGCTCGTTGCGAGTTCTTGCCGAAATGAATGTTGTAGGTTGCCAAACGCAGTGTCCCAGGCCGGCGTGGGGGCAGATCTCCGTCTTTCTCAACATCGTCCACATCTGCTACCACTGGTGACCTCAGGGCCTTGCAGCCCAATGGACCAGTTCCACCACACACAGAGTTGGTTGGCCGATTGCTGAAGCCACAGGCACACTGCCATGCCTTCGGCGATGCATGCTGCATATTCTGCGGGTTAGGTCGAACCCCAACAGCCGCCAGCAAGCAAGTGCAAATTGAGAATCGGTGCCCAAAGTCTATGATGCACAGGAATTTACTGCAGTCCCAAGTCTTAGTGTCAGCTTTGACTGGGATTAGGGCAATCTCTCCCATACGCAGCGGTCCTCAGCATCCTCTGCTTCCTCTGGCTCTTGCTCGGCTTCCAAGGCCTGGCGACAAAAGCCCGATGATCAAGCCTTGTACCCTCGTACCTTTGCTTCT